TTTTTTTCAAGATACCGAAGAGTCATCCATTGTAGCCCGGAACTGATAAAATAATTGAATTTCGGAATTTGAAAGGATGGTGAGAAATTGACACAAAGTATATGGTTGGTTCATATTGAGTCTAACGTATGCGTCGAACATACCTTGAGGTTACAACAGGACTAAACGACGATATCTACTGGAAAGGCGATGTGCGTTAGCTCCAGCCATTGAAAATTGTAGCACAGAAAAACACGCAATATGTTCAAAATAACATGAGTTAATAAGACCCAACAGTGTTGATGCGGGGTTGGGTTAATATCATTTAAAAGGCGAATGATTCTGTAAAATAATACTATAATAGTGAGTTTCGTTTCTAAAACACCGTTAAATTGTTAATTGCCCTTTCTTAAACTGATTATAATTGAATGTGTCAAAAACTGATCTAATTAACGAATAAGACGGCATAAATGTGTCTAACCCAGAGAGAAAAGCTGAGAAGTGGATCAGTGGATTTCCTAATGTCCCGAGCCACAGTAGGTCGAGAGCGCATCTTGATTAGATTGGTTGGAGCTTTTTTATCATCAAGAGAACCACATCGTCCGTGTTTTGCTTCGTAATTATATTATATAATATATATGTTATACTATTCAAGACTTGTAGTGCTAAGTTTCTTGCAAACCAATAAGGCATACCACCAACACGAATTTGACGACAACGGTTGTACGGTGGGTACATAGCAGCCGCTGCTGTCGCTTGGTGTTCATGTGTTGGTGTACTCATGTCTACCGAGATCAGATGGAAATGAAAACGAGTCTTTATGCCAACTACAGACGTAACCGTCTTTTACTAAGAAAATTGATTTGCGCAGACTTGTACTTGAACATTGGAAACAAATACTGTCTATAGTTTACGCGAGTAGTACACATTGAAATAAAACACTTTAACGGTTTAAATCGCGATATATTCGTTAATTAATTATTTCATTGGAAACAATTTTACAATCGTGGATAAAACGGTACTCTCCCTTGTAGAGTATCAACCAACACATTTTCCATCGCATTCGTTCCATTTTAAGGTGCATACTTCGCTCGGTCTTATAAACCAATCTACTTTGTATATCTGACGATTTATAATTTTATGATAGCGTGTATTGCGTCGTCATTACCACGGGGTGGTTCGATTTCCGCCCGTGCCAGAAAATGTTGTGCAAAAGCAACAAAATACTCCTTGGAAACAAGGAGTATTTTACTTGTTAAAAAAAATATATTTAGACTATTATTGAAGTTTTTGAAAGTTATTTTCTTTTTTATTTTTTCTTAAAGAAAGTGAAGATGAAGATTTGTATTTTTCGAAAACTGCAATGGCTACATAGTTTAAAATGACAGATTTTGTATTTCTGTTGCCTCTATGACAATGAATATTAGCAAAATATTTCATATTCGTTAAAGGCACTTTAAATAACTCAAAAACGTTACGAAATGCAATTCGTGTGTTTTTACCAAGCCAACACCCTACGTGTATGTCTCGCACTTCTTCAACTTAACGTGATTACTGTTTTTCATTTTTTTATTCGTACGCCTTACACTTAGCAACCGCCAAAGTTATAGAGTTCACATTCTTCAGCCTCTACACTAGAGTGTGGCGTTTGACCTACATATAAAAAATACTCACCTGTTCTACCTACAAGTGGAGACAAACCAGAGAAAACATCACTTTGTTCTTTTATTTTGATATTATATATTTTTTTAAATGCATCTTTTATCAACAAAGTTTGGTAAAGAACAATGCTATCAAAAATTGGATAAATAATTTATAATATCCGTTCGTCACCTTTTTTATTTACCCATTTCTCAATTTATTTAAAACACACTGCAGTAATTACTGCAAATTTAATACCGGCAAGGCTATTGTGTATACTCAGCTTAAACGCAAATAAATTAAAAAGCATCTGTGTATATTTTTTTAATCGAGGTAAAAAATAGACTTACGAGCCTAATCTTTGAGAATCTAGTGGTTAAATCTCTCCGCTAGACTACAAATACATACACAGTATAAAGACTAAGTAAATGTACTATGGGACACTATATTAGCATATAAAAAATATTTTTATAAAGCTCGCGAGCCTACGTCCGAAATCCCAAAACGCCATTGCTTGATATATTTTTTTTAACCCCGCGAATTATTAGTCCGATAATTTGTTAATAGATAAATAATTAATTACATAATAAAAAAGGAATAAATAAAACTACTTTAAACGGGACACTTCGGAGAGACATGAAGACATTGGTACGACCGATTTTTGGCTTGGCGTCTATGAATCCAGCGGATTCCTGTAAATTACTTATTTTTATGTATGTGATGTATTAAAAATCGAAAAAAATGTTCGACTCGGGCAGGACCTGAACCGGCATCGTCAGCGTCCCGTGCTGTTGCTCTAAGCAATTGAGCTACCGAGTTTTTTTTTTAAATTTATTTTCGATTTTTAATCTATATAGTGTCATTATGTGCAAGAACATGTAAACACATTAAAGTTTTCAAATGCAATTGTTGTTGTAATGGTGTAAAATGTTTCTGCGTAGGTATAACAGTGACGTCATAGACATGGCCGCCGGTTGTTCTGTTTATAGTTAAATGCTCGTGTGTGTTATCGTTTTTAGAAAAGTAATTTACTGTTTTCTTCTTCATTCTCGGATACCTAAAACGTAGCTTTAATGCTTTAATTGCAAAATATGACAATCAGAAGACATATCTTTATGTTAAAAAACAGCTCAACTACCAAAAAAATGTTTAACACATATTAGAATTTTACAAAATTTAATTAGCTAACTGTACACATGAAGTCTATATTATTTAGAAGAGCGTCATGAATTGATTTTTGATTACAATAATATATCTTCAATCATTTGAATTTTGAAAGGCAAAAGCGAGATACATTGGTTCATATCCCGAATGAGATCTTCTTCTGAGAATTAGTATGCGACATGTGCGTAGGGGAGAGGTACAACTCAGATATAGGTGGGGTCGAAGGAGAGCGCGCAGGACGCCAAATTACTCGGCCCGGAATGTCGTTTGACCTGAAACCGATACTGCAACAAACATGTAAACATTTCTAAAATGGCAATCAAGAAATACTATGATTTTTGATCTGAATTTTTACAATAATTAAAGTACTCTCTGGGACTTATATCTCCGGAAAAAAAGCAACCTAAACGTGATGATTAGTATAATTAAATTTGGTTTTAGAAAAACCTTGTTTTTTAACTTAAGGCGCGAATTGATTGTTTTTATTACATATAAATAACCTATCGGCAAGTGGTTACCGAAGTAGTTATTGCGGAAATAAGGTATTTGCAATTTTTTTTACATTTATACTTTTAGATGCACAGCGCCACAGGTGCGAGTCTCGACTACCAACAAATAAATAAATAGGTATATTGGTTGTATTCATAGATATTTATTAAGTCAAAATAAAAAAAGTAGGTCCATTGTTGCATCGTTATTATAAAAGCTGCGTCAGCGACTCGTCTGCGTAGATTGTTAGTTTGGGAATCAAAATTTATTTTTACAAACCACTTTACAAATTCCCGTCATTCCTGCAAGTTAATCTTAAAAGATAGACATATAGTGACGTGGATTTTTTATATAATTTAAAGAGGAATGATTTTTTCAGTGTACCAACGGAAACAAATTGAACAATTTTCCCCTTTCTCCACATTTCTTCGCTTCTATTAGACGCAGTTTTTATAGCCTATAACCTTCCTCTACAAAAGCTCTAACAACACAAACAAACCTTCAGCTTTTATAAGTATAGATTAACTAGGTAGCTTTATTTTTAGATTATAAAAAAAAACTTTTATACCACGTATTATTTCTTGGACGATTTTCCACTATTTCTTGCTTTAAAATATACAAAGTCGATTACATTTTTTTTAAATTTGAGCCAGTTGTTTCTGAGATTAGTCCGTTCAAATATCTTCAGCTTTTTAAGAGTAATATAATATAGGTTACATTCAGTATACTATACGATAGAAAGAAAATATATTTAACAGTCAATATTAAATTAGTATTTTTATATTTTAAGACAAATATTGTCCCGTTTCATTATTTTGTACTAAAAATAATGGAAAGTTTAATACCGACCAAAAGAGAGCTGGTATTTACCTACTACCAAAGCTTCTTCTTGAAAAATGACTTCGCCAATTTTGTTAAAATATGGTTTTTTATACTACATAAACTAGTCTACGTGAAGCTTAAGGCTCACTTTGAAGGCGAAATTACCCTGCCATATAACATTTCAGCTAGATGTGTAGCCGACCTATTTTGGCTTTAAATATTCGATAATCCACAAAATTGAAACCAAAACGCGATTTCAATTCGCGGCCTTTTCAACTGTAGACGATCGTACGTGACCCGGATGGAATATTCGATACCCATTTCATATCCAGATTTCCAGACAAAATCCAAAACGACTTGTTGGTTATTATAAGGCATGCATTGCAACCATTAGAACAACAAGTCCGTCGAGTTACATTTATACTGATTTATCCGTAAGCGACAGTCCACGATATATGTAAAAATAATTAATTTAATGACATAAAACGGTATATATTTCTTGGAGATCAATTTTGTTACATTTCCTGGATTCAGACTCAGCTGATATTGCTGCACGTTTTAAGCTTTTTGTCTGTTTGTATGGAGGTATCTACTTACCTCCCTTAACTACCATAACTTTGCAAAATGTATACGTTTTGTTTCAATAAAAACAGAACCCAGAGAAGAAACTTTCGAACTAAGGTCTTCTTAAACTTGAACGAAGTCGGCACAACTAGTGTAAACTCTTGTTCACTCTAGATACGCAATAATTGAACGATAAGGTAAATAAATATTCAATAACACATTCGAGACTAGGTAGATATATATATTTATATGTTAAAACACCCTTAATGCTAAACGTTAATTAATTCAACATATTAAGGATGTTTAATTACCGATCTATAATTAGACCACCTCGTTTCCAGTACCGACGAAGATGCGCGTCGGGCGATGATGCAAGATGGCGGGAAAATTAAGGAGATTCAAGTAAAATTACTACTCAGCTCCCGTTCCGAGATGCACAAGGTCATCGAAGCGGCTCGTCAATGTGTACCCATTATGTCATTGAGTGCGCCGGCACCTGCGCCTGTTATTCCGCAAGTTACCGTGTCCAACCCCGTACCGGCTCCCGCGCCTCCGGTAATCACCCCTTTCTCAGCAGCTCTAGGCAATCATCCTCTGGCCAGTTTTGGCATTCCGGGCCTCGGAAACCTCCAAGAAATCCCTCAGCCAGCGGTGATAGAGCCCCCTCCGCCGCTTATTAGTCCATCTCATAGCCAATCCGCCGAAGAGGAAAAAGAAAAAACGGAACATAAACCCGAAAAGAAGAAAAGAGACGACAGACGACGATCGCGGTCCAGATCGCGCGATAGAAAGGACAGGAAGAGAGATAGGCGGGACCGATCTCGGTCCAGGGAAAGGAGGCGCCGAGATCGGAGTCGATCGAGAGAGCGACGGGAGAGGAACAGAAGTAGAAAAGATAGGAGTTATTCTCGCGATCGCTCTCCGTCCCGCAGATCGCGCGATAAACGAAATGAAAGAAAATCTCCACAGCAAACTTCTCAAGACAGAACGATGGATAGTATGAATGACGCCAGTCGATCCCCGTCGCACTATGCCGCTGCGGTCGCGAGCATTCAAGGCCAACTGGCGGCCCAAATGTCTAATGCCATTATTAAAAACGGACCTCTGGCTGCTTCCAGTCCGGTCCCCAATCGCTTCAACGACCCCTCCGTGGCCGAAACTTTGAATAAATTACAAGAGTTAGGAAAAAAGAGAAACCCCAATGCATTCCAGGGCGAACAGAACGGTAACAAGTTTATGGGCGCTCAAAGTGGCCCTAATGTCCCCAGGGGTAGTTTCCGCCGCGACGCACGCCGCTTTGACAGCCCGGAACATACTGATTGCTGTGTGGTCATCAAAAATGCTCCCAACCACACTAGCTACGGTGACGTGCGTCGCTTCTTCCCCTACATGATCGATAAGCATGGCATCAAAATGATCAATGACAACACTGGACGGAGAACGGGAACCATTTACGTCAGGTTTTGTGACGTCCAATCTAAACAAGCGGCTTTACAGAGAAAAGCGAACGAGTTAAAAGGTGCTAAAGTCATCGTAGAAAGTCTCGACGATGAAGATTATGACGCGGCGGTCGACTCCTTCCTGCCTTACAGAGAAGACAACGAAGAGGAAGCCCCCAAATTAGATCTTCCAAACACCAATGTTATGTCCTACACTATTCTGAAGTTAGCCGACCTCCCGCATTATGTAAAAGAACACGAGATCATAAAAATGTTTAGTGACTTTTCACTTTTGTCCATTATATTGGATGATTGTCGAATGACGCGATCCAAGATAGCGTACGTCCAGTTCGCCAAAGCGGAGGACGCCAGAGCGGCTTACGACAAAAGGGAGAGCTACAAGTTTAAACGGCGCCAGCCCATCATAACACCTATCACCCAAAAGGAATTTGATCAAATCAAAATGAAAATCGAAAACCGAACCGGCCAGGCCGGTAAAACTGGCCTCGGTTTACCGCCATCGGATTTGCTGAATAACCAAGACCCGAACTTACCGAGGGATCCGCGTCAACGGCGCCAACCGACAGATAATGGAATGCCCATGAATCCGATGATGCCAAACCCACAGAACCCGGGATTCTTTCCCAACTTCGCTGCTTCGAACGGCCCACAATTCGGTTTCCCCAACCCAGGTGTAGTAGACCCTAGAACGGCAGCGGCGAATTGGGCTTCTCGTCCTCAATTTTCAAAACAGAACGTGCCTTTCGCTAATCAGGGTCACGGTCCGGCACCTCAGCACGTGATGACAGTAAAAATGGACGATGACCCACCTGACTCGGTCCTCATGAAGGGATTGCCCCGCGACGCCACCGATAGAACTATTGTACACTTCCTCTCCGATACGGGAGCGGTTCCCTCTAGAATTCATCTCATGCTGGACCCCATGGGTCTCCCGTCAGGGGACTGCTTTTGCGAGTTCAGATCAGAACAGGAAGCGAGACAGGCCGCTTCTAAACATGGACATATGTTAAACGGGTGTCGAATCACGGTGGACTTGGTCATGAGAAGCGTAGTCGAAGAAGCCTTGGAGGGCCCGAAAGAGCCAAAACCGAGTATGAGCGAGGGTCTGCTAGGAAACGCGCCCTACTTTGACGCGCAGCGCGGCGGTTTCGGCCCACCTAACCAAGGATTCAGAGGTCGCGGAGGTTTCGACCGCGGTGGCTATAGAGGTTTCGATCAAGGTCGGGGTGGTTTCGACCCCAGTCGAGGCGGGCGAGGCGGTTTCGTCCCGGTACGCGGCAACGGATTTAGAGGTAGAGGTAATTGGACTGAGCGCGGCCGAGGGTTCGACAGGGGGAGGGGTAGAGGCTTCGTACGAGGTCGAGGGGGGTTTGACAACGGCGCTACTCAAAGACAAAACGATGAAGAGCCAGATCCCGGTTTGGAGGACTTCGGAGCGCCGGGGTGCGTCGTGAGCATGGAGAACGTGCCCTTTAGAGCGACAGTGGAAGACATATTAGGGTTCTTCAGCGATTTCGAACTGACACAAGACGACGTGATAAGACGGTACAATGAAAGAGGCCAGCCCACGGGCGACGCGCGGGTCGCGTTCAGAACCGCCTTTGACGCGCAAAGGGCCGTCCAGACGAGGCATATGAACACCATCTTCGATAGGAGGATCAGCCTCACGGCAATGTAGCGAATGAAGGAAATGTAAGTTTCAATTGTAAATAAATGATTAACTTTAAAACGACTACTTTATCCAGTAGATATATATTATTATATGTTCAATATCGATTATCTAATTTCTGCTTAATTTTAAAATAGCTTAAGACTATTTAGGCTTTAGAAATAAAATCCGACTTTCGTAATTATTTTCGTGTTTAATTCACAAAACATCTCGACATTGTAAATTCTTTGAAATGTAACATTTTTAATGCCTCAATTAATTCGTTATAATAATTTTGAAGTAATAACTAAATTCATTATTTAAAAACGAAAGCTGTAATCACAAATAAAGAGAGCTTCCCCCCATTGAATGGTGTTTTTTATTTCAAATACACTCAATGCCTTAATTCACTAGTTTAATAGTGGTGGAAAACTGGTTAAAAGAATTTTAAAAGGCCATTAGACAAAAAATATTTTTTCCCTAGTGTACTCGAATTCATGGTTATAGAAAATATTTAACAAATGTCATTATATTAAATGTCTAAGGGATGCTTCTAATTTAATAAAATTTTGCCAAGTAGTACATTCAAATCATACAACACCCAAGTGTTTCGCTAACACTTAACTAAAATTATTCATTATACCAGTATTACACTCAGACAAGCACTTTGAAGCCCAAGACGATTTTGAACAATTATAATAAATAAGCAATATTTTTAATTATGTCCTTACATCAATAGAATGCTTCTCATAGTCATTCACATAAACCGTGCAAAAAGTATTTTTACATAATTATACAATATTTTTAATAAAAATATCCATTTGAAAAGGACATGTTCTTATCCAGCGATATTTGAGAGTGTTGCCATTACATCAATCCAATTGTAATGTTGCTACATTTGAAAATGCTATCTGACCTAACTATGGTTTTTTTTATACACTTCACTCAATTTCACTTTTTTACAAACATTGAAGGAATATTATTTATATAAGTCGCAGGAGGCCCATCTTGGCTTTAAAAACATCTTAAAGTACAAGAATAGATTTGTATAACCTTCAAACCTTATCAAACACTCATAAAACAACTCACAACTAGCGATAAAATGTAGGATTTTAGTGTACAAACACCTTTTTTAGCATTGTTTTCCTTCAGTAGCGTTTCTAAGCAGCACAATAATTATATTTGGAAAGGTTAGCTCCAAAAAGCAGATTCTTTATCCGAAACTGACAATTTACTGCTAATGTCTTATTACGCGGCTATTTAAAAGGTCAGTCAGCCTAAGAGGTATTTATTTGCTCAATGTACCTGAAAAACCATAAAGAAATAATTTGATTTTCCCTCACCCCCTCGGCCAGAGCAAGCCTAATGTTTAGGAAATTGACATTTAGCTTCCTAATATTGTCAGTAATGGTAAACAGGGAATACATTCCATAAATCCTTTTTAATTATTATATTAGTTGTGTGCATGGCTATACTTAAATGTACGCAAATAGTAGCCTTAAGACATTCCAGTATCCTTCATTCTTAAACTATCGTCAATTTTCTGCGACACAAGCATACATCTAACATTATTTTAAGTTTTTGTTAATCGTTTAAAAACATACCGAACAAAATTATCATGACCACAATGGCTGATAAAAAAAAAGCTTCTATACTTAACAGATATACAAATAATGTCAAGCAAATATATAAAAAAAATACACCACAACATCGCTCTTAATTCATATTATTTGAATTGACCAAAAAACTTACAAGTACAAGAAAAATTGTTTAAAAAAAAACACATTATTTCAAAAATTACACAATAAATAGACTTTGGTATTAATATTCAAAGTGAAGAATCTACTCGGTACTTTTATGATGAATCCATCGAAAATAGCACATCAGTTAACAGGATTATTGTACGCACACGTATAAAAATATCATAGTAACGAGGAATATTTACTAAACATATTTCAGTATATTTTATTTAGGACTCAGAAACCGGTTTTTTGTGACAGTATTTCCGTTTAGATAATCTTTATAGTCTTAATATCGTTACCGGAACCACTTGTAATAAAAATAATGTGAAAGGTTAGTTTAAACCGGTTTCAAACCCCACAAATAACAAAGGCTGCCATATTAATTCCACAGAATGAATTGCCAGTATCTAAGGATCGTACATCTCAAAATGAATACTAAAAATGCTCATGGTCCCAAGTAGAAATAGTATTCAAACGGTTTATTTAAAACACCGACTACAAATATACAAGAACACAAAAACGCCTCTATATGTTTCATTATTCTAGCTACACATCGATCACAGTGACAGACAGACATTTATTTGAAACCTACCTATGTCGTTTGGGTGATATTTACTTAATTATTTCTCGGTCAAAATGACTAAGTTTCTCAAAATACGTTGAAACAAGAAAAATCTTATAGTCTAACGATAAATTATGATGAGTGAATAGAGAAAAAAGTAACGCCCTTAATCTCATTCGTTATTTTTTTTTTTAACAAAATACAACACTTTTAACTTTTTAAGACGCAAAAAAATTACTTAAATTACTTATAACTACAACCTGATGGAATCGGATGTTATCAACAACTGCAGTCATAGTAGATTTCATTTTTTAAATATACTACGCAACACTTTATGTAATTTTACAAATGTAACGTATTTTATAACCATAAGTATATAATATCGAGAGATTATTTCAAAACGTTTAAGTGTTCTTCAGGATTTCAGTTAAATTCTAAGTAAATATCGCCCAAAGTGGACAGTATATAATACAAAATATATAACTTTCGAGGTATATAACATTTAGAATCATCGACATACAAGACATTGTGTACTGACATATAAAATATAACGTGTATATCTAAAAATATCGTTTCGAGATCCCGGTGACAGTCCGACGAGCCGCTTATGTGTTTCTGGAAATCAAACATGAGACCTTAATAAATGGCGGTGTGTCATAAGAGAAAGTGTTAAAGACCCACCACGCCGCTCAAACGGTATGGTCAGATGGTAACAGGAACTAAAAGCTAAACGTGCTCCAAAAAAATCTAAATACGGTACTAAAACTACGCTCAGCTCAGGGTTTAAACCCAGGACAGTCTATTTTACAAACCACTAGACCTACGCGACATTTAGATATCAATTTTATATAAAAGCCATTCCTACTTTGCGAAGAAAAGAAGTAAAAGATGAAATAAAGATCATACTTCTTGTTTCTCCTCCTCGTGGGCGAGCCGTTGTTGGAATGATTGGAATGGTTTGGACTATCGCTCACTTCCGTCGAACTGCGCACGTCGCCGTCCATCTGAAACGGGAACAAGCTCTTTTATTAGCAAAAAAGTAAAAAACAAATAACTTGGATTTGACACTTTCTTGTGTAGTAGTTTTCTGAATTACAACAAACATCATCAAACATGAATCAAAACCAAAATTTTCAAATCAAAATCAGAGATTAATTTAGACATATGTCAATTGTCATGCATTTGACATTAATTAACAAAATATAATAATAATATAAAACAAATGACATTGGCAGAATTCATTTATAAAAGCTAAGCCGAGAAGAATATTGAACTCTGCACAATAATGCATAAAACAGAAGCTATGTGAAAGATAACTAATATTTTGGTATTTCAGGGTGAGTAGGATTTTATAATGAAATCAAGGCTATTTAAAATTAATTAAATTGAAAATTCATCCCTCGTGGGAGGAATCTTTCATAATACATATTACTAATAAAAAGATTTACCTGTCCGGCCTTCATAGCGTTATAAGCTATCTGCAGAATGAGCGTCGTCCAGACGACGTGCAGCACGAGCAGCAAACACAGCAGAGAGTTGAAGATGTAGTATGCTGGGAACATTGGGACGAGTTGCGGTGCGCGGACTAGAGTGCTGAAAAATATAATAAGATTATTTAACTTCAAACTACGCTGAAACTCATTTCTTACGGTAAGTTCAGTAAAAACGGAAAATTAGTTTTTAGTTGAGACTGATTTTTTTTTTTGGCTTGCACGATAAATACGAAAACACACCTTCACGAATTTGCAGACTACAAACTTTCTGAAACTATACCAATTTTAATTCAGCATTGGCTTTCGTTTCTATGCCTTAGGAATCAATTTCGTATAATCATTCCCAATATTATAAATGCGTTCCTATAATGCTACCTCCATATGATGTAGAAGGGGAAAATGCCGACCCTCGTCGATATCCACACCACGATCAGCATCAGGAACAAGGAGTCGCAGAGCTTCTGGTAACTCGCGTACTTCGCGGCTTTGACGGCCTGAAATATTAAGGCGGATTTTATTAATAAACAATATGCAAGCAAAGTTAATTATTTACTTTTACTTTATCCTAGCCAGATACGATCTAAATTCTAAACAATACGCGCCGTCAACCCATTTTTACTTTGGCCGATATACGGAATTGCATCTTACTTATGTGTGGACGTTTGTTCGTGACAAATTCTAAATTACGATTACTAATCCAAAGTTCCAGATGAAGTCCAACATGTAAAAACACAACATATAAATTTAATTGTATAAAATTATAAAATTTTGAGCCCGTTGGGGATCGAACCCACGTTATTTATTAGCCGTACTTTGCTACCCGTCAAAACCATTTATTTCGGTCCCCACCACGTTTCCTAAAGGGTCCATATTTTAATGCCGAAGTAACTCGGGTTACTTTTGGTATCTGTAATTCACGGTCGGATTTATAAACAGTGTTGCCATATACCTCGACGAATATATCAGCGCAGTCGTGCAACAGCAGCACCAGCGTCCCGATCCGGTGAAGGTTGCACACCCACGAGAAGGAGAGCAGAGCGATCGTGGCGATGTGGTGCACGAACATCTGCCAGAAGTCCTTGCGGCGCACGTCCCAGAACTGGGAAATGGTGAGGGACCAGTAGAACGCCGACGAGATCATGTAGTACCACCACACGTCGTCTGTGAGACCCTGGTGTGTGAATGATAAAATAGTTAACCGACATGGTATGAAGCGAGGAGAAATTTAAGGAAACTATTTCTTTCTTTCTTTCACGCTGTTGAACCAAGCAAGACAAAAATATAACCGCTAATAACGTGCGTAATAAAAATGTTACTTTTAAATTACTGTTACAGTTGGTGATGACAAAAGTTAAAGGTCAGGTTCGAGTGGTCTCTCAAAATAGAGGTTCCGTATTGACTAAGTACAAAAATTACATATTACTTTTTTCGCTAGTTTTTTAACCCTTGGTGTACGAAAATGTGAAAGACCAAGTAGCATCCTACGGGACTTGAGCCAAGAAAACAAGTCAAAAGTTACGCATTCATCAATAATTGTCTGTGATAAATCTATACGTTATATAAATGTTTAGTCATTTCGTTGTTGGTCAAACCGAGGGTAATAAATCGAGCATCATTCGATAACGTTAACAATTGTGTTCCGGTAAGCACAAAGACGACACACGTGCGTGCTCTTAAACAATGGGCATTTTTATGAAAACTTCATTAGATACCGATAACTGGTTAAAGAGATATTTTAAGAAGAACAATTGGGGGAATATTTTTACATTTTTATAATATTGAATTTATGTAAAAAAAGGTACCTTTAAGCAGTGAGAGATTAGTGTGTAAATGAAATATCAATATCATTGTATAATATTGCTAGTTATAGAAAATGCAATTTATAATTTTTATTATTATTTATCGAACATTATTTTATAGCTTACATTCAATTCACACTAATATTAAAGAGTTATTACTATATAAATTATTATTATAGGCTATCGGAGAAGAAATATTTCCAAGGATCTCAAAATAGAGCGATGTCAAACAGATTTTAACTTCCAACATCTAGATCTAGGCTAGATCGTTTTTAAACCTCTGCTGGAAAATAACTCGGGTAATATTTTTAACTACGATATCTGATAATCCATGTTTAAACAGAGAGCAGCAACGAATACGCAATGTAATGGAGATCGTAAAAATACAGATGTAGTAGGCTAGTAAGTAATGGCGTTTGCCGCCTCGGTCTATAGGAATATTTCTTGCGTTTCACATAAAACCTAGTCGATAACATAGTTATGGACTTATCGACATCGTAACCCAATTTCGTAATAGATTCGGAAGATTTTCGGTAAATGAAAACATCGTAAGAATATCCGCAGTTCTAGAAATACAGTACGATCAGTATAACGACAGTTCTGTAAGATAAGATAAGTATCTGTGTCCTACTGGACCGTAAAACCACCCTCGGTTTCGTAACAAAATTTGAGTTTAACATTTTTCAAATACATTATACTTATGTAGGCAGAGCAATTCCATCATGCATCATTCTTTTGAATATTTAATGCCCCGATTGTTAAGTGTTATTGTTATTGAGTTTGTATGTTAATTGCTTTTAGTTTTAGTGAGAAGGTCACCGTTAATATAATAAGACAATTCAACAATTATTTTTTAAGTGTTAGAAAAGTAACAAAAAAACTCTTTGGTCTTAGCTTAATGTTTTCTTTATTTATGTCATGTAGTCGTTTGACTCTTCTTTCTGTCAATAAATATTTCTTATACCTGTTGAGGCGTTTGAGATTTATATTGATAAAAAATCATTGTGGGTATAATACGGCCAACGTAACTTGGCAAATGGCCGTATATAGATTTGTCCTAAAAAGTAGACTCCAATATTTTAAAATTATTTCTATGATGAATTATTGGTATCACAAGTATTCTGTTTGTATGTCTGATTATGCACACGTTATTAATTGAATACCATCCTCATCAAAATCTAACTTTAGTATCGTAGTTGTTTTGTAATCGAAGAGACGACGTTTTTATAATGAATAAAGGAGGTTATTTCTTTCGTGGTAAATTGTTTTTGCGGTGAATAACAGTGAACGAGGCTAATATTGCCTCGTAAGCCAAATCGTTAACTTGACCTCTCCGTGCCCTTGAACGCCCAAATGCTTATTTTCATCACATTGTTACATCGTCGAAGCTAATTGTTGAAATTATTTTATCCATTCTTTTGCGTCGAAACCGTTTACTTATTTGATATTCGTATCGCACAATTTAGTTAGTAATTTTGTAATAGGGACTCGTGTAATCTGTCATTTTATTGTCCTCCCACCCCCTTTAAGACCAACTCTAAATGTTTTTTTAAGTAAGTTAAAACAACTAATAGACATAAATTTCATCCATTCAACAACTAAAATATTATGTGTTGAATTTTTCAAGCAAGCAGCGTTTTCAAAAAGAAATAAAAGTTATTGATTGTAACCGAGCCGTCTATACTTTTCATTACGATTACAAATATTTTATCGATCTACCGCAAATAAGAATTTCAGTAAAGCGTTCGTTCATTTACCTCTACCAAATCAGCTGATTCAAGATGCGTTAGTCACATTTTAATTGAAAAAAAAAATTGTGCCAAGTTCATATAATTGGCTCATTTCAAAAAATCTTAGAGGTCATGTAAAAAAATAATAGAAGATTTTTTTGCACACTCAAAATGAACGAAGAATTATTTTTAAGTAAGTCAAGTCTTGAATAAATATTGAGAATGTATACTTTACATTTTGTTCGTCATGAAACTCCCAAACGTTTCAACATGGGTACGACATAGGTAGGTAGTAGTAGACAAGCTTCTTTACGAAATGCTAAGTTTCAAGATACTATTGAAGGACATTATTGATTTTTTTTAGAAAATTATCAGTTGAATATTCCTTTTATCTCAGAACAAAAATTTCGCGGTATAAAAAATTACAACGAAAATAAAATTGATTCCGATATCTAAAATGCGATGTTGAACAAATAACACTATAAAAACAAATACAATAGGTTACAGCCAACCACTATTTCATTACACTAATTTTTAAGTTTTTTGCTGAAAACATTATTATTTTCACATGTTAATAATAAAAATAAGTATATCTTATTTACTTTACTTAAAGCTTACATTTTGCATGACACAGATCAGGTCTTAAATCCTTTACAAATGTATACCTTCCCGTCATTAGACATAGAAACAAATAATAGTCACAAATGGGACACAGTAAGAGAAACAGTTACAGATAATAATAGTAATTTTTCAGCGTCAGTAAATGCGGTTGCAAAGTGTTTGTACATAATATTGCCTAAGTAATACCGTTGCATAAGGCGCGAAGCAAGGCGCTATAAAAACACGCGTTTAGTGATTTATCGAGGCGAAACGTACAATTTCATTCGATAAACTAAATTCAGCAACTAGTTTTCAGTGAGCTATAAACACGTTATTTGGTCCGTAAAGTAGGTACAATTATTAATAGGAAATAAACTTAAATGGTAAATAAGAAGGAAATTCATTTAAAGTGGAGCCCGTGACGAGGGTATACTGCAAGCGTCGGAAACGTTGATTCACATTTAACAGATAACAGTTTAATATATAATTTAAAGTTTTAAACAATTGACAAAATTTAAAATGCCATATCATCTTTTATTTCTTCGATGAAAAGCTACAGCGACTGACCTGATGAGGATATCCGACATAGCACTGGTCGATGTCCCACAGCCATTCCTTGTCCCACAAGATATAAACACCGAAGCTAAAGTTCACGATATAGAATGTGACCTTCCACGCGTTCTCGCAAAACTTGACCAGGGTCGAAGGCTTGTCTTGACTCCTGCGCAGCCTCCACCAGCGTTCCACCTGCCGCTCTGTCATATCCAACTGCTTCCCCAGCCCACATAGCTGTAAGATGTAATAGAACATCAGTCCATATGCTTTATAGCTTTAACTGGCTTTAATATATGTTGGTGAAAGTGTGGCATTCTGCGATTACAAATAGGAGAAATTCGGTGCGTCTTCAACTAACACCAACGTATTGTTTAATTAAAGCAATAAAAAATCAAAGGCCAGTTATTTTTTCTAAGTTTAATTGATTACAAATGCCATCTTTATATTAACACCGTTAAAAATGAACTATTTGATAACTACTGAATAGACCAGCTCAGAAAGTACATTTTACCAATGTAACATAATATAAAACGAAAAACTTTAGAAGTAGTTCTTCGTAGTATTGCGTAAAATGTGTCACGATTTTTTTTTTCACAAAATTATATAAAACAGTAATTTTAGAGAAGAATAAGGAAAGTCACATCTGCAAAGCTGACTGCAGTAGGTAACTTAACAATAAGATTATGATTTCTAACTTACAAGCTACAATTAGTACACAGTACAAATTACAAGTTCTAACTATTTATCTCCTAACCTACTTATTTAATACAAGTTAACTGCTTTGGTTTAACTTATTCAGCTCGTCCTTGTAAGCCGGCAGTTCTACGTCGTCCCAATGCAACGTAACCTTATCGAAGAACTTGACTTGCACCTCATCCAACACCCTCTTTTCCTTCTCCGTCAGTCCCCCGATCGACAAATCCAGGGTGTCAGACATCTGTTTGACATCTACGAAGCCACAAATATTAGTATCGATGCCCGGCTGGTTCAGCGTGAACCAGGTCGCTATGCGCGCCAATTCGACGTCCCGCTGCTTACAATACTCCGACGCTCGTCTGCAAATCGCTTTGACGTCATCGCTCGCCGGATGCCACGGCTGCGGGCCTCTATTCGTCAGCAGCCCCATCCCGGTGGCTGCGGCGTTTATCACGCCTATGCCTTTCTCCTTAAAATAGCCCGTATAGTTCTGCAACCTATTGTCGAAGAGCGTGGACTTCGCATACGAGAGCACAGTCGAGATCTTGACCTCCGATTCCTCTATGATCTCCTTCATCAGGTCTATATCGTAGTCGGCGATCCCTATGTACCGCGCCTTACCGTCTCTGACCGCGCGCTCGAGCGTCGGCAGCGTCTCCTTCAAAACGACGGCCTCGTTCGGCGCGAACGTGACGTCATGCACTTGAATGATGTCCACGTAGTCCAAGCCGAGGAGCCGCAGCGTGTTATCGACCCCCGCCTCCGTTCTCTCGGCGGAGAAGTCGAACATTTTCGCCACATCCTTCTCGTAGCGGCCCACTTTGCTGCCGATGTAGTAGGAATCCCTGGGTACGCTTTTCAAGGCTTTGCCGATCGTCCTCTCCGAGCTGCCTTGACCGTACCAGGGGCCGGTTTCTAAGTAGTTAACTCCGCGCTTCAAGCATTCGTGGATGAGCTCTATACTCTTTCGGTCGTCGAAATCTCCATATATGCTGCTGAACGCGGCTCCGCCGAAACTGACGTGCGAGACTTTTAGCCCCGTGGCGCCGAGATCGTTGTATTGCATGATGGAATGGCACGTTTTGCGATATGTGACCGGTTCGAGCGGGTGATAAACAGGCACTGGGCATGATATAACGTATCACAGATAACATACGATCGCAGTAAATAACGAGATCTTGCATCTGACCCGTCATAAGGTGCTGCATTGTCTGTGGCTTATTTCACTCGGTAATTAAATGTAAAACCATTATCTTGAATACTAATTTCGCATAGAATTAATTTTAATGACAATTTGTAATATGACCGAAGTATAATTGTGGGTCTCTTTAATAAAAACGAGAAAAAGAAAGTTCTATTGTGAACTTTACAAGTTTTTTTGTCTACCCTAAAATGTCTTATAAAAGTGTCAACAGACGAAAAGCCCACCTTCGTACAGCGAAGCAATTATTCTATAGGAAACTAACGAAGATAAAATATCGTAGCATCGTATACGCCTACCAGTCCTCACTTCGATATCCCGACAATGGCCTTGAGAAATAAGCAATAATTTCGAATAAACACGATACTATCGCGCTAATCTCGGTTTCCATTTGAATATTATCAAATCCAGTTATGATTAAAATGTGGGTAATATTTTATTAATCATATTACGGGAGAATTCAACAGCATATTGATAAATGGGTAATGTATATATGTATGATATACATTATTAAAATGGTTAAAAGTAAAATTCCATTTCCGATTTTCTGTTAAAGCACGGATACAAAAACATATTTTTGTATCCGTTTCATGACACGTCGTGCTTAACGCGACGCTAGCTAACGCATGTAATCGTGGACTTACAAAAGCGGTCATCTAACACGAAAGTTTTTTTTTTTTAAGATAGAGTAGGATAGACAGACATGAGCTTCATTCAAGCTTCTGAGGTATACCATAAAAAGAAAAATCCTAGTAATAGTAGTTAGTACATTATTAAAACTTCTTGTTTAAATTGTTAATCATACAATTTATATTACACTTTCTACTGTTGGAATAATTTGTTTATATACATTCTTATTACCTCTTCTTTATGTTTAATGGCCTTGGACCTAATACATATGTAACATAAATGATAAAATAATAATATTAAAAAAATTTAGGGTCTGACAAATATCTTGCCGAGAAGCACCACTCATAGTAATATATATTAATAAAATAATCTGATATATTATGAAGACATTGTTTATCTCAGGTTGAGGGTTCAAGGTGGATGTCTTATCAGTACATTCCTCTATTTGATTGCAACTTTCTTGTTTCTGAGTAATATTTCAATTCACATCTAAACCCTAAAATGTTGTTAAGAAAATTTGGCAAAGTTCAAAAAGATTTTAGTTAATAGTAAGTCAGTTACTCTATTATATGACCAAATAGGCTTATATCCGACTTGCTAAAGAAATGACTGGCAACACAGCATGTATAGTAGGGATTCTTAGTACTATATATCAGATTACTTTGTTGTAGCATAGTAGTAAGAATTAAATATACATAACCCTCTTACCTCTTTTGAAGTCTTTGACCCTGCTTTATATGCTGCTTCTAACTTTGGATTATCTGGCGCTCGCCTTGGACGTGTGTCTTTTATGCCTAGGTTTCTGCCGAGCGGGGCAAACACTATCCTAGAAGAAAATATAGTGATTAAATGATGAAATTAAATGCATGCAATCATCATTTCTATGCACTGCCTTCAGTTGTAACTCTAACACTGTGTTTAACAAAGCCAGTTTTGATGAGGGGAAATTAAAAAAATATTTGATCTGACCATACACAAAAGGCAGCTCATCTATCAATGATATTCATCAAGGAAAAAGACACAATTTGTATATCTTATATGTGACTCTGAGGGTTTCCACTTACCTACATTACTTAACATACATATAAAACTGTGGGTGTATTAGTGTTATAGGTAACCATACAAAACTACTCTCACTGACTGACTCATTAATTATATCTGATATAACTCATATGAGATATATCAGATATATAATTAATGATAATATAATGACATTTTAAAGAATTGACTAAATTGATATAAATTACTCCTTCCATTTGCTATATAATTGCTATTTTGTTGATAGATATATAAAATTAAACTATGGATGCAAAGACGGATCAAAAGGCGAGGACAGCTAAGTTTTAAAAATATATACATGAAAGAATTAGACATTAAGTATGAATAAAAACATTAAAAAAAGGTTTTTGCTTTTTTGAAACCTTCCAATTTACGGAAAGACATTCAAGTCAATTTTAGTTCAGTAAAGCAAAGTGTAATTAGAGAATAATGGGAATATGTTTGATGCTCTTGTATGAGAAGAGTTGGGAAATAGTTTTTAAAAATTATTTATACATTTTTAAATTAATTAATTTATAAATTTAAATATAAAATAAATTATGAAAATATTTATATAATATTATTTCCTAGATATTTTTCAAATTTAAAAAAATATATTTAATTATATAATAATTATAAAATTAAATTTTTATTAAATAAATTAAAATGTGGAAGTGAGTTTAATATTAACAAGATAATATGTAAAATAAATTAAATTTATGTAAAATTTTTGGTTGTATATAATAATTTATTTAATCCTTTTAAGGAAACCTAAAAAATCAATAGTTAAGATAACATTCACATATAGTTGACAATCTTAGAACCCCTATGAGGGTGAAGACGACAACTATATGAATAGCAGTGAACTTTCGGTACTTACCGGTCTAATATATAGCGCAGGCTTATAAAAACTAGCGCTAACGGTATTGGGAAGAAGACATGACGATGATCCGTATAAATTACGTCTTTTTCCGGGCCAGGTGCTATGTCTGCCCATGTTGTGTTAGGCGGTAACCAAACATATTCACTCCAAAATGTATTTAGTACCGTCGCAAGCATAATTCAATAGATTATTATTCACACAACACACCACAATCAGCTACACCGAAGATTTAACTCAAAAATCTTGAAATTATTTAATATCCCGCGGCCAACCGCACGATAGCGAGTCGGTCAGACGGTGCGCGGAAATAATGTTGCCAACTCAAACTGTCCATTTCCTCATATAAATTTAATTACTGCCTATTTGGTAATATTTTTATGGCAGAAACAACTAAACCATGATGGCACACTGTAAAAAAAACTTTATTTAAGCTAAACTTATTTAATCAATGTTCTTTGCTGAAAACAATATCTGTCAAAGAAGATTGCTTGTTTTTAATATTTTAAAATACAATTTTCGGATACGACCATAAGCACCCATTTTTTTAAATTCCGCTGAATTTTTGCACATTGGACTACATTGGCAACATATATAAAAGTCACAGATAATACACTAAGTACAAATGCTGTCAAAGTTACAGATTAAATATAAGATAATAATTATAATAAAATAATTTTATTGGCTGCCTGAAAACTGATGCCACAATATAAAAATGCTATTAAAACACTTGTTAGCCTCAAATTTCTTTATTCTTTTTCACAGCATACATTACTCTCATGTTGTGCAAATCGAAGCAATCACAATCGTATATTTTGGTCATATAGACATTTCACCAATTACGCACATTTTACGAAATTATGACTGCTTAGTAATTTAAAATAAAATTTTTAATAAATCAACGTATCCAACAAAAAATCTACTGAATGTATTTCGACATGTGTACTTATATTTTATATATGTACAATGTATATTACTTACTGCTAGTGGGCAAGGGGTTATTCGAAACTTGGTAGTGTGCAAATTCCATCAATATTTTAATTTTGTATAGCCCCATATGATGTACTTTTAGCTTAAAATTGAATCGTTACTTTTATCACTATAATATATGAGGCCGCTAACTGCATTTCTATGACTTGTGTTATTTATATTTTCATAGTCTAATAATGTTTGACCACAGTGACCGAAAATTGTTAACAATTCTTACACAAATAATAGTACTAATTAATTTTAGCCTGAATCACTTGCGCATTAATAGGCCTCTCTGCCTCTAGCAGCCTCATATGGGCTTGTGAAAATTTCTTAAATTCGTTCCCTGGGTGTTCTTAGTGATAGTGATATTGTCTAACAGTACTCTGTCGATCGAATAGCACACTACAAAGTACATTCATTCGAACGAACATTTATTTAGCAACGATACTCTCACTCTCTACTCTTTAACTTATTTAATGATAACATTATAAAGGCACCACTACATTCCCTAAACAATTCTCGTTCGTATTACATTATGGCGCCAACAAAAAAGTCGAGAGACTTCTCAAAGTATTAAAAATTAATTAAACATAACAGCGAAAATAGTTCTCTATTACAATCTAAACAATACTAATCTGGAAACAGAAATACAATAGATATTTGTTCTACGCACTTAGGTAACTAGAAAATGCAAAAAGGAATTTCGTCTACGCGATAATACAAAAATAATATCTAAATAACTTGTCAGTTATTAATGTTTATAGTACTTTTGCTGAAGAATTAAAGGCGTGGCATTTCACAGGTTATAGATAACCAATAATTTTCTTTTTGGTTATAAAAGAATCGAATTCGATGGCCATTAGTATTGTTTGGGAAGGATATTGGATAATTAATCGACAATAAATCGATAGCATCTTGTAATTGAGATACAGTAGTGTTATGCCAGCTAACTCGATTCTTTAAGACAAATAAGTTATTGAGTGACACATGACCTGTCGCAGAAACAATCCCACAGCAAAACTACCTCCTTTTTAACTAGGCTCGTTTAATATAAAAAGTTCTTTTTGAACCGTTAAATGTTATCTAGTACAACCGTCATATGTATTTCTATATTTACCTAACTAGTTCTATGAAAGCGTCTTTGGGTGATTCGCATATACCTACTTAACTATACAACGTGCAATCATTGATATGGACTTTTTGGTATTAATAAATAAGTAAAAGATGGCTACGGCAGATATCATCAATCGACAAACATTTCAGGTCATAATTAAAACTCAGTAATTTAGTTTTTGTTCACACATAAGGTGTAGTGTAAAACATTGATTCATACTTTACAAACGAGTTTGTTCAAAATTTTAATGCCCCACGGCTGGGCATATTCATCCTTTTACATAGAAGTGGATTTTTAAGAGCTCTCTCGTGTTAAGAGTTCTTTTAACTCATTTAGGTCGATGACATCCTGTGTGATGGGGTAAATGCGGGGCAATTTTGCCATAAATCTCGTTATTAAATACGCACTCATTTACAACAAAACTAAAAAAAGGATAATTGTATAACAGTTATAAATTTACTTTTTGTCAATTCCCAAAATATACGCGTTATAACTAGAACGGGCAAGAGTCTGTTTTACAAGACTCTCGGATATGTGCCGTATCCGTCTTCTACACGCATTAAGAACTAATAACATGCTTAACTGTATGTTTTAAGGGTTAAAATTAACAAATTTGTTCTTACGCCGACATTCGAGTCATAAAAAATAATCATATTAAAATTTAACATACAGCACTGATACAGGGATATGAAACTTGTTGTATTGGGAGTATGTTGTGATTTTAAACGTGGGTTTCCCCTGAGCAAGGAATCACAAAGCAAAAATATTTCTTCCGACTCAGTCAGTGAATAACACGATGTTGGAATACATACAGCAAAACATATATCTCTAATCGATATTGAAGTGCGTAACATCTGACTGTCTCGGATTCGAGTTCAAATTATGTCATAGTTTTATCTTCCTTATTGCGTTTTTTCTTGAAAAACAATAGTAACCGAAGAATTATATCCTAGTCAGTTACAAAAGTAACACACTTTGGTACATCATAATTTTGTTACCATTTATTAGGACACGATAACGAATATGCTAAATAGAATATTTAAATAAAAAGTCTTCTACTATACTAGTTTAAAAGAAAAAAAAACAAACAATGGTCCCTCCATATCTTTGATACTAAATATATCACAATGGGTGGTTACACAAATTCCCAATAAGTTTGTTTGATTGGAGGACTTTTGAAACAAATCTGATTACAAGGATTTAAAAAAAAAAAATTTGATGATGACTTCCTCTATTGATAGCAAACAACAGAAAGTATTTTTTATTTACGACGTCCGATCAAGTTGACAATTCAAGTATCTTTGCAAGAAAACTATTTTAGAGATTGAGTTAAATAAAGATCGTAATGGCCAACCTTATTTTAAGACCACATATTCAACATTGTTGGGAATTTGTGCAACCACTGTGTACAATGATTAAAGATTGAAAATAATCTCGACAAATGTCTATTATTGCAGGCTTATTCAGAACCACATTCCAACATCACTATAGCCATCTCTTTTCGACCAATACTAAACAAATGTGTTAAAGAAGGAAAGATATAGCTATATGAGACGTTGTAACGAGTCTTTTAAGAGTATTGGAGAATTTGTGAAAGAGTATAAATTAATAATGTGACAAAGCGAATACTGTAAAAGCAATCTAAAGATATCAGAAATTTACTAAGATATGTTCATATATGAATTCCGTAATATTACAAGGTAACAGTTGCTATGTTTTGTCTCTTTCCACTACATTTAATTGACTATATGAGGAAAAGAGACGCAACATAATACAGTTTTAGTAAAACATGTAGTGTTTTGTCTCTCTCGCGCATATTTATAATGTGTAAGAAAGAGACAACACTACTACACGATTAATAGACAGTTCAGGTTTTTGAATAAGACAATCGAAAAGTTAGATTTAAAGGTTAGTGTACGAATGTACTAATTGTTAATCTGTATAACTTAGAGTATTGCAATATGTCCATAGATGTATTATGCGTTGGCAATATTAATGACGTCACCGACATTTCTTTGGCGACTTACTTCTCCCTGAAAAAAAAAAAAGAAACGCTCTATAAAATAATAAATTTATTACACAATATTATAAAATATAAGCTAAAATATATTCAAGAACAAGCAATCATACCACAAAGTATAGTAAGATTAGGTTTTAAATTGGCTGATTTCCTACATGCTAAAATCTTTTAAACCATACGCATAATAACAGTATAGATAAGGCATGTTTAACTTAAAAAGTAGTAAATAAGTATCTTTTTACCTTATTTTGATTTTTCTTTCTTGTGTCTACTGCGAGCAAATAAAAAATAACACATGAAAAATCTATCTCTAGAATCCCAAGTCTACTTAAGTCTTTTCACCATAACAAGTTAATAGAGCGGTGTCTCTCTCGAACGATTGTTTACAAAAATGAATCAATAAATGGCCAGTGTTCATAAATATTTCTCCAGTAAGTCGTTTGAGTGAAAAGACTATAGTGATGTTTACTCACTTCTTATTGTTGATCCTATTTGGAGTACTGTGGTTGGATTGGTGGGAACTATCACTCATGTCGGAACTCGAACTGCGAATGTCGCCTTCCATCTGGAAAGTTTATATCGTAACGCTTAATCTAATGTTGAAAAAAAAAAGACACCTTCCATCTTTAGGCACCCCGTGACCACGACTGCAGCAAAGCATCCGAACGTCTGGTCGCAGTTAAAATAATTTCCAAATAAGTGTAACTAATATATATCGCGTTTTATACCATTAATGTGTTTTATTCAAATAAAAAAATAATAATGATAATTCGAAGGTGAATTTTAACCTTATTTTTAATGTAATCCCTTAATGGTTTAACTCCATTCTCTTACGAAAAGGAACAGTATATAGATGTAGTTACCTTGCCAGCATTAATTGATTTGTAAGCTACTTGTAGTATTAGCCACGTCCACACCATATGCAGGCACAACAGCAAACAGAGCAGCGAATTAAAGATATAATAAGCAGCAAACATCGGCAGCAGCATGGGAGCGCGAATCGATGTGCTGAAAGATGAATAAAATAATGTTTAAAAAAGGTAAAAACTACATATTTCTTATTGAAAACATTGATGGCAGTTTATACTAATTTCTACGACAGGCGCCATCTTTCGGAATTCTCAACCCCTTTCTTCCTTTACCTCGGGCACAAGTTGCGATTTAATTCAGTAAGCTTTTCAGGATAGAAAAAAAACTTAGAATGTTAAATAACAAAGTTTAATAATAAGTATTAACTACCTTAAATCTTATATGAGGTAAAAAAAATGTAGACGATATTTCTTTTGTGATAATAATACAAACATTGGAATTAAACCCTAGGTTTGTTGTTTTGAAAAATTTGCACGTGATTCAAGAGTCTCTATCCCGTTAGACTCATCAGTTTTATTCAGAAACAAGTAGTTCATCCAATTTCTATCCCTTGCCCGAACGAAAAGACGATTTTTTTCCCTAAAATTCGAACCCAAGACTACGCGCGCTTAACGTTAATGCTAAGCAACATATTTGACCAATTTAGTTGCTGAAGTGATCGAGATTAAAATATCTCAAAATTATGATAAAATTTTTCCAAATTCTGTTGGCAACAAACTATCAAATTTAAGGATAAAGTAAAACTGACCTCCAAATAATATAGAAAGGATATATTCCTAGCCTGGTGACAATCCATAGGACGGTGAATATGGTAAAGATGAAGTCACACAGCTTTTGGTAGTTCGCGTATTTCGCTGCTTTGGCCGCCTGTGTTTTTTAACAAATAAGAGGAGGTGGTGGGGTGGCATTTGAGTTGTAGCTCTTTCTGGCGGTAGGAAGAGTAAGTGGAGCGTAATAAAACCCATAATAACAAAATAGACAACAAAAAGATATTCATAGAAGTGTACTTTTCTAACTATTAAAGGACTTATTAAAATTTTTAAGTGTTTAATTGCAAGCCGTAATGTTTCCTTGAGTATAAACCTAAACCAAGTCTAGTCCCTATCACAAACGATCGTACCTCTAAGAAAATGTCCGCACAATCATGCACCAGTAGCACCAGCGTCCCGATCCGGTGAAGGTTGCAGACCCACGAGAAGGAGAGCAGAGCGATCGTGGCGATGTGGTGCACGAACATCTGCCAGAAGTCTTTGCGACGCACGTCCCAGAACTGGGACAGGGTTAGCGCCCAGTAGAACGCCGACGATATCATGTAGTACCACCAGATGTCACTGGTGACACCCTGGAAAAGTGAATGTCAACAGGTTAACAAGCAATTGGTTACGGCTACTGTGAATTATTCGTGTTAGAATTGAACCTAATTCAGCCATTAAATCGATTAGGGGAGTAAAGCAAATCTGTGCAAATCATCTCTTCTCGCCAAATGTGAAGCAGATTGAATTCATTAGGTCATTGGTCCCGTACTATGTTGCATTTGGGGTCGGTGTCTGAGAAATGGAATTTAAGGTGATGATTGGTTTAGCCACGAACGCGATTTCAAAGACGATAAATATTATACATTATATTGGATAAAATCACCAACTTATTACAGTGATCCCGACTCACCTGATGAGGATAACCAATATAGCACTGGTCTATATCCCAGAGCCAATCCTTATCCCACAGGATGAATACACCATACGAGAAACTGTAGAAATAGAAAGTACACCTCCACGCATTTTCGCAGAACTTTACGAGGGTCGAGGGCTTATCCTGGCTCCTGCGCAGCCGCCACCAGCGCTCCACTTGCCTCTCCGTCATGTCCAACTGCTTCGCCAGCGCACATATCTGCGAAATAAACACTCGTCTGGGGAAAAAATGACGCTTATCTGTCCGTACTCTCAAATTGCAATTCGCCAATCTCGTGGTGGATTTTTGGCAAAATTTTGCAACATAAAAGAAAATAAGGCTAGCAACGCAGGCAGAACTCGATCTGTACATGATGCGTGATCTTACGCATTCACATAACGCTAAATAAAGTTTAAACAAAGCAAAAGCAGAGAGCTATTAGTGCGGTACTGCTAACTACGAATATGGGCAACGGATTAATGAGGATTGCTGAATGAAGTATTGATAAGGAAGCGGTTTGAGGTCCGGCTAAAAAAGAGACAACTGTCTCGTTGGTCTAATCTAACGGTAGCAATGTATGGCTAATAACCAACGGGTCGTGGGTTCGATCCCTACCGGGTTCAAGAGGTGTTTCTAATTTTAAAATTTATAATTTTTCTGAAACATGTCCGACTTCGTCTGGAAATCTGGATATTAAATATCGAAATGGCATCCGGTCACGAACCACCGTTTAAAGATAAAAAAAAGCTGTGAAATTTAATAGCATTTCGGGTTCAGTCTGTGCATTTTCGAATATCCGAAGATGCTGATGTTCAGATGCTGGACTATTTCACCTCTATGTTAAAAAAAAGAAAGTTGGGTTAATTTTTTCAGCTTTAATTTAAAAATGGATCACGCCATGATAGCGCTTATCGAGACCTGTCCGACTCATTGTGTCAAAGACTCAAATACTAATTTGGGACACGATTAGCTTATCAGTGCGATTATCACTTGCGTTTTTAATCTGTAACGTGTTACTTCGAAGATAATTTCTGGTTAGACGCCAAGACCAAACCCATCCTTTTGTGAAATCAAGAATGTTGAAATACTTAGTGTGTATCATCGTCGGACGAGGAATTTCTATACTGAGAATTTTAATAGAGGACCGAGGAACAGGAAGTGCTAGTAAAGAGAAAATATGTTTTATTTCAAAATGAAAGAGACTAGAAAAAGGTTGTCAGGACTTGACACGCTCATTGTCTGTAGAATCATTTGACTTGCCCCCGCTTTTCGAAACGGGCGCGGCGTACAAAAGTAGGTCGTAAGCCAAGGACTTAAGTGCGATAATTGGTCGACGGTGGTCAGCTCAATGGACGGGCGTCGTGCTAAATGCCAACATTTCTGAACCGCGTAGATTTCAATAACTCTGCTAATTGCACCTAATTTGTTCCATTTTGCTTTGGTACCTCGAGATTATATTGGCAGCCTCGTGGCCGTGGAGCCTTTGTTGCGTGGGACTAGCCTCGCCCCGCGGCTTTGCTCGTTTTTTTATCTTTTGCAGAAAACTAAACGTATACACTTTGTAAAATTACGGATAGTTCAGTCCGGCCGTTTTAGATACAAGTGACACATGAAAGGAAAAGAAAAAGCTACCAACAAGCTAAAGCTAGCAAGCTAAAGTGACCGTGAGATATCGACATCGTCGTTTTATGGCTACATACTTAAATAAAATTATTCGCTACACTTTGATTCCGTCTATTTTGGTGAATAATATCTCACAATAGAAAGACTATTTCACAATGTGTAGCTTAAGTTTTTGAATACAAAATCCCATAAAATAAAACAATATTCCATTCAAACGCGAGTCATTTCAACACGTCTACTTTAACAAAAAACCTATTCACCGTCTAATCGTATAGTGTTATCGGTGTCTCCAACCACAATATTACTCATCGGTTTATTTTAATTTTTATTAATTACCGTATGCAATCGCTGCAAATTCAGGGACAGATTAAGTTGACCTGTCAAGCGACCATGAACCTAAATGTCTCCACTTGCTTGAGAGACATTTCCGAGCCAAGGAAATAACGAAAAGCCTAAATCCTCCTCATGCCAATAATCTTCCACCGAATTGAAGCACAAGGATAATTCCTGATGAATATTAACCGTTAAAGTAGCGTTACATAAGAAAAAATAAATCATTGGAACTATACATTAAATAAATAGTAACAGACTATTATACGTACTGTAGATAGTTTACGCGAGTAGTACACATTTAAATAAAAAAAACTTTGAAAGGTTACGATTGCTAAAAGTCATCTATTTTTTAACCGACCCAGTGTTTCGGATGCTTTGCTGCAGCCGTGGTCACTGGGAGGACTGAGACAGACGTCTACTATATCATAACGTTAAACATAAACATACTTTTTTTATTAAGTACCAAATTACATACACAATTTTATCGAGATGGCTTTACCTTCTTTTAGGCTTATGTACTAAGAATACGATAATATAAGTCGTCGTTATACATATTGATTTTCATAAATTGCTCGAATGAAATGTAGGCCACGAGCATTTGTCGCAGACATTTGGCACGCCTATGTACAGGCTTCATATCAATATCGCACGTTGGGCTGGATTGTTTCAACTGTGCGAACTTCAGAGAATCGGAGGAATGAAAACAAGGTTTTTTTGCCATATGAAGTACTAGCTGCGTCAGCGACTTCGGCCGCGTAGAATAGTTATTTTGGGCATCAAGTTTGTTTTTGCTAACCTCCTGTTCAACTCTATAAATTTAAGCTTCCATCCACGACTCATCTGCATTCCGTCGGTCTTGCAAGTTCATCTTAACAGTTAGACACACACTGTCCCGGAATTTTTTTGGATCATTTAAAGGATAATCATTCTTTGAAACATATTTTTGGGTATCTTAAACCATTTTTACAGCCCTCGAAGATTATATTCCCGTTTTATTTACAATTCCGTGTTACTTCGGTGATACCGGTCGCAGCCCGATGTTTTCTAGCATAAAGCCTTCCTCAATACATGGTTCAAGCAGCACAAATTTTTCAATTCTAACGCTTGAGATTAGCGCGTACAAACAAAAAAACAAACTGGAGCTTTGTAATTTTAGTAAAGATTTGTCACAAGTGCTTATTAAGATAAAATTACATAAGTGTTACGTTTTGACGTAAGTACCTAACATGCATACGAATTGAACCAACGAATGTGTGAGGAACACACGTCTTCAGCAGCGTGCTGTTTCTATTCTAAAACCGGCCAAGCGCGAACCGGACTCGCGTACGAAGGGTTCCGTATCGAGACTTGGGGCATACTTTTAATAGCTCTCTACCATATGCCCATATTTTTATAGCGGGCAACAAAAATGCATTATTCATGATAATTTCAATTCTCTAGCTGTCGTGGTGCTTTAGGAGGTTAACACAGTCTGTTGAGACAAGTCTTTGAAGTAGGGTTTCTTTTATAGTTCGCGATCCCTAAAAAATAATGAGTTCCATCAAATTGCGCTCAACTGTTGTTGCATAGAGAATAAGAATTTTGATGTTTTATATTTCTCTACACGTCTTTCTAAGACGTCGACCTCTTTGAAGACCACGCGTGGCCTAATTTTAAATGTTACAGCAATGCAACGGGCTCATAATTGATGAAAAAATATGGCGCCAAGGCAATGATGAAGAATTCGAGGGTACAATAAAATTGTTACTTATTGTCTCTGGTCTAGAAATCCCAATTGAAGCAATCATCATTACCATCAATTCAATTGACATTATACATCATAGACAACTGATTCTTATTTTGTTTCATATTTGACGGTCAAGACGGTTTAAAAGCTTGTGAGCCAAGAACGAACAAGAATTTTGTTGTATACCTTTAAATAACGATAAACAAAGACGTTGTAATTTAAAAATACAGACTCGTAGGTTTAATGTTAAATAATAACGAATTCGTAGGTTTAATTTCCACTGGGGGTGGGTTTAAATCATTTTTGAAATAAAACACGTAAGCGTCGCCGGTAGGTAAAGCGTTTGGAAAATCTAGATATAAAATAGGTAACGCTGAAAAAGCTATTCAGTGTAATATTTCTGTATGTCCAAAGACAAAATAGGTCGACGGTGCATCTCGTTTGGATGTCACAGGGCTGGCCTATTTTATCTTTCAGTTTATAAGAAGAATCGATAATAATTTTCAGTTGCGTTACGCGTTAGCAACCTTAGAATTGCAATAGTAAGGTCGCGGTCATCTCGATGTCTTTTAACCTTCGCCGAGTTTATTTACGAGGATTTCAATTAGATCTATTTGCACTGCATACCTATTCAAAGAAATATTAACTTCCCGAGATATCTCCCGCGGAATTATCCTTCATTATTGGTACTAATAGCAGTCGAAATCTGATTGTCGAGCTGTTATAGCTCTTTATTAATTATATATCTTTATTTATACTTTATTTACTTCTATAAGTTATCGAGGCAAGTGTTTTTATAATAGGCCAAGGTTCTATGGGTCTACCTGTGTGTCACCAGCGAAGAAAGTATGACAGAGGAGGACAAACAAACATTGGATTCACGTGATGAAACACGTGCCTAGAACATCTCATTAGGATACGTAAAACTGAAACACGCATCTACCTTACGAAGTTTTTTTTGGTGGAAAGTGATTCGTACCAAGTATAATAATAGATTGGTTTTCTCCATATGGTAGACTTGATAGGAAACAAACCCACCAGCGCTAATAGCCATTCATTGCTACCATCGACAGCCAAAGAGCATGTCAAAGAAGAAATAATTAATTATTACACGCCATGCGGGACTCAAATTTTGATTGGTTCAAAGGCCCTATAGTAAAACCATCTCCCAATTATCGAAATCGAACTAATCAAAATATATACGGGCAATCTACGTCTGAAGGTTCAATTTACAATACAATAGCTAGATTATACAGCATGATGTTGAAAATCCTGAGAACAGCAGAAAACATATTGTCTCCGCTGCTGAATTATGTTTTTTATACTCTATTACTACAAAGTTGGAACTTAAATAATTATATAAAGATTGAAAAAAACGCAAAAGATGGCCTGATACCGTGTGCGTTTGTAACTGATCTCTGGCGCATTAAGATCAATCCATGTACAGAAATCTACAAGCTATGCTATTTTTATTCTACCAACTACTTGCTATTATAATAGAACTGATTTGTATATTTAATCTATTATTCATATAATATTATGGCCATGGGAAAAATATGTACGTGAAATAGAAATATTTAAGTGTGCTAGAAATACCGAAATACTTAAAAACCATGTTAGTGTTAAAGCTTAAGATAAATATTTTAAGCATTTTAAGGTCCCAACAATTCAGACTTATATAGAATAAAATATACGTATGTGAAACAGTACGGACCTTAAAATATAGGCATAAAATAGTGTGTGCAAATTACCTGTTCCCTGCTGAAAAACAACTGAAAAGAAAGGAAGGCAAAGTTAGATGTTAAACAAGCCACACCAAACACCATAGACTAGCATACATAAATAGCTATTGAGCATTATATCTGGGAGACTAATGATAATATTTAATAATTAGATTTATTGTTTTACTGGTTCATATACATAATTAGAATGACCACCGATTTTACAAAGAGAGCCCAGCCAATTAATTCCCAATTTTACGTATTTTAAGAAATAATATATATAAATCACCATCCATAAGAATATTATTTCATAATTTATTAAGTTTTACCTCATTTTATGTTTAGGGTAGGAAGATTTTTTTTCGATTTGTACAGGTTCTGAACCCTACCGAAATTACAAGGTAAGCACGCAACTTCAAAAATTTTTTTTAGTACTACTTGTAGCCAAGCCGTATAGAAAATGTTTGTGGGTTGCTAACATTTTTGATTAACTGTTTGTCTATAGCGTATTGTAATAACATCTTCATTTGAAAAATTACTATGATTAATGTAATGCTTGGTTATTATAATTTTTAGAAATAATGTACATGAGATCTTATTTATGACTGTCAAATAAACCTTGGCAATAAAAGGAGTGGCAAGTTTCTTGCCAGTTCTTCTTATTCGTTTTGATTTGAGAATTGGTACTTAATGTCAATTTTGTTTCTAACATTATTGATGTTCATAAGTGTAGGTAGTCACCAACATTATTAAATTATTTTTTATGAAAATACATTTGAGTTATATATAATAATTTGTATATTTATTCCACTTTTCGTTTTAATAAAGCCAACATCAAATTTGAGAGCTAAAATATATATGCAATAATGAATAATATTGCTATAAGGGAATAGATAACCGTTTTAAATTCTTTATTATTTTGCCACCCTATATGTGAATAGTTTGACATTATAAATATGTAAAGTAAAATGTAGCTTACCTGCTTATGTTTAATTTTAGAGCACTCTTGATATGCTAATTCCAGCTTTGGGTTACTGGGTGCCTTTTTAGACCTTGTGTGCTTTATGCCCAATGATTTGCCAAAGGGTGCAAACCAATATCTTAAAAAAATATATTTATATTAACACCACTTTATTATATATGAGAAATCCATTATACAGATATCTAAGCCCATAAGAAATGGGATTTCGAAAAACACATCACTGTGTGAATTAACATTTTAAAAAGATCATAAATCAATATACACCCTCAATAAATGTTAGTAAATTTCTTCATATTAATAGTAAGCACTGGGTTAATATTATGGGGATCATAATATTTTATTTAAGCAGGATGCTGTAGTCTGAACACCTACTTGAAATATATAGGTAGTACAGGAATAAAATAGACACCGAAGTTACATACAAAAATACTAAAGAAACATTGCAATCAGTCAGAGATTATTTTAAATCTTTACAAAATGTTTTGCTATTAACCTTAATTTATGTCTTATGTCACATTTATCATCTAAACCCATCAAAGATACACATGTCATGAAATATTAGTAATAAACAAATTGTTATCAGAGCCAAGGTTTAGCTAACCATAAATGAAGAGTTAGCATATGTTTACCTAGTGAGACTCGTAATGAATTGAACTATTTTTACTGCATGATAACTTATCAATAAGGATACAATTAATCTACAATCAAGTTGATAATAAATGTGACTCACTGACCGCCTACGAACACCACTTTTTGACACACTTAACTTAACTCGTACTCACTTCTCTAAAACGTGCCGAAGCGCAATGAGCACGAATGCCAGGGGTATGGGGTAGAGAAGATGAGTGTGGTCATTATAAACCACCACTTTATCAGGCCCAGGTTCGATATCTTCCCAAGTCGTATTCGGCGGCAGCCAAACGTCTTCGTTCCAAAATTTATCTAATAAATACCGCATCATTTTCACTAGATATATAAGACACTGTTATTGTAAAATACTATTACATAACACCTGGTCAAAGACCACAATAAATAAAAACATTTAATATTTTTTTAAATTATTTCTATATGTACAATTCTAATAAGATTACAACCGTCGGTAACAGAAATGGACTTATGACACAGACTAGCAGAATAACGGCCGTCTGACCAAGTAGTGCATATTTAGGTGTTGCCATTCTCGGTTGTATAAAACTAGCTAGAAATTATTTAAGTTTAAATTAAGTAAACATTGTTGTGGATTTTATCCAGTCATTGTATGAAAAAGATTTGGACTGTAATTGTCCTTCACAAATAAGTATAATTAATTAAGTCATATTGACACTGTACAAAATTTATAAAACGATATAAACTATCGTCAACATTTTGATTTAAGTAAAGTCTGTAGTCTGTAGCAATACTGTGTCTCATTTATACATGTGATTTTGACTTTGACAGAAGTGATTTCATCGCAATGTTGATTTTTAATTTTTATTTCAATGGATCATTGGAAACGTCATTTTGTTTACTATTATTTTAATTCACTTTTGCGACAATGTTTGTTCAGTAATTAGTAATTTTATAGAATTTAGCTTTGAATAGGATTTAATAAGAATGTTTAAAGTTTGAAGGTTATTTCTATCGGTTAAATGTATACATTTTTAAACTTGTAAAAATAATGTTATTTTGTCCAACGTGTGCAAACATTCTTATGGTTGAAGAAGGACCTGAATCAGTTCTTCGCTACGCTTGCAACACGTGTCCTTATATATATAATATTAAGAAAAAAGTATCTTCAAAAACATTTCCAAAGCTTAAGGTTAGTGTATTGCATCACCTTAAAAACGTGTCTGAAAATTATATTCTAGATAAACAAAAGCATTTTTTATTATGTTTTAAAATATCGAATTTTGACAGGAACTTGATTATATTATGGGAGGTGCTGCTGCATGGGAGAATGTTGATTCTACTGATGCAGTCTGTCCTAAATGTGGTCACGGAAAAGCGTTCTTTATGCAACTTCAGACTAGATCTGCTGACGAACCTATGACAACCTTTTACCGCTGTTGTGACCATAAATGTGCATACAATTGGAGAGATTAAGAATGACCATTGTAAAAAAAGTTTCGCGGTTTTTCAGCATTTTAAGATTTAAAAGTGTTACAAACATGAAGCTTAAGATGGCATCAATTATACCTTCTGATGATAGTAAGGCCTGTTTACTTGCTGCACAATATCTGGCCAAAGGAAAAGTTATTGCAGTGCCAACAGATACTATATATGGTTTAGCTTGTAGTGCTAATTGTAGGGAAGCTATAAAAACATTATATGCTATTAAAGGGAGGGATTCTGCTAAACCTGTAGCTATTTGTGTAAGTTCTATTGCAGATGTAAGAAAATGGGGTGAAGCAAGGCACTTAAGTGATAATTTATTACAGCAATTGTTACCCGGCCCAGTGACTATTGTTTTAGAGAGAACAAAATTATTAGACAATCCCTACCTGAATCCTATGACTGCTAAAATTGGTATACGGATACCAAATTGTATGTTTATTAACAGTGTTACAAAAACTCTGGATATGCCAGTTGCATTAACCAGTGCAAACTCTAGTAATGAACCATCATCATTATCTATAAATGAATTTAACCATTTATTTTTTCATCTAGCTGCAGTGTTTGATGGAGGTGTATTGCATCAGGGTTTGGATAAAAACCGAAGTGGTTCCACAGTTGTAGACTTATCTAATATTGGTTATTATAATATTATAAGAAAGGGTATATCATATGAAAACATTGTTCAGACATTGCATGACAACGGTTTGAAAAGTGTTTCATAGTTTTATTTAAATAAATTTGTATTAATTCTGTGTTTACTTAATAGTGTTGTTCTTAAAAAAAAAATTTCCTTATATTAGTCAAAGTCAAAAAAACATTGTTGTTTATGCTTAAACTACTTGATGACCCAGCAAATAATGCTTTTCCATATAAATTATTTCTAGTGAATATTTTTGTATTCATAAAATGTAAAGTACTTTTTATTGTGACTGTGTCTATGAAATATTGGAAGAGTTTGTGCACAAATACTCTGACAGAAACATTTTATATATTCGATTATGTTATGGGTTTGTTACATACATCATTATTAGTCTCTGCATAGTCAAGCTATGTCCTTCATTTTATGATGCCATCCAATTAAGATGTGGTAATATTGATATGCATATACTTACCAAAAGTACCATAGCAAAACGCCTGTTATAAAAGCTTTTTTTTCAATGTACATCATATTGTTAGAATAAAAAATAGTAATAGTTAACAGACCTTTAATATTTACAAGTAAATTTTTTTATAAATTTTTACATTTGAGCAGCAGAGGCAACAATCATTTTTACTATATCAACACCTAGACTAGATAGGAGATCACTAATTCCCTGTATTACTCGGAAATAAATAATGCACAAAAACTACAAGTCAATCACCATTGAGTTGGGTAACTTATTTTACGTCATATCTGTGAGCTTACTGGCATTCTGTGTTCAGGGACTTTAGCTACTAAGGCCTGCCATCTTTCAGGCGGCCAAACTATACAAACAGCTCTTGCATTTACCAAACCCAATGAAATAGGACCAAATGTATTACTATCCAAAGTATGTCCAGTGTGATCGCCTTCTACCCATATATGACCTTCTGGCACACGCACAAACTGGTTTTTATAGCCTAGCGTACTCACAATATCACCTTCTAACGCCACAACTCGTTTTATTATCTTCTGATTTGGATCCTTTGGAGATACTAGAGAAATTATGTCACCTCGTTTTATATTGTAATCTTTCACTGACCACCTTGACAGAAAGACGTAGTCCGTGTTTTTCGATTCAGGATTAAGTACAGGTTGCATAGAGATGCCTTCAACTCTAGCCACGTAACCGACTGTATCCAAGAATGTTACGCCGATTGGAACTCCTAGCAGCATGGACCTCAAAAAACTTCGAAGCCACATTGATGCGTCGGTTACTGTTCCTAAGGCTTAAAATTTTACAGACATACTAGGCGTGAAGGTGTGTGAGGTTTTATATAGTGAACATACTTTTTTATTTTTGTTGCATTGTAATTGCAATTTCACATAATCCGCGATTTATATGCCAGAAAGTGCCCTTGACAGACGTCTCATGTCGATGTGAATGTCATTATCAGACCAGAAGTAATTAATATTCATAAAAATTAGGCTACATTTAAAATTACTCGTTTAATGCGCAGTAGTGAAAGCTTTTAATGATTCTGAAAAACAGTTTTTTCATAACTATATATTAATATTTGATAATCTATAACGATGGCGTTAACTTATTTCATATCTGTACCTTTTGTCGCGTCTATTTCAGTCAAACGATGAATGACCATAGACAAAAAATAAATTTTTAGAACAATCTCTATTACAAATACTCAAAAAAGTGTTGATGCTTTCTGTAGTAAATCACAACCACCATCAACCAAACAAATTTCATATTATTTATTCGTGTTTATCAAGTACAGCATCACATAAAATTAATAAATTAGTTAAACTAGTGTCCGTCAATATTCTGAAAACTTTTAGAAAGGACTCTCTACAGATGGATGTGTTCCGTGGTGAAGAAAAACTTACAACCTGCATAATCAGCTGTCAATGAAATAGATCATCTGTACCTGTAAATATAAAAACTAAAACAATCATAACTCGTTTCACGGTGATAAGTTCAAGTAATGGTTTGAAGGATTAAAGAACAATGTGACCTCGTCGCGTCGTTTGGCAGGACCTGAAATTGACCAGAAATGGGATAATAACCTATCAAGGTTCAAGGAGTCCACCATGGCCGGGCTTCCGTGAGGCCACGAGGAGTGCCGTCAGCGAGAACGTGAATTACAAAGATGTCCGCTGAATTCCCGTTCGCGGCGAAGACAGTGAGTCCATTGAAATGCAACGAGAAGCCTTGGGACCTGTGGGTAAGTGAGATCGGTCACCTGTCTCCGCGCCGGGACAACGATGGCACGTTCACGACACCCGCGGCAGTGGACAAGAGCTCGTCCACTCGCCGCGTCCACGAAGCCCACCCGTACAAGGTCGCAGAGAAGGGCCAAGCGCGATATCGGCGCGCTGGCCTCAACAGGCTCAAGTATGAGAGCATGAGCCTTCACGGACTGTTCCCGCAAATGGACAATCTGAATGCTGCAGTCTGTCACATGTGCGGAGAAATTGTGAAGTGTAGTGCAGCCTATAGACATTTACTCGAATCCCATAATGGTGCTGAGCCAATCCTTCCACCCCCACCTCCGACCGTTAAACTAAAATCGATTCCTAGTAGAAGTAGACATAAGAAGGAACCACCACCTCCGCTTCCTGTGGATATACATCCTTTAAAGATGGAGACATCCCCAGTGCCTGCTGCCGCTCCGATATCTAGGATAGTTCTGCCCCAACCTGACTTACAGTACCTGGAAGAAGCCAGCACCTCATCGGCCATAACCGGTGAAGTGCAAATCAGCATGGAGAGTGGTGAGTTACCCGTAGTCAGTATACAGGATACAGAAGACTTACCACTTGGTGAAAACCTAACTGATGATATTTTCGCCATCATGAACTCTGAAGGTATACAGAGTGCAGATGACATCACAAATGCAGCAGATTGGAAGAATATTATAAAGGACATTCATGAGATTAACTTTCCAATGGCTACAGACAACATACAAACACCTGACTTATATGCTGCTACATTGGACTCATCTTTAGCGGGGTACGCGATACCAGAAACGGATTTAGCGAATTTAACGTTTCCTGCTAACACCCCATCCATGTTAACCGTAGTAGATAATGTACAAAATGCTCAAGTCAAAGCGCCAGTCTCGTCGACCGCGAAAACGCAAACGCGTAAAACGAGTAAAACGAAATTTAATTTACGAGAGTACGATCCTAACAAGCACTGCGGCGTGGTCACCGCCGAGAACCCGAAGCCCTGCACGAGGTCTCTGACGTGCAAGGCGCACGCCTTGTCGCTGAGACGAACGGTGGAGGGCAGGGCGAAGCCCTTCGACACGTTGCTAGCGGAGCATCGAGCATCACGCGACGCGGCCGCCTCTGGGACCACCTACAATCCGCCTGTCAGTCACACTCCCGTCCCAGCCGTGGCGGCTACCGTCCCGCCCGCACCCGTCAACCTCCCACCGCTCCTAGTCAATACTTCGCTAGACCTCAGCCTGTTCAACGGGCTAACGGCCGAACAGCAAGGAACCGATCTCTACGCGAGCTGGCTCAACGTCGAAGACCCAGTGCTACCTGACACGTCGAGCATCACCTCTCTACTTAGTCAACCGTTGCCGACCGACCCCTTTCTACTGCCGGACGACGCGGAAATCCCTGCAGACATTAATTATAGTATAGCACCGCCGGCGCAGCCCACGCCGCCGATCAAAGAGGAGAAGGAGGGTCCGCCGCCGTTGGTCCCCGGCGACGTGTGCTGGTATAGCTCCTGTCCGCGACCGTTAGCTCTCTGTACGTACAATGCGTCTCACGCGGGCAGCGCGGTGACCTTAGGCAAGAAATTCGCGACCGTCAGGTCCAATATCAAGTCTTCGCTGACGCGCTCGACGAAGGCCGGCACCACGAACAATTTCTACGGCCCGAGTCTGTCGCTGTCGAAGACTCTGCACGTGAACAATACTAGTAAATCGAACAAACCGGAAGTGCGTAAACTGATAGTGACGTGTTCGAATAGTGGCAAAGAGGTGCAGACGTTGAGTGATATATTCGGGGGGGAAGTGCGGCACGAGACGCGGATGAACGGGCACTTGGGGCCCTCGGAGCGCAAGGCGCGCGCCTCGACCGCCAAGAGCGCCAAGCGGCCCGCGCAGTCTATGCTGGACCTGGCCTTCTCGTTCGACCCGCTGCTGGCGGACGAGAAGTGCTGAAGCGATAAGCAATCACCGGTTGTGTAGTCACTTATTGTATATTTATTTTTTGTAAATCGGACTGGCATTGTAAATGTTCAATAATCACGAATTTCTATCCCACGACGGAATTTAAAACGGCAACGTAAAATCTCACACCCGCGGGAAGCGAACTAACGTTTGTATTATTTTGTATATTATTTATAAGATTTTTTTACGCGGCCCGCCGCTGGAGAATTATGAAAATAGATTATGCAGAATGGTTGTATTTTTTCGATATGACGTCGTAGACACTGAAGTGGATGCTGAGAAATGGCCTAGGATTAATGTTTAATGTGATGAAAATTTCCATGTAAAAATATAAATATTATTAAAATTAAGTTGCCTCCTTTTCAAAATACCTCATTGAGCTTATTGTTTTAATGTACACCTCATTGCATTTTACATTGTTACATTTTCCCACCGCCTGTGAGAGTTCAAATATTTTTATATTGTAGGTAGTCAAGCAAAAAATCAATCTATTTTTTTTTACGAATACTGTTAAATTTATCTTTAAACTCATTGGGATATATACACAATAACTCAACCACAAGCCAAATTTTCTAGTAAACAGTAGTTACAGTGCTCATCTTATAAAACAAATAAGAATGTATATAATATACTGTAATAAACAAAGATGGTCAGTCTCAGTAAGTAAGTGTACTCAACAAACAAAAAATACTGTTAAGTAGATTTTCTACCGGTAGTCGTTCTGGCTGCTATCATTCGTGAGACTAATAATAAAATATTTAGGTTCTGCAGCTGATAAGTCATACACATTTCCAGATCTCTAAGAATGGAATTGCCATCATAAGGTAAGCAAGGGAAAGTAAAGTATGTATTCTTTAATGTCGTGAGCGAGACAAGAACCTATTATCCAGTTTTTTTATGACAAAGGAGGACGGATAAGCTTGATGGAAGGTGAAATATCCCAACCTTATAACATCTTGACACGATGTCCGTCGACCTGTTTTGGATACCTTTAGATATTCAATGTTAAAAGAATAACTAAGTACCTTATAGCGATGTAAGTATTTTTAACTTTTCCTACTCCTCCTTTTTCTACTGTCATCCGTGAACAAACATGCACTCGGCTGCTGTTTTAAATAATACATAAATTGCAAAACTCCCAACATTTCTTTTTTAAGACAAAAAAATTTACTGCAAAACCTTTAAGGATTCCTTATTTTCTTATGAAATTAATTCTTGTCGCTGAGTAAATGAATAAAAGTGATTTTAATATAAATACTAGCCCTAGAGGGCCCTATAGTAGTAGTAGGCATCATATAAGAAGGGATTGTAGGAGGGAACAAAGATTTATAATATATAACGTGAGATTTATCTATAAATAAGTTTTACTACGCGGTCAAAATAATCTACTTCAAATTATATATGTACTAATTTTTGACCAAAATCATAAGGGACGTTTTTCATGTTTATATGAAGAATAATACAATAATGTTTATTACATAAATATTTTATAACAAGCAACGTTGAACAAAAGCCATAGATGTTACAATTGCTAACAAATTACAATGAATAGGTCCTAACAACTTCTATTTCTAATAATTGCGTCTCAATAATGTAGAGATATTTGAAAAATGAATTGGTAGTCTGAAAATAATATTCGTTAGGATACAGCCTTGTATACAATAAATGAGTCCTAAATTAATTATTAAGATTACAATGAAAACTATATTCTATGAAGTCACTTCCTAAATTTAGACTTTCCTTTTGTCTTTGACTTGACGATTCCTTTGAATTGATGAGATGTAACAGCCTTTTTCCTGTGAAAAATCGTTTTCCCTTAGGTTAGAGTTACCACCGATATTCAAACACAATATTTGCCATTAGCACCATTCTAGGCTATTTTTGTTGTAACTTTAAAAGGGAATAGATGCTTAAGATTGTTGTGTTTTTTATGATTATGGGCCTATTTCTTAAGCGCTGGGCACAATTTGATAGACTCAAAGACAGATTTTCAACTGGGCTATGCACCTCAACAGTTACAGGTCATTACAATTGAATAACTATTTTGATTATAGTATTGACCACATATATTCGCCATATAGGCACTGTTATTAATTTCTAGGTTCGACTCTCGTCTACGTTATCAATTTTACTTATTCCAAATAAAATTACCTCTTATTAAGATTCTTCCTCGATAGCGGAAGGTACGCGTAAGGATCCGGTTTGCCTTTCTTCTTAATATCTCCTTTCGCCTTCTTCGAACGATACTCTGTACCGACTGATGTCGCGGACGCGGCTGCATCTAGCGGTCTGAAATTAAATAACACAATAGACGTTTTAAGTAGGCAAATGAAACCGCTCGTTCGTTGTCATAGAGATCTCTCTTGGCGACGAAGAGAGTTGCACAAACTGCACTGTGCATTATAACCTAATCACCGTAACGAGTAATAGGCAAAGAAATATGACTTATAAACCTTATTTTTGTATGGGGTCGCGGGAAAGAGACATTGCTCTGTTCACTTGTTTTGTTAATTGGCAAAAGTTAATGTATGCACCTGTGGATGCCCTTGCCCCCAGCTTTGTATTTAGATGCCACAGTTGCGGTTGGAGCGCGACTTCTATTCGTCTTTCCGCTCTTAACACTCAATATGTCGTCGTAGCGACGCTTGGCGCCTGTCTTTAGTAGTTTTGACGGTTTTTCTTCTCTCTCGTCATCTGGAACATAGTTTTACACTTGAAGCAGCTCAGTTAATGTTTCTAATGTACTGTGGGAATACAATATCCACAGTCCCAGTTTTATTATAACTGCAACATTTTGTGGATTCTTCAAATCCGATAGTAACAAAGTTAGGTTTCAAACGCAATTATATTCCTAACTACATCGCAACAAAAGACAGTTTTAAACAAATAATAATACTATTTAAAGATTGTACCTGTATCATCGGTATCAGGGTCAATATCTCCGCTGGGCTTCCGTTCATCATCATCATCAGCAAAGTCTTCGTCGGTGATGATGAGTCGTCCATCAGCCGCTGTACGGAAGCTGCCATCTTTCTTCTTTTGTTTTTTCTCTTCTATTGATTTCTTTTGTTTTGGGTCAGTTGCTGAAATTTTATTTGATGATTTCATCACTGATAATAGTGTGCAACTTTGGACATGGGAAAAGCGCTGAACTACTTATGATAAACATTAGGTTGTTTAAATCCCAAAATAATATTGAACTTTGACAGCAACTAAAACGGTTTCGGAAAAAAATCGACCACACACCAGTCGAACACTATAACTGAACGACGATGCCTAAAAAGTGTTATGGACACTTGCTAACTTATTTCAAAGTCAAACCTGTAATTTTCCTAGACGAAGACACATCTGCCAAATCCACAATATTCTCCGGGTCGTCCTGGATCCACGCTTGGGTCCTGCCCTTCTTCGCTTTAACCTTGGGTCTCGGTTCATCTTCTAGACCTTCGAGCTCAGAATCAGAGTCCTTAAGAATATCATCAAGGGTTTTCGAGACGCCCTTAACAGCGATATCAGTTTCGGAGTCCGAATCTTGCCCTCTAAAAAAAGGTAAGGGAATCAATAAAGATTTCCCTACGTTTCCACACACTTACTTCTAATATTTATTTCATACAAAAAGGCGCTAGATTACTTTTTCATTTTGTTCAAATTGTATTTTAGTTTAATTCTTAGGTTGAAAAGAAAATAATAATTTTAAATATTTTATAGCATACTATTTGGGTTACTGGTTTATGGACTAAAATTTAGCTGATCACAAAATTATTGCTTTTATGTAACCTATTAAAATAAGATTCCTAACCTGCTGCCGTCTTTCATCTTCTTCTTCCTATTATCAATCTTCCTGATGTTCCGCAACCTCCGAAGCATCACCTCGTCTTCTCTTGGAATTAGTTTCTGTATAGTTTCAGCACCGAATTTCCGCACCATTCGCGATAAGAAGTACCCAATTTCGGTTCTCGTGTGTCGTTTACAGTCGTCTTGCATGGATGACAATGTTTTGAATATGAGGGGTAAGCTACCGGATAGCGCGTCCTTTGGAATAACTTTCGTGTACACCTAGAATGGTTTTGTTTATTATTTTATGTTACATTGTGTCATATCGTTATAATGATATGTGTATAGTGCATTTTTTGTCACTTGGGAAAAGACCACAAACACATATGGCCGATTTCAAACCATAGAGACTTAGTGGTGCCCTTTTATAGAGTGTAGACATAGCCACAGATGGCATAGGGTTAAAGAAATAAATACATTTTTACGTTTATTTACGTTAATTTATTTTTAGAATTTTTATTAATTTTAGCATGAAATTAGGTTTTTATTGAGTGAATTTGAGCGTTGAATCCAGTGTCTTAACGTGTTTTCAGTGTAAATAAACGGTAAACATATTGTTTATAAACAATAAATAACCTTGTGAAAAATCACGATACCAAGTAAGAAAAAATACACTATTATTGTTCCTCTACGCATTCGCACTGTACCTTCAAGAAGCTCATAGCGCCGGCGACCACTTCCCTATTGGCGTTGAGCATTTCAGCGGCCATTTTCTCCAACAGACTTTGCACAGTCTCGAGTCCCATTTCTTCAGAGAAGTTGAAGAGAGCCGAAGCTATCGCGCGAATCGTTGCGCTGACTATCCTGGGTAAAGGCGCCGTTAGGCCCGACTCCAACATTTCTATGAACGCTGTCATGCCTATAAAACCAACATTTGATATAATTATAAAAAGTCCTTACTGAGTCCTTGCTGAGAGTGCTGAAATAAAATGATTATTTAATCGGAAATCTTTGATCTCCTCCATGTTATATAAACGCGGCGTACTAGCTGATGAAAATTAATGTTATATGTGAACTTATGTGTTTCATTTATATTTTAATATGTATTTACATACAACAAAAAGAAAGTAGAAAACTGATAAGTTCTGAGTATATCTAAATCATTAATCTAAGAACTGTGACATCTGAGAATATCAGCATTTGATTCACTAACAAATATTCTAATACCAACCTCCGTCCCGTGACTTAAGGACATTTCCAACCGTATTGATGAGATTGAAGGCGCACTGCCTGCACTTAGAATTGATGTCCTTCGTGCATATCACAGCTTCCGCTATTGCCGACTTTAAGATCTTGCTCTCGGAGTTCAAATTAGACGCCGACATATTGATAAAGTGTTCTATGCATCTGAAAATATATACATGATCTGTGAAGAGTTTGTATGAAAGCATTAATCTCAGGAACTACTAATCCGATGTGTTATTATAAAAGTTATTTCGTGTTTGAAATGGTTATAAGCTATCAGTTACTGTTCTCACAGAGGACTATGGCAACGCACGTGGGTGTTTTCAAGATCTATAAGATTGGATTAAGCTTATTTTAGTACTAAATAAAGGTGGAGAAACGCCTTGAACTGATGCTATACATTGTTCATCAATACGCGCGAACATAGCGTTGTCTCTTTCCCACAATAAACAGGGACAAAAGTATTAACTGGACACTAAGTGAGTGTGTGACCACGTGCCAGTCCCTAAAGGCCTTACCTCAGTCTTGGCGCTTTGCTGCTATCGGCCACCTTACTGAGTGACGTAACCAGCAGCTGCTTAATCTTCTTATAATTATCCCTTAAAAACTCCTTACAGTTCTCCCTCTCACTTTTAAATATCTCTTCCAAAACCCTGTACGCCTTCTTATGCTCCATCTCTAGCATTCTAACTCTATCTTTATACTTTAACTTGCTGTCGTCTTCATCTTCTTTCTTGACCTTCTTACCCTTTTTAGGCTCTTCGAGAACCGTCTCGCTCAATGGATATATCCATATCTCAAATAAATCTGCTATCCGGGAACTGCTTTGGTAGAAAACTAATATTCGTATGATATCTAGTATGGATTCTCTTTGAAAATGATTGTTTGCTGAGCCTTCTAGTTGATTTAAAGCGTTGTTGAATAGTTCTTCACGCAGTGCCTGGTCGCTAATTGTTAGGTATACCTAAAAAAATTTGTATTTCTTAACACCTTATAGCACAATACACAAGAAAACATAAATAAAATTATTTTATTAGAACAAAAAAAATTATATCCTGAATCGCACACACACGGCTTTACCGTTACAGAGCGTCTGAGAGAGGGGGAAAATGGAAAGAAACTAGTGTTATCTGTTTTGCGAGGTGTTTTAAACAAGGGAAAATTCGAGTCCTACATTACATGTAGATGTAAAGTTACTTTATAAGTTTGCTGGAAGACCTAATACTCGCATTCAAGTTAAGTCAACTGGGGACCTACAACTCACCTGTATTGTCTCCAACGCCGCCAGCCTCTGCCCCTCCGCCGTGCTACCTTTCACGGGCGTCATGTATATATTCAACAGAATCGGCACGTAGTTCTTCGCGTATCTAGCCAGTTCCGCTTCGTCCTTCTCGTTGCCCTCGCAACTCGCGATCAATTTCCTCAACCCCGCCATAACAGGGGACCGGAACTCCGGATTATCTTTCAAAACCGTACCTAGGACCCTGGCCATTATCTTGAAATTGCTTATATCCTTCGGGTTATTGCAGAAGCTGGGCAATAAAGCCCATAATTGGTTGCACAAAAGATCGTAAGTGTGCGAACCGGCTGTATCGTTCGCTTCGGAGAGTTCACGCGATTTTCGCCGACAGAATGTGGCCATTTCTAAAATTTCCGTCGCGAAGAACTTTAGCGTGGAGTGGGTTATTTTTTCCTTCAGTACGGGCAAGAGCCAGCTTCTGTCGAGGTTGATAGATTCGCCGGTGCGTAGAGGGATTATTTTTAACACGAACTCCGGGCCTAGAGATTTAATTGCACACCCCGTAGCGTATTCCGCCTCCTTTTCGTTGAAGAAGTTGTGACTTTCCCGTCTGTCGTTTAATTTTCTTAACAGCGGTCCGACGGCGTCCGTGACTTTCTCATTTCCTACCTTTAAAAAAATCAATAAATGACTATTTGTAACAATTTATTGTTGCAATAAAGTACAAAAAATAAGTTATTTAGGTAAGTTCAATTCCAAATCTATACTTTTAATTTTATTTGGGAAAATACAACGTTGAAAATTAAAAATATACTTAAAATACCATTTTATATGTGTATACAAAAAAAGGAAAATGGAAAATTCCTATTTAAGAGCAAATCAATATGTAACCTCACCTCGAAGCACACAGCAATCGTCAATATAACGTGCTTTATGGCTTGATTGAAGGGATTATCTAGACCGGTGCCTATCGTTTTAAAAACTTCGTCAATAAGGGCTTTGTGCCGCACCAGTACATCATCAGACTCCACTGCAGGCTTCACGCAGTCAAGTAGTATGGCCTAAAAAAAGGAAAGTAATTTTAATTATTAAATACTCAATATCTTTGTTACTTCTTACATTACTAAGTCAACTAATAGTTTAAACGCCATGCTGCTACAAGTAAGCTCGTCTTTAACAACTACCACAATTTGTATGTAATGACGCACGCAACAAGAAACTTTGTTAGAAAGATTTCAACTCAGGAATCGAACCCAAGACCTTGTGACCTGCATTGCACTATGTTAGCTAACAACTTTGAACTATCGGAAGTTCGGACTCACTTTCAGGGCGTTGGTAGAAGCCGAGTTGACCTCAGCAACGTCTGAGAGCCACAGCTCTGACACGCAGATGCCCACGAACGGAGGCAAGTTCGGTATGCACAGGTTCAGGTCCAGGCTAGAACAAAAGGAGGTTAAAGTTACCTCATGGCTAGAAATTGAATGTCTGTTTAAAGACAGAGTTTTTAAATAGCACATAAAACATTTAGGACCTTCATATGCTTCCCTAGGTGTTAAGTGTGTTATCTTATCTATAACTAGCGGTCCTGTCCCGGCTTGGCACGGGTAGACATAAATAAGTACAAATATTTAAATTATAAGCATGCTAATCAAAACGACCATGAATCACTAAATTAGAAAAAAAAATGTTTTGCGCGTCCTCTATGTTAACGACCGTGGTCTATCTCCCTGGTACAGGAACCGCTGCGAGCGTTCAGTGTTAGTGTCCCGTGCACGCGTTCGCGAATTCCTATCTCTATTTCCTTCAAGTCGCTGCGACGATCTTGCATTTTGTTCTGCAAGACGAACCTGAATATTCGACGATAGATATTCTGGCTTGCGATTGGGACGCGTACACTCTAATACTTTCCAGACGATCATGTTAGAAGACTCTCTAATACGACGACCTTTTGCTAATCTCGCTTGGGGACTATTCTTAGATAGCTGCGGTCTTCTTCTTCTAGGCATATTGCTAGGAAGGATATTTATTTTAAATCAGAGAAATTAAGAATAAGAAAATAGAGCCCCCTCTATCGTCGAATTAGATATTCGATGCGCCGCGTGGCGGCCGCAATGTATTTTTATTTCATGATATCTTTTGAACGGCATGTCCGATTTCAATAACTAAAAAAGCAATCATCAGGTATTGAGATAGTCTTGAATATTAAATTATTTATTTAGATAAAAATTTATAAATGGTATGGATAATACGGTCTGATTTTGATCAGCATTTCTATTAATTTGTTCAATGTAAAAAAGTAGTTATAGCGACGTAACTACAATAGTTAGGCATATGCTCTCGGGATGTTTTTTTGTAGATATTGATATATTCTATAATATTGTGGAACATTTTTTTGTCCTATCATTAATAGTTTTTGCAGCGTATGCGAAGAAAGATATTTTACGGCTAATTTTTTTACGCCTTCCGTTGGTTTTAGTAAGAATTTCTATAGATGTTTATGAACACACACACAGATTGAAACTGCAACAATTAGCCGTACATTGCTACCATTAGTCAAAATATTAAATATCATAGTTAATATAAATAAGACGTACTTCCCTGATTGCCTGTTCTTTAAGTTTTTATAACAGATTTTAAAAATTCACTTCATTTGCTAGTGAATCTAGTCCAGTCAGTGAATTAAAGATATAAGATGTCTTACCTGGCTAAACACCCATACCCCTGCTGCATGACAGTCGTCCAGGCAAGTATTTGTCCAGTATCATTAGCCGGTGGGCGCGCCGCCATCAGTGCTCTGGTCAATTGGACGGTTAGGTTTGCCGTTATATTACAAATGTCTCTCGGAGCGGCGAACACAGCGTGCAATGTTTGAAGACAACACGTCTTTATGTACACGTTGTTGTGGGTCATTAGTGACAGTATGGCTTCGCAAAGACTCTGGAAAGTTATTATACAGGTTTTAAGAAATTTAATAAGCAATTACATATTACATTTTTGCTAAAATCTACCTATAATTACAATACTTATAGATCTTTGTAACATCAGTACTACAGATAGTTCAAAACCAATGGAGCAATATGACAATACACAGTTTTGCATATATGACAAGCCCATGGTCACGTTGTGTAAAATGTATGGCTTATTCAAGGGGGGTTACAGTTCCCATTCTATACAAATGTGTCATAAAACAATAAAAATGAAAATAATAATATTTATTACAAATAAATTAAGATTATTAAATAGGTGTTAGACAAATTAAAAATCTATGAAGGTGTTCTTCAATAAAAATTTTCCTTTGTCCACAAACTAAATTTGAATAAAGTCTGGTAGGATACTGAAATCCTAGGATATTCTCACTTAGAATTCCTAAGGTAATTTTTTATAATAATTCTGTTTATACCTTAATATAATCCTTAGTGAAAACTGGCAACACATCACGCAACAAAGTAAGGATGTGCAACACCGTTCTGTGCCCCGACAGAAGTGCTTCTGGCTTTATTTGCAACAAGCAATACTCAGCGACTCGATTTGATGCTGGGTGTACTTTCAGTACCTATTCAAAATTGAATACATAACATTAAAATGCAGAAATTAAAATCTTAGAAATTATTGTTCCATTTAAAAAAGAGTCTGCTGTTATGTAAATTATATTCCTCTATGACAAACTTTACAGGAATATACATATATCAAATATATGATATTCATCTATTCTCTTACTTTACTATTATCTTCTGTCGGAATCATGAAGCAGCTACCTCGGAGAATGGAAGTCACTCCATGCTGGGCTGCTTTCCTTACCTAATATGTAAAATACACAGAGAAAGTCAAAAATAGAAAGAAATAATAAATATAGCCAAAAAAAGAAAGTTTTTTTTTATTTTTTATAAAAAATATATATTAATTAAACTTACTTTAGGCTTAGAATGCAGTGTAAACGCCAAAACACTGTCAAACACCTTCATAGTAGAGGAATTTGCCCACTGCGCATACTCCTGAGCTCTAAGCAACACTGACAAACATCCAATGGTACTTCTTAATAGGGTACCATTCTCTGATTGAGAGTTCTTCTCTAGGAGATCAGTAAATATACTAGCTGAGTCGGAAAACTGCTTTCTTAGTACTGCTTGGGGTACAGATTTAATGCCCATTGATAATAAAGACACAGTGGCAACAAGACTCTCTTCACCTTCTGAGGATTTGAGTGTTTGCATCTGGAATTATTATAAATAGGAATATTATAAAAGTTTTGCTGTAATACACCATTTGGAGTGAGACTGACAACAAAAAGACCTAATTGACATTATGTCTATAAACATCTATATATAATAAAGAGTATAATATACATATTATGAGACATTAACTTACCAATGCAGCAAAATATTCAGTTGTACTTTCTTTGCCCCCTTGTTCCTTTATTACCTCTGTCACTGCAGCTAATACGGCTAGCATTTCCTTGTGCACTATGTTGTTGGAATCAAATCTGGTTAGTAGCCTACATAGACATAAAATATATTAGATACAGCTTTTACAGCCAATCAATTATCGGATTAAATATTGATAGTTTTTATGTAAAGCTGCATTGAACATCAAACAAATTAAAAACCAGTGTTCACTTAATAATGTGTCATGCACCAATTTAATAAGATACTTACTTGCTGAAACTAACATTTGAACACTGACTCCAATCGGATGCAAATGTTTGAAAGGTCTTAAATGTTCCAGATTTCTGTGATGCAGAATATTCAGTTTCCGTATCATCGCCAGTGCGAACAGACATACTCTCAAACTCTTTTGCAATAGAATCATCATCTTCAGATTTCTTGTGCCCATAGAGTGTCATGGCATCATGTTTTTGTAGTGCTTGCTGTGTCAGGCCAGTTCCTCCTTGTAACAACTTATAAATTAACGTTCTAACAAAAAGAAGATCCTTGCCAATCATGTAGTTCCAAAAGTGATCACAATCAAAATTTTACGGATATTTGGAAGGCTCTAATACCAGTTTTTGTTTTAGTGTAATCGAATATTATGACAGAAGAGAGTGTGACTGAAGATAGATTATTAACAAGGTTAACTAATAATAAATAATATTATATTGAAGTAAATAATGTAGTAATTAATATAATTTGTTTATCATACCAAGATTTTCTTGAAAGAACCGGGATTTTGCTATTTCTCTGTACTTTTGAGTTTTTGGGTTTGAGTTTGATGACTGCCCTTTTTGCCATCTTTTGCCTTTTGATTTACCCTTAAGTTTTGATCTAAATTTGGCCATATTTATTTTTATTTCATTTCACCTCTACACCGATCAAAACACACGTGGGTTTGGTTAACTTTATATTTTTATCCACATTTATTTGACTTTGACAATTGACATGTCACTGCGGACACCGCATACAGATTATGAATGTGATTCAATTATGAAAGTTCCGAAACTGCGTGTTAAAATAAATAGATTTTAGGAATAATTTTATTATGTTTTATACACGAATGAAATTTTTGAACATTGTGTATACCTACAGTAAAGGAGTCTTAAGTCAGGGACTGAATTCATTATGAATCAAGTTTTTAATTCTAAGCAAGTTAACCTTTTTATTTTGAACATCACATTATTTTTATATTCTATGGTATCTATAGCTTACGTCTGTGATACCCCGCTGATAATAATAGGTTTTTCATTCACGTCACTTTCGGGCATTCTTGTTTAATTGACGTGCACCTTGTTTGTAAATAATAACCGCTGGAAATAGTCCATAGTGTGAAATACACGCATTCCTTAACCGGGTGCACATTACGTAAACTATTGCTAAGCATTCTAATTTGTGTTAATGTAATCCTAACCTTTAGCTCTTCCATTTGTGTTTTAAGTGAAATGTGAATAAATAATGCCGCCTTTTAGAAGGAAGAAGACTTCCAAGTCGTTCCCTGTTAAAGTTTGCACGCTCGATGCTGAATTAGAGTTTAATTTGGAGGTAAAAGATTACAAAGTCGTCTTATTATAGAAATTATTAGTTACCTGTCTGTGTATTGTTAATATCAAATTTTTTCAGTGTGAGTCATGCAGTGTGCACTGACCTAAGGGTCAAATAATTCTACTTTGCAATTATTATATAGCAGTACCCTATTTCCAAATGTATAAGGAATGTGGCAATGTTCATTAGACAATAACATAGAAAAAAGAAATGAACTCGACTATAGATATAGAATAGTTCATATAACACTATAAAACGAATTATTTTATAATAAAATTAATTATATTACAGACTATTCTACTATTATACTTTATTCTATTGTAAAGGGAGTTTTGATTACTAAGTATCATATTTTATCAAAATATGTAAATAGGGTCATTCATAAAAGAAAGATATCTAGGGAGATTCAAGCATTAAAATTATTCTGGTAGTATTCAAATTATTCTTATGACTATAAGTTATTAATTCTAATAGGAATTATTCCTGCATATATGCAATACTACTTTTTCAACTATAGTGATATTTCTCTTTAATTCCAGTGGCGTGCAACTGGAAGAGATCTATTTGACTTAGTTTGCAGAACTATTGGCCTGAGAGAAACATGGTTCTTTGGCTTGCAATTTGAAGATACCAAACATTTTATTAGTTGGCTGAAGTTGGATAAGAGAGGTATGTCATGACACTATGTAAAAAGTGAAACATTTTTAGAAACTTAATTAATAACAATTTACTAACCAAGTTGTGTCCCTATTTTTCAGTACAAGACCAATGCGTCTCCCAGATGCCTGGTACTCCATTCATGCTGCTTTGCAAGTTATATCCTGAAGATGTGGCTGAAGAACTCATACAGGAAGTTACCCAGCACCTTTTGTTCCTACAAGTGAAGCAAGCAATTCTTAGCATGGATATTTATTGTCCACCTGAGGCATCGGTTCTCTTAGCGAGCTATGCTGTCCAAGCTAAGGTCAGTTGTCATATTATATAGAATTGTAGGCCTATCAAAAAAATGGTTTACAAATTTTAATCAAATCAGACAAAAGGATATAATGGATTCTTGAGATTTATATTTGACTTATTGTATAGGTGACAATCATTAATAAATTGTGTCTATTTACAATATTTCAGTATGGGGATTACGATGAGACTGCATACAAACCGGGGATGTTAGCTAGTGAAGATCTTTTACCTCAACGGGTGATAGACCAGTATCAGATGACTCCTGAAATGTGGGAAGAGAGGATTAAAATATGGTTAGAGCTAGTTTTTACCAACAGTTTTAACCTTACATTTCATTTACCATATAATATCCAAACAAATAAATAAAGATAAGGTGTGTTGGGGAAAGCGGAAAATATACAGAGCTAAATAACAGGAGTACACTGAATTGCCAAGTTCAGTGCCATCTGTAGAATCACGACAAACAGACAGACAATCGAAAAAACAAAATTGACGAAATGTTTTTTTTTAATTTTAAAGAGAATAAAGTATATTTTATTTTAAATTCATATACCAAGAAATACAGGAAAATACCATATTGGCATATTATTCATGAAATGTTTCAGGTATGCAGACCACAAAGGCATGTCAAGAGATGAAGCCGAAATGGAATACCTCAAAATTGCACAAGATCTGGACATGTACGGTGTCAATTATTTTGCCATAAATGTAAGATTAATTATTATGTACTGTCTTTTTTAAATAACTATTGTTACAGTATATGTTACAGATGTCCAGACGAAACTCACTTTTATTAATAATATTTTCAGAATAAAAAAGAAACCGACCTCTACTTGGGCGTAACAGCGCTCGGCCTGAACATTTACGAAAAGGACAACAAATTAACGCCGAAGACAACTTTCCCGTGGTCGGAAATCAAGCATATTTCATTTGATGACAAGAAATTTGTGATTAAATTCGTAGACAAGTCGGCCAATAATTTTATATTCTTCTCGCCGAAGGGAATGAATAAGTTGGTGAGTATTTCAATATTTCATTATTTTTTAAATTACTATTTAATTTATATTAATTTTTAGTCTTGTCTGAAATGTATCATTATAATGTACTTTTTTTATTTTTCTTACCTTTAAAATCTATATTTCAGTTAATATTAAATAAAATGTACATTCAACATTGAAATATGTGAATTACTCATACTTTTTAGATTCTGGATCTTTGTATCGGAAACCATGATCTGTACATGAGGAGACGGAAACCTGACACCATGGAGGTTCAACAAATGAAGGCTCAGGCCAAAGAGGAGAAAGTTGTAAGTTTGGATATCTTATATCACTAGCATCTAAATGTTATTGTATTGTAACTGTGCACATTTTAGTTAAACATTTTTATCTTTTAATATGTATTTTGGAGTTATGTCATTTTCATTTAAACTTTCAATCTCTCTCAATCAAGCGACGTCAAGTGGAAAGGAATAAGTTGGCGAGAGAGAAGCAGTTGAGGGAAGCGGCGGAAAGAGAAAGAGCTGCCATGGAACAGAGGCTTTTGCAATACCAAGAGGAGATACGGCTCGCTAACGAAGCGTTGGTATGGTCATAATTAAAATGAAAACCAAAAACTTTTATGTAACGTTAATATCAGAAACGACATAAATGACTAAACCGATTTTGACGAGAATATCTGTTATAACTACCAAATCTAAATAAAAAGTAATTTGTACTAACAGCGACGTTCCGAAGAAACAGCGGAATTGCTAGCTGAAAAGGGCAGAGTCGCTGAAGAGGAGGCATCTCTTCTGGCGCAGAAGGCAGCTGATGCAGAACGGGAGAACGCTAGGCTCCGCTTGTCTAACATACGAACGGAAGAAGAGAAGGTACTTTTATCAAAGATATTCAAGATTTATGAGTATTCTCTATTTATAAGTTCTTTTGATCTACTTTTAAAGGTACACGATTTTCATATTTTTTTGAAATATGTTAGACGTTTGGAAATATGGATATTAAATTGGTGGAATATCGAAACTTGGCCTCGATCGAACTTGGTCACAAACCACAGTCTACAGATGAAACAGCCGTTAAGTTTAATCGCGTTTCGGTTTCAGTCTGTGGATTTCCAAATATCCAAAGCCAAAATAGGTCGACAGTGCATGCTGTGTAGACGTTATATGGCTGGGGTATTTCGCCTCCCTCCTCCTCTATCATTAATAAACAGACTTGTAAAGGTGCACCTAGAACGAAAGACTCGCGAGGCGGAATTCCTGACGGCGCGTCTCGTGGAAGAGTCGGAGAAGCGAGCGGCCGAAGCGGAGAGGCTGAAGTCCGAGCTCATGACTGCGAGAGTCGCCGAGAAGCAGGCCAAGGAGAAACTGCTAAACTTCCTCAGCAGGACCTCCACGGGGTCCCTGCCTCAGGTGAAAGAGGTTTTTGACTACATGATTTTCAATTATTGTCACGATATTAACAAGTCACATCTCTGCTCACAGATGAAATGTCTCTTTATAGCCCTATGCAATAAAGTATTACATTTAAGGATTTTCTTTTTAGGACTGTGAACTAATGAGAAACACAATTTTTTCTACTCTCGAACCCACTTAGGAAAAACTGAACTTTCTCTTTCAAACTAAGATTTATTTCTATACAATTTCAGTCTTCCACCGTGCCATCATCTCTTTTCCCGTCGACGTGCTCCCTACCTGCTGAGCTCAGCAGCGACGGTGTGGGACCCCTACACAACGGCGGAACAACCCCACCCGAAGCGGAACTCAACTCTTACCAGCTCGTACCTGATGATTCGGATCCGCACATACACCGCCTGTCACTCGAAATTGAGAAGGAGAGGTATAGTATATAACTTATACAAAATAGGAAGTCAGCGCATCTGGTTGAGATGTTATATGGCCGTATTACACCTACCATCAAGTGGTCTCTTATCATAAAAATAAAATCTAGGTGATACGCAGAGTCTTAGACTAGGTAGATTAATTACTTGTGTTAAGTATTTTGGATCTAATCTTGGCCTGGATTACTAATGGATTGATTTTCATTTCCATTATATTGTTTATTATGCATATTTTATTATTAAAAAATAAATCTTACCAGAGTGGAGTACCTGGCGAAGTCGAAGCATCTCCAGCAACAGTTGGACGAGCTACGTTGCGAATTTTCCGTCTTACGCGTGGAACAGCAGCCCGGAGCCACCCTGGACAGGCTGCACGAGGCTCAGACGAGGGCCGGGGACGACAAATACTCGACCTTACGACGCTTAAAACAGGGCTCCACTAAGACCCGTCTTGCCTTCTACGAGGAGCTATGAGGTATTTTTTTATTGAAATGCTTAATACATGCCATTATGCCAATGGAAGACTTGGGAAGTAGGAGGTGCCCACTTGATATATTTGTTTTTTTTTCTATTCACAGGTATAAGTACAACAAAATGTCACAATTCCACAAGAACTTGCATAGTTTAGTAATAACCAATATTATTCTATATTCATTTTTGTAGATTACACTGTTCCTAAATTCATAATGGCTTTAGAATATAAAATAACAGCAAAATAGATAATGATAGCTCTAAATGTATTTAAATTTTTATTTTTTTAGGACACTATTTATGTAAACGAGCCCTCATTCTCTATATTTTTTCGGTTACAGTTCTATAATCATTATTTAGAATTAGGTTCATATTCTACCTTTGTCGTACTTCAAATTTATCTTGCTCTAAAACAATTTTTTGAGGTACGAAAATTTTTATTGGAGTTATTCTTACTTCATCCTACATTCTAGCTGATCTCTTTACATTTTATCAAGACAATAAATTCAATTGACCAAAGTCGTATTTTTAAACTGACACTTTACTCGATAGGCATTTGTCTATTTACACGTAAAAACCACATTTTTGATATTATTTAAATTGGTCGATGGAAACATGCTAAAGCCGTTTTTGTATTACTAAATATATTACGGTTATTTATGTGCCTTTAGGTTCACTAAAAGCTGCATAATCATTCATTTTAAATATTTTACACTCTAAAATGTGCTGTCTTCCATATACTTATATAAAAAAACATCGCGACCTATAAATAAAGAACAAATATAGTTAAATGTAAATTTCATTTTAAGTTCGATTTGATCTGTAAGTACCTGTGTATTCTGTACTCTGTAGCAATATTTTTTTATGACAAAACAATTCAATGTGATGTACCTTAAGGTTACAAAATCGATGTTCAACAATGTGCCTTGTAGTAGTATATTTTAGAAAATGATTTTTGTAAATAAATACAATTTTTACGACAGTTATTTTTATTACTAAAATAAGACACTTAACCGTTTAAAACGCAAAGAACATATATTAAGATAGGAAGTCCTCTCCTTACCAGGATTCCTGCATCCGAGACGAGATTAACCTATACATGTATATAGCCTAACATACTCCGTGTTTTAAACCGTTAGGAGTGTCTCTTTATAATGTGTACTATTTATATAAACAACACACTTTTTTGAAGTCATATAATATCTTTATGTTCTTTAAGCTTTGAAATAGAGTCGATCAGCGTAGAAAGAACAAGAACTGGCAAGAAACTCGCCGCCACTTTGTTTGCCGCCAATGTGGGGTCAAAGGCCTGTACGCGCTAACTACATACAATCTAAATTATTGTATCACAAACACAAGTCTTGCCACATTGCTCATTTCTATAAAAATGACAACGAGCGGACGTAATAAACATAAAGTAATATATAGTTATAATAAAGAAATACTTTTCATTACGCCTTGAGAAACTTACTGTAATAATTAGAAAGCCACTATTTCAACATCAATCATCTTTTATTCACATAATAATAATAAATTACAACATTTGAAACCATTGTTCGACAAACAAATGTTCCATGGGAATATTATTGGCCAAATAACAATTATATGTTTGCCCTTAACAATAAGGTTGACTTTCCAAAAGACAATCAAAAGTTTTCATAGAATATTTGTTTGTATGTTCAATAATGAGCCCTGAGGACTATAGCTTCGTATATATACATAATTTTATGCATGGATAATAACGATCCATATATATGTATAACAAGGTTTTTATAGTATTTACATCTTAAGTTACATGCATTGTTACACGGTATTTCGGTTATAAATTGTATCATAGTATATTTTTCTATCGGTGTTAATCGGTTATTTTTTACAAAATATTGCAAAACCTATAATACAGACGAGACTCGAACCTACATTCACCTTAGCTAACGTATCTCGCCTACATTACTGGTAATTTGAAATCTCTTATCTTACAAAATGCTTGTTGCAATTTCAACCTTAAAAATGCTAAAATTTAACATTTTGCTTTCGAGCTGAAATAAATTTTAGTGCAATATGTTGGTACTCTACTGAATTTAAAACCACTGGAATAAGTTATTTAAATTAATTGCAAAAATTATTATTCATTGCAAATTGCAATTACCTTAAAATATATTGTTTTATCCATTTTCGGTAAAATGGTCAAATTATGTTATGTAATTTTACTGTAACATAAAAAAGTAGGCTATATTATTAATGTTTGTGATAAATGAACTTATAAGAATAAAATCTTGGCAGTGTAGTCTTGCCAATGGACTTGTGCCAAATTTAAAATACATAAATTATAACTACATTGTGCTTATAAGGTACTAAACCAATTTAACACTTGTGATGTTACATATAAAAACTACATTTTGTTATTTTTATAAAATTTACAAGAAAGGTCTTTTGAAGTATTTTCAATAAATAGATGAATAAATACTGACACTTCATACAGTTGTTGTCTAGGTGTAATTTAAATGACAAAATTGCATATTTTTTGAATTAACTGTAACATATAATTTTCGCCTTTTTTTTAAGATTATTGATGGAATGGTTACTATATTAATCTATTATCTGATTTTCACTTCATTAGTTGACTTTTCACTCTCTTCACTAGCTCCAGTGCAATTGGGCTCGCACAGCAACATACATGTAGTATGAGATAGGCAATAAATAATACTCAGTCCGCATAGTCAACTTAAGCTTTGTTGTAAAGCCTCTTATAGCTCACATTGGTGCCGCTATCACAAAACTCATTCATGATAATCCTACAAAGGAACAGATGGAAAATCACTATCAACAGTATAATAGAAACCCAAAACAGTGGGTTAAGGCCACCCAAACTGTGACCGTGTTTGTGTAAAGCGATCACATGTGACTCGTGAGGGGGCGCTTCCATAACTTCGTGAACATGTATCGCGTGTTTCAAATCTTCCATGTGCTGCTTATCAGCAGTTATATACAGGATCGCCGTCAAGGGCTCGGTGAGTTTCACGGGGAAGTACTTTCTGTATGGCCCCAATTGGACTGCAGAGTCCAGACAGCCAGCATCACAGGCATAATAAGTTTTATCAGACCGATCCAATGCTACAAATATGGCAGCTTTGTTATCTTCCTGTAGAATAACACTAACGTTTACGTGGGTCAAGTTGCCATAGTTAATCCTTCTAAATAAAAAGTCTCTGTGAAGTTTAGAAGGATGAATATTATACTCCAGATGTTGGTTACTAAACCTAAAACTACCAAAGCTTAATATCATCGCTTGGTTAACACCACTCGCGCCTGCTCTTAATAAATTGTGGCAACCCTGTTTTTCTAAGGTAAGCATCCATATACTGGCAACATTGTTTAGATTTTGAAGAGAATTTAACGGTTTCCATAAATTAAATGCGTCTAATGTTGAGTAACCTCCATAGCATCCCTCTGAATAAGTTAGGCTTCGTAAGATTTCAGCTTTTGTGGCTGGTTTTATGTGATTTTCGTGTTCATAGCTACGTACCTGAGATAGGATAGCATATATTGTCGCATTTATTCTGTCACCATTGATAACACCTGCAGCTTTAGAGTCTGAAATGTAGAAGCCAGTGTCCCACAACCCCTGCCACACTCTAGCATGGTTGTCCCTCAAAGAACTGAGAGCTGTATGATCTCCTGTTAGAGCAATAATCTTCTCCATTTCATCGATAGCTTTCTTTTCTACTATATCTTTATTTTTTGCATAATCTGCTTGCTTGATGGGACGGCTGTATTGTACTGTAGTAAATATGACAAGGTCTAAGCCATCTCGGGCTTCTATTTGTATCTTATTGCTTAGCTTACGACAAACAATAGCTGCTGCAATCACATTCTCACTATCAGGTATAGAAATCATACCCGTTACCACTTCATACTCCTTTGCATCAACTCCTTGGTGAAGCTTTATAACTTGTTTGACCGATGTTGGCCAGTCAGACAATCTAGGGACTGTCAGGTGTAGTGTTTTTGCCACATTCAAAGGATTGCTCACTAATATTTCCTGTACAAACAGTGACGGTATCGTTCTATGTGCGTAATACATGTATGAAACTTTAATTCCTGAAGAGCTGCACTGAAATCTGTGTACAATGCCGTTTTTGTAGTCAACTAAAGTTGATTCCTTCATATCATAATCATTGACAATATATAATGGGTGATAGTATACAGGCAAAGATAACGTTCTAACATACTTAATATTAAGATGTGAATCATGTTCCAATGTTATTCCTATTAGACCATTTCCAACATAAGGCACGTAGTTATGACTCAGTGAAGATAGTGTGGCTGCTGACTCTAATCTCAAATAAGCGTCGTATTGGTTTAGAGCGTCTTGAAAGGGGTTTATAAAGTTCCTATGGCAAACAGTCTGGCTGCTTGCAAGAGACCCTTCGCTGCTAAATATAGAGTTTAATATTGTCGGTCCCAGGTATAGTATGAGAAACACTATAATCAAGAATAAAACTACTACCTTTTTACGTGTCATAGGACCATCCGCTATTCTGTTTAGGCGGCGAAAGATCTCCCCGGCTCTCCGACTCATTTCGCTGTATGTTGAGGACCTTTCCATCACAAAATCACTCAATACGGGTCTGCTCAATCGTTTGTAATATAAATTAATGCTGTACCAGCATTTTGAATGATTAATATACTAAAAACAACACAATATTGTTTTTAAAATTGTTTTATCACAAGTCACAGGATAACATTATCACAAAACGAAAATATGTTCAGCTGACATTTTGACAACTGACACTCACGCAACGTTAACAACTTCCGGAAGTCAAATGACTGACCACAGATTACAGAGGAGAAATTGAATCAAAGGCAACCTTTTATAGAGCACTAGCTATAATCAAAGCTTAGTAGCTTCACGGTCAGAAACGATAATCTACATTTTTCCACTTCGGTGACACGATTCATATTTATATCTAAAAATCCTTAATTAAATACATACCTCATATTTCACTTATTTTATTTTGTCTTATATTATAATTAGATACGCAACAAAATAACCAAATAGATTTTTTTAACATTTATTGTACCTTAAAAATATAAAATGTCTATCACATAATTACCCCATTATAATACAAATAAAAGCAACATGATTTATCTGCAGGTCTTTGAAAATATTGCTGACGAGAGATTCACGTAGTGCCACATACAAAACAATATCAAAATACTGAAAATATATATTATATTAGCAACTATACGCCAATATTAAAGTCATTATACAAATAATTAATTTGATAATAATATAATACTCATTATAGAATAACAACAGCATACATTTTTAAGTTTAGTACGGCCAAATATATTTTTTACAATAAAAAGATTTATGTTTAACTCTTGGTACACAACTTGGTAAACTTTGTACAACATTAATATTTTATGATTGATAATTAATTATTAGGACGGCGACAATAAAAAGTGACATCACATAAACAATTAATACGATTAGAACAATCTTTTTTACTAATTAAAATAGAAAACACCGAACGTTAATAACTTATTATGTACTTCATAGTTTAGGAATACAACATTAATACAAAAATATGCATAAATAACTACAAAAAATATCGTTCTTTACACACTTTGGACAAATAAATAGTGGTAATAATTAAGTGACGAATACTTGAAGTAAATAGTTAAAAATAAAAAAAAATATGTATAGAATAAATACATTATCTGGAAATGATATTGGAATGTAGTAAAATGCAAGGAATAAATAGCAATAAAATAGGAACAAATCATTATTTTACAAGTTTTACAATTAATGCGTTAATAGAAAAATATGATACTAATTGGAATGTTTTAATTTGTTTTCCAAAAATATGTTCAAAAATGTACTTATGCGTTATTTGCATATTTCAATACTTAGATATTTAACTAGAAATTTTACTTAAAGTCACAATTATTATAGTTTTAAAACCTGTTTTATATTTGATTTATATTGAGTTACTATGTATACTTATTCTTGTTCTATAGTTTTCCACTCTGAGTCCGATCTTAGAATGACCACCTCATCTTCCGAGTCGGTATCTGAAGGTGGAATGTCTTCTTCGTCGTAATAAGGTTTCCGAACTATATCTGAATAGGAAATGATGACATTATTGTGTGATTTAACTGGTTTATGATTGGCTCTTCAATGGATCATCAAATACTTTTTATAGAGTAAAGTTTAAATTATGAACACCGTCTGTAGTACGCGAGTAGTACACATTTGAATAAAAAATCTTTAACGGTTAAACGCGATATATATTGGTTAAACTTATTTGAAAATCAATGATCGATGCCGTGACCGTGTTTATCGGTTAAAACCGATAGTATTTTATTTAAATATGAATAGCGTATTAATGTATAAATTAACACAGGATCAAAATTCAAAATATGCAATTTTTAATAGAAAAAAGAAAGGTCAACCGGTACTTACCGTACGCGTTATCGTCGCACAGCGGCCTCTTATCATCAGCCGGCAACTGGGTGAACAAGTAATCCCTCCTCGAATCCTTTGAGCGTTCCCGACAGCTGAAGCACCAGGCGCCGAGTGTGACCAAGCCCACGCCTATTATGCCCGCCACCATGACGAAGATCAGTCTCGGCATCCCCAGAACTTTGTCGTCGGGTTCCAGTTTGAAGAGGATGTTCGGCGTCACGTTTTCACTACCGCTGACCTATATGAGAAGCAAAGGTTACCTAGAAGTTACGTAGAAGTGACTCTAGTCCAAGTATACACTACGAACAAAGCAGACAAAAATTATGCAGATTCGGATACAAGACGAATTGCATTTATCAATTGATGATGTCATCAGATTGTTGAAATGGTATATTGTCGTTTGAAAACATAATAATATTTTTTACATGTTATTGCACATGATGGCACTATATAAAGTCAGAGATTTAAAATTTAAAAAAAAATAACACGTAGGGCACGGTAGCTCTATTGGTTAGAGCGACAGTACGGAACGCCGTGGACGCCGGTTCAAGTCCTGCCCGTGACGTAATTTTTTTTCAATTTAAAATCGATTTTTAATTGATAAATTGTCATAAGGTGGGGTATTTTTAGAAACATCTTTCATCGTTCCGCGTCTTTCACTCACCTTAACGTGTCTACTTATAGATATATATCCATCACTCTCTGCTAAAATGCGGACTTCTCGGCCCATATATGTCACCGGGAGAGATATGAGGAATCTCCCATTACTGTCGCTAGTGTTCACCGCAAGGGGACGCTTAGACTCGACTGGGTACACTTTGAGGTCCGTCGGTAGAGGTTGGCTGTTGTAGTCTAACGCAAGACCTAAATAAAAAGAAAACTTTTATATTTAACATAAATGTCAGTAATACTTTAAAGGGAAATTTTCTGTGTACGGAATCCTAAAATACACATAGAATACTCATTTTTTGTATCTCATTTTAAAAATACCTAAATGTTATTCTATTTATTTTGTAGCGTATATAGTATTAGTAACCACGAGATCTTCTAGACTATCACTACATATGTTAATACACTTACAAGGTACTAATAAAAAGCGAGCCTTACGTGAATCGATATTATCTCGGTTTTCAGGAGCAAAATTACGTCGTCAATGGCATAACATAAGTCCATTTTCCTCAGAGATAAAAATGTTACTAAATGTCTTACCGGTAATATATACGCTATCTGGATTATTCTGGATCGGTATCGGCTGCAATGAATTCGGTACAGTGTCGGAATCGACTCTCTTCATGATCACGTCTTTCTGCTTAATGACACCCTCCACTACGCGCCAGTTCAATATCTGTAATATAGATCACAAGAATGTTATTCTAATGATTGCTTGTACTTTACGCGAGTAGTACACATATGAATAAAACATTTCTAACGGATCAAAAGTGAATAGTGTATTTGTTCTAATTTGGCAAATCACCTTGATGATGATCTTCTTTTTTAATTTTTATGTTATTATTATTATTTTACTCGGTGTTTGTGACGCTTTTCAGCTATATATAGCTAGCTATAGGCAAGATAATTTATATTTAACTGCGGATGCGTTGCAGTTTGTTTTTTGCACTATGTTACCTGATCCCGGTACGGGTGACAGCGAACTATGACGCGATAGTCTCCCGGGGGAAGTAACGCGCGGTATCTTGCAAGGTTGGGCGAGACCCGGTACTGCCTCGAAGTCCCCGTTATGGCTAGACTAGCGCCCCTCACTGCACCGCCCTCTTCGTTCTTCACATACCCGACAACACCTGAAACGAGATTAGTTCATTCTATAAGTAGAAGAAGCTACACACAAAAATGTACAAGAGATGTCTCTTCCTTTGTCATTTATATATATCGTAACTTTTGGGTAAATTGAGACAATCCATAACATTCGAAGCTAAACCTCATCATGAACGCTCACCAGTATTGGCGACCTCCACAAACTTCATAATCCCTCTCAAATTGTCCCTCCAGACCCACGCTATGTCCGCATTTGACGGCATCTTGCAGCAACTCAAGCCGACTGAAATTACCGGCGTATTAAACCGTTCGAAGAGCAGATCAATCAGATTCCCGTGGACAACGTTGTTCCGCGGCTTGCAGTCGTACCGATCGACGAGAGCCCTATTATCTCTATACCTCGCGGCGAACTGTTCGTGAATATTCTTCGAGAAATCTGGAAAAGCGACATCTTCTGTCCCGGACGAGAACTCCAGTACGAGATCGAATTTCTCGCTTTCGAGGAGCTCCACGAAGGCCTTCTCGCGACTGTAATTCGAAAGCGGGTTTACGTCCTTCTTAGTCAAATACCCGTAAAGGCTGTCTCCGAATTCTTCTTCTAACAATTCTACGTCGCACTTTTCATTGCCGTCGAAGTTTCTTAAGACTTTCTCGTACAAGGGGTCTAGGTTCGGTATAAAATGGAAGACGGCGTTCTTCAGGAGCCTCCGATGGACCGGTTCCCCGATTTGGTACGCCGTGGATATGTGGCGGGCGAAGTTCAAGAGCATTTCTTGGCCGAGCGGCTGAGAGCCGTAGAGATTGCTTATCAATGCTATGTGGAATTTGGTTTCTTCCGGCGAGCCAGCCTGGAATTAAACATGTAAATTAAAAACACGAAAAAATTAAGTTACAATATATAATAATGTATTTAGGTATTCAACACTTACAACTAATAATGACATTTACAATTTCACGTGTAATTTAACATTGATAACGTTGTGGCCTAACTAGGCGTATTGTAGGATTAATAACTATTGTACGTGTCACCAGCCCACCTCGACTCGAGCTCACTATAATATAATTTATATTCTAAACAAAATTTAATAAAAAATATTGAGTTCTTATGTTTTAGTGTCTTAATCCTACGGGGTATGTGGGAAAGATAAATAGCAAGGATTGAGAATAATATTTAGCGGACATCTAGCCAAGCGATAAAAATTAGTTTTCATTCTCTTTGTTAATATTTTATCTAATATATAAAATAATTGTTTCGGCCAATATAGACTGATAATTTACTATGTTGTACATTTTAAATACAAGAGCCGTAAACTTACATCATCAGTGATCTTCAGTTCGTGAAGAGTGGCGGTCTTGAAGCTGTCTCCAGCGCGGAACTCGGCTATGTCTGGGAACCTGTTCTCTAGCTCGGCAAGTGCAGCATACATCTCCAACGGTGTGTGGTAACGCGTGTTCACTATGTTTTCTAGTACTCTACGAAAAATTTTCAATTGTCAGTTTTTCTGACAACATTTCGGGAAATCGCTCTTATGTTTAACGTTGTATTGCCTAAGACCACATAAAAGAAAAAATAAATATTAATAAATATTACGTAGGTAGTATTTATATAAACATAAATACCTTATTTAGTTCTTCTCATCGTATGTGTTTAATTGTAGCTTAACTTGTCAAAAAAGTTAAGCAAAATATATAGCAAGTTTTATTAGAAAGCGGACAGTTAAAGCGAAGACAAACACATCATTAGTGCATAAATTCATTTATTATAGAGTGTTACAAAAAAGCCCGTAGAAAGAAGAAAATATCACAACCGACTTCGATTAGTAAATAAGAGTAGCAAAATCATTATTACATATACAGGGTGGATTACTTATGTCACCATGCCAATATCCTTAAAATGTCTAAACAGTTTACAAAAGGCCTAAAGAAAAGATGAAAGAAGGTAATATACTAAAGATAATAATTATAGTTTCGCATAAAACGTTTGTCGTAACTATCCTGTTTATATCCTTAATATGATAATATATCCCGTCACCCACATAAAAGGCACGAAAGTATAAAAAATAGCTATCTCAAATATTATATAATAAATATTACAATATTTTATAATAAAGTATTACGTATAAAAGAGATCACAAACCACTATTTTCTTAATAATAAATAAAATTACAAAAAAAAATATCACTGGCATTTACAAAGAATAATTTCCTCACCAAGAGATCAATAAAGTCGAATAAATTTTCAAACGCAAATATAACAAATTTTTAAAGCTTATAATATTAATTTCACAAAATGAGCATCGTTTAACAAGTGGAAGCAAATATTAAATTGAAAAGCGAGGCCATAAAATTCGTTTGTAGTAGTGTGATATGCGTAAACAGTAAAAAGTGTTTGCTTTCTCATTTCTTTGTTCACAAGTTTTATATACAAAGCCTTTTTAACAACGCCAGTAAAGTTAGTTTGATTTGCGGGGGGCGAGTTACCCCTGGGTACGCCACATGTATGTACGGTTTCAATAACAAAAAAAAACATTACTACAACGTTGGAGAGCAATTCTATAAAAAAAGTAATATAGGATTATCAGGTCAGCGTATATCTTTTCGTCTTTTCGTTGAGAATTGCCCTCCGGCTTTGGTCAGATATTAAAGAAAAAGCAGAGAAGATTATTACAAAACACACAATACAATCAAAAATGTCGGAAGTATAGAAGAGACAAGGCGGTGCCGGATATTGATGACTCACCGGAAGTCGTACGCCGACGACCAGTGTTGAGGGTCGTCCGGCATCAGGGTGAAGTTGAGGCTGATGGAACCGTTCTCTGGCACCGTCACTTGTTCTGTCACGTTCTCGTAACTGTAATAGCAAAGTGTGTTTGTATTCACGCTTAAACAGTTCGACTGTATGTAATGACATTTAGCGGGCCATTTAAGTCCAAAACTTAAACAACATTTGGGCATTTGATTATCTATGAGAACAAACTTCTATGTTTTGTCTATAAAAAAATGGGCATGACATTGTTTACAGGTAATGGATTTTCATACGTATAAGGATTTCTCGGATGAAGCCGACAATTCGATCGGGCAAAATTAGTAATTTGAAACGAGAAGAACAAACTGTTTGGAAAATAGGTGCAAACGATAACTTACCCATCCTTGCTAACAGAGATATTGTATGTTCCCGGTACTAACAGGCGGTAGTAGTCCCCGAAATGCGCTGTCTTCACGTTATGTCGTATTCCCCCCACACTGACAGTGGCGTTAGCCAAGCCGTGGCCGATGTGACTGTGCACAAAGCCGTGGACTCCATAATGTACCTTAGGTGTAACACAACAATTGAATAAGAGAAGTAAGATGAAGCTGTTACTGCTACATCCGCATAATATTTTCACATCGTAAACAGTAAACATTTAATTTAAAATATCCGGGTCGAAGGACCAACAGAGGCATTGCTTAAGTTTTTATTCAACTATTATACCGTTATTCAAATTATTGTGGACACAGTTCTTAAAGAAATAATCATTTATGACAGTTGTGTTATGCTTTTACCGACTGTCTATAATACCAAAGTAATATTTTGCATTTTGTTTGCTACCTGTTCAATGAACGCAATCAAAGCCTCCCTGTTGTCGTCCCAGTAAGATGGCAAATCGCTCGCCGGTGGGAACTTGTAGCAGCCGAGTTCCAGCGTAATCTCCATATCGTTTGTGTGAAGGTAGTTCCAGTCTTGCATGCCTCCAGCTAGGGTATACCTGAAATTATTTACAAATTCGACTACTAATTTGCTTACATATTCAAACAAACTAATACTTTAGTCCTGGCCATGTTTAAACTAAAGCTTATGCAAAATTATATTTAATTCCTAACCCTAAAATATTTCGACTAAATTAAGAACAAATTTCGTTTACCTTTGTGGTACTATTTCTTGAAATTAGTTTAAAAAGTATCTAACGCTATTTTACATACCACTTTGCTCCATTCGTAATTCCTTCCGGAAATCTTTCTAGACTTCCTCTGGCGCACGGCTGACCCAAATGCATTTTGTGATGCGCCTGAAAGGAGAATTTTATTTAAATGTAGACTTGTGTATTTCATTTGTTCCAAAAGTACATTATCTTTTAAATCAAAGTTTTAAAATGCGAAATATATTAGTTATTACAATACGAGCTTTCTGTTTGTAGCAGTCGAAATCAGACTCCATGTAGGTGATCAAGGTGAATTAATATATTTCGAATTTTAAAAAGTGTTATTAAAATATATGCCACTTGTGTAATTGAGTATTCTGTAGTATGTAATTATTATCTAACAAATAGTTAACTGAAAAGCGAAAGTTAGTGTTGATAGCTATTTAGACGTTTAATTTATCTCAATTAAATCAGTATAATAATAACTGGTTACGGTCAGTATAGTTAGACTTACAGGTCTAATAATACTTTGCCAGTTAATTATACCCTCGTTTAGCTTTTTTTAACTGATGATGTGAATGCCTTATACACGCCCACTGCAGGCAAAAATGACATGGGGAGTGTGGTAAATCCTACTACAACCTCCTTGGCGACCGAGGAGTATCTGACCAGAACCACTAAGCACACCAGCAGCCCGCTATGGTGATTTCGAGGGAGCCCTGGGAACACGTTAGTACGACTCCAAAGCTAGCTCTCGTTTAACCCAAAGAATAATTTAATACATACATCGGAATACACATGAGCCAAATGCAGAAACACGTCGTTGTCCGGCGTCAGGTTCTCGATGCCGTCCACCATTCTGGAGTTGGCATCGTAAGGGTAGTTCGCCACCAGGGACCCGCCGTGAAGGTTAGCCGATAACACGAACGGAATGGACTGCGACCAGTTCATCACGGCTCGTGTTTCTGGCTCTTGTTCCAGATTATCCTGGAAAATGGATATTATTGTTAATATAATGTATCTTAATATGTATGTAAATATCGAGAAAGATTCTCTGCAGTACTACAGACAGATTGTCATTTTTTATGTTATGCTTTCTCATATCGAATGTAATATTTCTCATTATTATACTGAATAATAGTAAAGAAGGTAATATGCGCCAAACGAAAGTTGATCCTGCCTTACTTCCAATAGAGACAACTGTATTACTTATTTATGTTTATATAGACAGAGAACTTACCGAAGTGGGTCCAAATTGGTCTGGGAAGTTTCTGTTCAAATCTACGTCGTGAGCATTATTTCTTCCACGAGTGCTCTTGTAGTCACCTTCAACAGATATCAATACATAAACTTCTTTTTTTATCATATTTTTTTACTATATTATTACATGAGTCTCCCCGTGACCAAGGCTGCTGCATTCGAAACGTCGGGCCGAAGTTAAAAATAATTTTCAAATAATTTTAACTAATATATCGCGTTTTAAACCGTTAAATTGTTTTATGTAAATACTATTGTATATTGACGGGCCCGTTGGTGGCAATGGTGGCTTAATAATAATCAACGGGTCGTCGCTTCCATTCCCACCAATTGTATTTTTTCTGAAATATGTTAGACTGCGTTGGGAAATCGGGATATTAAATAAGTGAATGAAAATTCTGCTAACATTACGAGTCGACAGATGAAACAGTTAAAATTGTAATGTAATTCGGTTTCAGTCTGTGGATTTCCGGTTGTCCAAGCCAAAATAGCTGGCAGCTCATCTCTTTAAGGTCAAGTTTCCCTAAATGTCAAGGAAAAATGGTGATGGAAGGACATACGTAATCTGGAATGTTCGTATCCGTCGGGGTTCATCGACGGCATAAGGTGAATTCTGGTGGTGTTCAACAACTTCTGGATTCGCTGGTCGCTGGTGTACTCTTGGCAGAGGTACTTCGCCAGTAGGAGCAACATTTCCCTACCGACCACTTCGTTGCCGTGCATGTTAGCTACGTACTTGAACTCGGGTTTGCCTAGAATATAAAATTAAAGTTTTTCATCATCAACAACTTTCAAATGTAACACTCAGAACTTTTTTTCTATTATATTTTAGATGTTTACCAAAATTAATCGATTCGCTTAGCAGTATCTTGTTCCTGATCTAAATACTTTTTAAAACATTAAATATATGTTAACTTATATATATTTCGTAGGAAAACCGTTAAATACTTTAATTAAAAGATTGCTTTTAGCATAAACTACATAAGACGCTTAAGATAATCTTTTGATCGCAATAAAATGAATGTCTTAACAATTACCTTTTTACTCCTCTATCTAGCCAGCTTTTAACAGAAGAAAAAATCATCAACATCTATAATGTAGTATTTTTTTAATAATTTCAATGATCTTAGTATGTGAAGATCTCCAATACTTACCAGCTATGTGGTGGCCGGGGTCCTTAGTTATCTCGAGCACATACAAGTCCCTTCCCTCCACCGACTTTCCTATACTGGTGAGCCGGGTAATATCGAGATACTCCGCATTGAGGTCTTTGAGGAACTTCTCCATCGCTTCGTAATTGTGGTGGAAGAAGTCTGGTGGGGATAAACCGTCGATTGTTTGACGTACTCGCCTAACCTCTGAGGATTTGCCAGTTTGTGGGGGAAATGGGTCAAGAGTGCTTCTCTTTACTTTTGAAAGTAAAATACAATGTTTATTAATACATATAAGAATATTATTATTTACATATTCAGTTAGTATTGTTATCAACTTATTTAAATTACTTGAAGAGGCTTAAGGCGGTACATTGAATTGACTTGAAAAGAAATAGCCTAAATTTGGATAATGGAAAAGAAAACCACAAAATAAACTTATTTTTGTATTTCAAATATTTACATATTTACTGGGAGAACATTATATCAATTTGAAACATCAAATATTAAAACAAGGAGAAGAAAATAAAAACAGATAAATAAAATAGGCAAATCGTCAAAGAAATAGGCCGGTGTGAAAGAATAAAATAATAACCAAAAAGAGGAGAACAAGAAGCATAAATCTTAAACTCTATATTAATAATAGCTTAATTGACTTGAAACTAACACTAACTTACATTATTTTACAATTTTTAATTGTTAATAAATTAACTTAACATAATAATACTGTTGGTTAGACTAGGTTATATGAGGCTGCTAGAGGCAGAGTGGCCTAATAACAAAAAACATAATTTTCAAGGAGGAAAAAAATGCTTAATTACCTTAGGCTAATTTGTGTAAAAGTTATGTTAACAAACTTCGGTCACAGTGCTCTTGTAGATTAAGAGTCAAGTCAAATTGGAAGTAAGGCTACTCTGCCTCTAGCAGCCTCATATATATATATATATATTAAGTATAAATAAAAATAGCTAAAAGTTAATATAACGGAAATTATAGGAGTCTTCTTATTCGTCAATTGTATTAAAGAACCCATACTAAGACACCAATTAGCAATTCTAACAATAAGACACCTTCACCATACTTCCTATTCTTATCCTTAAAGATGTCAATCGAGTTATTATGAGATTAAAATTTGTTATAATTGTTGAGGCAATTCTTAATAAGTAATTATTGAAAGAATTAGAACCTGTCTCACTGTACGACATCGGCGTTAAAAAGTCACTTTATTGAGAATTACCTCCCAATAGAAGTTATCTCCGTTTTCAACAGTCTCATATCTTTCGAAACTTATTGAAACTTGCTGACGGTTCTTCGAAATTTTATGTGAGAAAAGGTGTAATGGATAGAGTAAGTTATGCTTTTAATTAATAACTTCATTTTAATTGTTAAAACGTGAATGTATAAAAACCACCTTTGCTATTGTGTTATGATTTTGCAACAAAAATCAATATTGTAAATGTATTTACATATAAATTATGTTCCTATTAGGCTCTGTTACTCTCAACTACACTCAACAATTATAAAGTTGAAGTTTTTCAGCTTTTACTCTGGTTTCCCACGAAACACAAAATACTTTGGATATTGGCTGATCAACTATCTAAGTCCTTATTGTGTAAATTATATCACAAAATTTAAAACATTTATACCGAAATTAGACTAGGGCAGTGAAGTAACAATATTAAAAAAGTTGAACAATATAAATCTCCATTAACGTTCGTTGAAGTAATCAATAATTTTATAACATCAACTTAGATACATTATCTTCATTATTGACACTAGGCGCCCTTCAAGCCCTAATAATAAGCACCAATAACAAATGGAGCAAGAGCCAGCAGTGGGTGACCGTGACGGCTGCGTTGTCATGGTAACGCTGGTACTTACCATCTGTGAGAGTGCGCGGGCGCCGATGAACGGTCAAGTTCAATTTCATAGGACTTTCCGCTGTCACATGTATTGTGGAGGGCGGTGGCGTTGAGTATCTGGGTGGGATAATATAATTATTAACATTAACAGCTATTATTTTAAGCTGCACTCTATTAGGCGACAGCCTTAAGCTGTGCCACTACGGGGAAAGTGCGGATAGTGCGCGTATTCGATACCCGTGCGATCGGTATGTGACGCTACTGACGACGTACCCATTTTAGTATAAAAAAATAATTAGAATTGTCGCAAGAGTCGAACTGGTGTATCGTGCACAGGGAGACAAGTAGGATTAAATAAATATTTAATAGTAATATTTTTTATTAAATTAATTATTAAGTAAATTAGTTTTTTTACAATCACCGGTGGCCACTAACATAATTCAGGCGTAAACTTTCAATGTTGACGTTTCTTGATGTAAACATGGGCCACAGAGCATTAGCAAGGTATATCCAGTGCTGATTTAAGTCATGTTTGACTTTTCAGTAAATGGACATAAATACTGTATTTTTATAAAACATTTACTAAATATCACACTCTTGTTTACTTACCCAGCAGCAACGGCGGTGATATTATATTCGCCGGGCAGCAGCAGCCTCCAATATGCGCCATCTTTAGTAGTTTTCACTGTGTGGTTGATACCTTGCACTTTTATCACTGCATTCTGAAATCCGACATAATGGTCTTATAACAAGTAATGTTAGTTATATTTTCTCGTCTACACGGGATAACGCCGACCCTCGGAAACTTGGAAGCTTCTAAACATTCAATGTTTAAAAAGCTATACTAAGCATCAAAGCATACCTGAACTGGATTCCCACTCTCGTCCAAAACGAAACCCTGTACTCCGATATTGGTCTGCTCCATATAGGCCAGCAAGGATTCTTTGTTCTTCTTCCAAAACTTGGGCAACTCGGAGGCCGATGGGTACTTGCAGCAGGATAGCTCAAAAGTCACCTCGAAGCAGTTCGAGTGGAGGTAGTTGAAATCTTGCATGCCACCTGGAATATTAATAAAAATAGGTTTTTGATAAATCCTATGTATACAAGAAAAAATAAAATCTTATCAAAGTTTGGCGGTACAAGGTTTGCTTTTAGTTTCAGAATGCGCTTGCAGTGAAAACGGTGAACCTCGATAATTTCAAATAAAATTTGAAGGTAAAGGTCGAAAAATAGCCCTAATTTTACAATCATTTGAGTGTTATTGGTTGAATTTAGTACCATTTTTAAACTTTACTAACAGTTTTTATGTTACATGTGTGTTTGATAGTTTTATAATTATGACACTTATGAAAGAAAAATAAAACTAGAAACGTTCAAGATTTTCACCTTTAACGGTATACCAAAAAGCGCCGTTAGTAAGACCGTTACTGAATTTTTCCGGTTCGCAGGCGTCGCCTTTGTGCATATCCTCGTTGGCCGAAGCGTACACGGACGCCAGGTGCTTGAATACTCCATCATCAGGAGTTGTACTTTCCACGCAGCAATCCCGTTTTTCGTCAGCGCTAAACCAAGGTTTAAGAGGAGCGACATTAACTAAAAAATACATGCTACCATTGCACCCATTTTCACCTGAGAAAACAATAACCTACCTCGAATCATAAGGATAACTGGCGACTACAGCGCCCCCATGCAAGTTGGCTGACAGCGTAAACTGCTTGCTCATGACCCATCGCATCAGCGCTACGGTCTCCGGCTGTCTCCCACCGAACATGTATTCGTCATCGTTTGATTTGTTCTTATCGAATTGATCGGGAAAGTCCCTATTGAGGTCCACGCCTTTTGCGTTGTTTCTGCCTTTATAGTCGTTGAGTGTTTCACAGGAACCTTCCTAGAATAAATATGGAATAATTGTTGTTACCCACGTGATTTACTTTATCACTATAATGCTAAATACTATATTACAAAATCACATGACTACAGATTAACTTTGGTAAACTTGATGATGAATCACAGTAAAATAATATCTGGTTTGATGACAATTCTATTTTAATATTTGAAGAATCTGAAGACTTTGTTTTTTTTTATACCCGCTTATCTGAGGAACTTCTAGTTTGAATTGAAAAAATATTTTTGTGTTGGTTGGACGACTCATCAAAGAGAGCTTTATGTTAAATAAAAATTTAAAATAAATTGAAAAAAATCTCGGAAAGGACTTAAACCCGCATCGTGAGAGTTCCGTTGCTCTAAACAATTGAACTACCAAATCCTACACAAACTACAGTTTTCAAACAGAGAAAAAAAATATCTTTGAGGGCTTCCATTGCATGCACTCCAAAAACGTGGAAAAAACTTAAATAATATGTATGACAGGATGATTATTTTAATGATTCAAAATAATGTTTGCCAGGTCAGCTAGTATTATATAATCAGTGAGGTATGCATTATTTGCATGTTATCAAAAAATAAGAAGAACATAGTATAAAAATTGTTCTTCTGAACAATAGTATCTTCAGAAGTCATATGATGTCTGGACAAAAGGCCAAATGTTAAGAGATAATATTAACTAACCGAAGGGCAAACTGCATGAGATATGCATGTCGTTCATTTGCCTCTTATAATTCGCAATGTTTACAAATAAATTGTGATTATTGCTTTCCTTGTTTTAAAAGCAAACAAGATGTTGTAAATAAAACTCCCATTTAATTTATTGGCATTCTATTCAGTTTAGTAGTTGATCACACTTCTGCAACCAAACTGAAATCTGATTGTATGTAAAACTGATTGAAAAGGGTTATTATGACGTTAATCAATAATTAAATGATACAAATGCTTGGGGTGTGGAGGAACCCACTCTAACAAGATAAAACAAACACACAAAGAATATACAATTACAATAAAAGGAGTGACGACGAGTTAATTGCCAGTTCTTCTCGTTCGTTCTGCACCCTTGATTTGAGAACTGCTAGTAAATGTAAAGTGACATTCTTTAGTTTTGTGACGTTCATAAGTGTACCTAGTTACCTACAGAATAAATGATTTTGTACTTTTAACTTTTGAAAGTTTTTATTCTTTCCCAGAGCTCTCCACTTCAGACATTGTTTTAACTGTGAATCGATGGAAGAGATAAAAATAAACCTTATTTATGGATTTTATATTTATGTGACACAGCTCCACAGACTGATCTTGAAATAATATTATGATACAATTACATTTAGCATATGTATATATAATAATTAAAGTAAATCCAATATTAAGATATTAAAATTACATATTTTATGTCATACAATGATGTAGGTAGTTTCATATTACTTTTGTATATTATAAAATTAGGTTCTGATTTAGACATGGCTTTTTTTTAAACTGTACCTAAATATTTTAGTGGTCGTTTTTAACTTGTGACTTACCCAACTAGCTTCAAATCCATCTGGATTGAGTGAAGGCATCAAATGGATATCTGTCTCATTTAATAACTTGGTGATTCTATCAACTTTTCCATAATTGTAAAGTAGATATTGAGCTAAGAATACAACCAATTCGCGCCCAACGGATTCGTCTCCATGCATATTCGCGACAAATTTAAAGGAAGGCCTTTCAGAGTGTTCATTTTTAATATCAGTACTGATCTGAATAACCAAGAGTCGGCGGCCTTCAACGGACTTCCCGATAGAATAAATTTTAGCAAGATCCGGGTATGTGGTTTCCAGACTATCAAACAGTTTCAATAATTCATCATACTTCGTATACTTAGGGGCTGTAAGGAACGGCTCGTTTTCTTCCTCTAATGATCTAGACACACATTCACTTATAAGAATAGTAAATAAGAACAATATTAACTTAAATCTCGTAGGCATTGTTGCAATACGCTTTTGCGCTGTGAATTGGAATGTATTGTTTTCTTTTTAATATTATTCACGAGCTTATATAATTGCAAACATTGTAGTTCGTACACGAATGCACCATTAACCGTATATTAAGCACAGCCGACGTCCACAAATCACGACAATGCATAAAATGAAAGTAGATTTAATAAAAAAGGAGATCAAACAAATATTGTAAGTCACAAATTGACACAGACAGTATTTTTGATTAGTGGTCCATGAGTGACATTTAAAGTTCTCACATATTGACACATCATTTCTCTGTCAGCGATAGCGTTATAAACTGTGGTGTCGTCACAGATATTTTAATAACGTTCAATATTTTGACTTTATTATTTCTTACTGATTAATGGTAAATATATAAATAAATAATAAAATAAAATTGATGGAGATCTACTATTATTAACTGTTTCTAAAATTTAAAGAAGCATTATAATGTAATTTCAATTAATACACTATTTAAAATAGTTACGAGTGGCATTACAAAAAGAAAACACTGAAAATGAATGGCATATATTTCGACTCAATATAATCACAACACATAAACATTTACAGGAACTTATTCTAAAAACGCTTACTTAAGTAACATATAATGGATAACATTCTTATATATAGCCAGCCAATATATATTATAACTTTGAGACACAATTTGCCAAACTGAAAGACCAATTTGTTGAACGGATTGAGGAAAAGAGACGATTTATGAATAGTATTTAAATACTGTACTTTATGACTGACTATACAAATGAATGATTTTAACAAAAAAGTATATGTCACCACTGTTTCAACTAAAGTAATATTGAAATTAATCTAAATATAAATAGCTTAATTATGAACACAATTAAAAATGGATCAAAAACGCACTTTACTTATAACAGGTATTTAGCTAGTTTAGTGACGATCATATAGAAAAAAATACAATTACCGCTTCAAAGTTACCTATTTTATCATTGTAAAATTGAAATGTAAAAAATAGAAATGAGTAAGGCACATTTATCAGTACCAATTTTAGGCTCATTTTAAAAATTAAAGCACAAATACTTTATATAATTAATACCTTGTATTATTAGCTGCCACAATAGTTGTGCGTAGGATACTTATGCCTATTCATGGACAATAATAATATAAAAGATTTTTTTCTAAACAATACTGGTACGAGAATCAAATTAGTTATGGGGATATTGTTTTTAATTAACTGCTGAGTAATAACTTTGATGATGGTTTCATTTTGAATACATCTGTCAGTACTCACTATCACTACATTATTGCTCGAAATGGAATAAAATTATCATCAGGACCGTAGATTGACGTACTACAACAGAGTACTTCTCTTCTTGTCTAGTAACTGGTGTGTAGACGAAAGTTCAAACTGTGATTTTATTTTACGTACTTATATTCCAAAAACGTTTGATTCAATTATCCTGTGTACTTCACAGGCACCAAATTTATAATAAAAAATACTTTACGTAACCTTAAAAAATTGCCTTTAAATCTAAAAATAGTATATTTGAGCGGAACATGAATGCGGAATTTACAAAATAAATTAATATTAAAAAACAGGCACTTATAGCAATACTTAAAAATTCCAAGTCTTCAAACATTAGAAAATCGTATCTATCAAAAGTACATTGACAAAATTGTGCGCAAGGTTATCAAGTTCACCCGCATAAAAGACTCATTTATAGAATGTCAGCCGTGGCTAATTTTGAAATAAGCTCGAGTACAAATTCACTAACGCACCAATACCGACACATAAGAGTATACACAAAATTGTATAACGGCTGGTTCCATCTTTCTCACAACAATTCCGTACCGTCAAGAAATCGATAATCCGTACCGTCAAAATTTAACTAAAACTGGTGGGCTGACTTTGTACGACGTCAGAGTCAGCAGACCAGTTTTAAAAATCGTGTATAGACATTAACATCGAATCGTAGTTCTAAAATGTATGACTCTCAATTAAGTAAACAGTACGGTGTTTGATTCCTTAAAAGGAAATGTTACTCTGGCTCAAGGAAATTGATAAAGCCGTTCAGTAATTATGTAGGGGGACGGGGACATTTTTAAAATTGAAGTCGAGAATGAAATAGGGGAAATTCAGATTTTTTTTTAATTTTAGTCACCTAAATTCGATCTTTTTTGCGCCAAAGTGAATTTGTCAATCATTTGAACGGTAATACATCTCTGGTACTTAAAAGTTTAATCACATTGAGATCGTTACAGGAATCTGGACTCCCAGAAGATATTGGCAAGTATACCGGCAATCATCAATGAGAAGTAGAGGATAACCGCCGCCCACCACAACCGCTTCTCCCACTTTCTCTTCTCGAGGTTTCTTAGGACGCCGATGCCGACTAGTAGTCCTAAAGAAGGGCAATAATATTAGTATAAAATATAGCAGTAAGTCCCTCCGTTAATGCCTCTTTTAATTACATACTAAAACAGCCTCGAGGAATATAATTAATTGTATATAACAAGTGTTAAGACTTAACTACTGTGCATTCTTCTGAAACCCGCCCTTAAGAGTCGGGGCATTTTTTTATGAAAAAATATTTTACGAGCTGCAATGAAATTTAAATGTACGCAAAGATTTTTTCATTAGAAAGATAATAAATGTTTTAAATAAAAATATATTTAGCATCATCATAAAATTATGTAACAATAATTTAACCAGGCTCCATACCAGCTATGGCCCCTCCTAGATGAGCCACGTAACCGATGTTCTGCTGTGTGTGCTTCCAGTACCTGTCGTACACCGCCGTTCCTACATCCACGGCGGCCAGCAGAACGAATACTAACAACTGTATTATTGCAAACTCCATTTCTGCCCAGTTCTGAAAGTCATTACAAAAATATTGTCATTTGTCAACATTTTACGCGAATAGTAAAAACAAAAGCCACGTATAACAAATTAAGAACACCCTCCCTCCCCCCTACATCCTTTTTTGATAGTAAGATGTTTTTATCAACTTTAATAAGCTGCATTTATTAAAGGGCTAAGAATGGTTTGAATTAAAATTTTAACTATTTCATCTAAAGAATTACAATTCCTTGGAATGTAAACAAAAAACTTAAAAATAATAATAACGATAAGAGGTACAAATACATGCTGATGAAAAATATTACCATGATAATAGTTGCTATATGAGCCGTGATCAATGCATAGACACCCCCCGAAGCTCCCGCTAGGTAGACCTTGGGGTCGGCCAGGCTGGTGGCCAAGGAGCCAGCTGCGACTCCAGCCAAATACACCAGCACCACTCTCCACCATTTGTGGACCATCTCCAGTGGCACTCCAAGAAATAGCTGCACCAGAAGATTGACTAGAAGATGTACTACACTGAAATAAGAGAACGATAGAAAATTACTAAACAAGGAAGGACTTTAGTTTATACCAATTGTTTAAATGTTTAACCATTTTTAGGAATAAATGCCCATTACTTTACTAGAAAATAAATGAACTTTCCGAACGCAAAGTGTACATAATGTAAAAATACCCACCATTGAAGTCAATGACGTGTGAGTGATTTTTTTATTAAATAGCGGAAAATAGTGAATCTATACTAATACGAAGTCGCAGTCATCGCTAGTGGAATATAGATTCGGCTAAAATATTAGTGATTAATATAAAGGCAAACAATTGTGTCACATTAAACTTTTCGTAACTTTAAGAAAGGGGTGAGTTTGAGCCGCTTTGGCTCATTATGAGTCGAATCGGAGCGTTATATTTATATCCGTCTATAGGAAAGAACTTTGGAACTAAAATATAATATATTCAAATTAGCGCATTAGTTCACTATGATTATCGTAAAAGCCGTTACGTTTGACGCGTTACGATAGATGCTAAAAAGCCTCTGTCGAAAGCTAAGCCAACCAAAATAGTATTATATCATAAGTACTCACTTAACATGCACCAGCATATATGTCAAAAACCTCCACGCCTCGTGCCTCTTCCTCGGGTTGTAGAGGAACAGCTTAGCGATGGGTCCCGTCGCAGCGGTCTTCCCCTGCGCCGCATCATAGCAGAAGAGCACTATTTCCACCAGAGAGATGATGATCATGGAGACCGCGGGCGGCCAGCAGGTGTACTCCTCCTCGTAAGTGCCGTCTGTGTACGTGAATACTGCCTTGCTACGAGTTCGGACTGGTTAACGCAACACAAATGGGATAGGGGAAAAGGGGGATTGGAAAACATACAAATTGCAGCAGAGGAAAGCGGGGTAAGTAAATATCCGATTAGGGATGTTATCCCATTTTCAGTGAAATAATATTTTAGGGAATAAGCAATCAAAATTATAATACGTATGGAATTAATAGCAGATGTTTTGTTTCACTTGCCGAGTGTTGCAACATTTTGTGCAAATTACCCGCATAACACAAAGAATTCAGTTGCCACAATCGATAAAGGTTATTTTTAGTTCAAAAAGATGGCAACAATAGATCAGAAATAGAGCACGCGTCGCGAGTGTGACCATTACGACATAACAGGACGCATTAAGTCAATTAAGTGGTCGCGTGTTGAAAGGGCGAATCGCCGTTGACAGGGTAATTGTGGCGAATTTTAGTTTTTCGATCGACCACAGTAGCAGGAAAAAACAGCTTAGTTTCAGGAAAATGGCGATTAGTGTGCAATTAAAGATACTCGGTTTAAACGAGTAGAAAAATGGGAAAAACACACAAAAGTGGTTATTTTTCGGTAGAAGAAAAGCGTAGGTAGATTTTGGGATACACAAAAACAGTAGGAGGGGATCGGAAAAAAAACAACATGTTAGTAATTCATGCATTTTCATCAATTAGCGGACCGTTGAATATGGAAAGGCGGGCAAAAAATATAGTGAATTAACGTTATTATTGCGCTTATTAACTTCCTTATTCAACGGTATAGCTGTTAGCTAATGAGGACACAATAGACGGTGTCCTCGCTAAGTAGACGATTCAGCATGCATCGCAACATCTGTATCCCTTCACCTTGTGAACTAGTGACAATGAAAAGCGAGCGTGAAAGGTCGTTTACAAAAAACATCTGTTTAGCGACGACCGTTTCCAGGACAAATAGTTTCGGTAGCAGTCCTTTAGTGTGTACTATATATAAAAATCGTCATACCGAAATAAGCCAGCGTCTGTTTGACATAGCGAAGCACAGTTCTGAACGACCACTTGCAAACATTTCTACTACTTTTGCACGTTCTCATCCACATTTTCGCACTTTCACCCCCACCCCCGCACAACAGCGTACAATTATTTTATTTTACGTGGAAGCATTCGCTACTGCATTGCTATTGCAGTTTTCGCGTCATCGCTCGTCGAGTTTTCCCGCCTTAATCTCGTTTTCCAATAATCGTGCACGTGAGGTCGACGAGAGACTGAACTAGTGTATTTGCGAGAGGCGACTGTGCTTAGTTAAGGGTCGCGATGGCGCCAGATCGCGGCTAATGCAATCGTGCGCTGTACATAATTCACTTCCACAAAACCTTTGCGCAAAAGCTGCGGGACATTATAACGTATCATTATTACTTGACCGTTTCGCTGTACTTAGTAGACCGATGTAGATTTTTATTTTTTTTATGATTTTTTTTTCATTAATGTGTTCTGACCAATTTGGCTGATTACACGTTACGGTTGTTAATATGAATTTACCTGTCTAAATTCCTAGAACCAGGAAGGAAAATTAGCAAAAAAATACGGAAATTAATTTTTATTAATATATTTTTTTGGCATACCACGTCTTATTCTCTAAACAAAAATCTTTATTTAATATTAGCTAAATTGTAGACTAGAATAACATAAGCGATTGTTGACGACCATTAAAAATGGCTGCAATGCCTATAAATGCTGGCACATAATTTCTAAACAGATTTTTTCAATGTGAGAATTTTCCAAAGATAAAGCAATAAGGTAATTTGACCATTTCGTTCACGAGTCCTATTGGAACACGAACGGGACAGGTATTTGACCTAAACGGGGTCAGATGAATTGTACGGTCGAGGCCGATTTGCTTATGAAGCTGAGTTGATCTAAAAACGGATTTTGGAATTTGAATAGAACACTGAAATGAGCTTTTTATTTTACTCTTACAATTGAAGAATAGCTGAAATTGCCGAGAAATATATCTATATCTATACTAATATATATAGCTGAAGAGTTTGTTTGTTTGTTTAAACGCGCTAATCTCAGGAACTACTAATTCGAACTAGGCTATAAAACATCACGCAGTGACTAATAGGAGCGAAGTAACAGTGTGAAAAAATCGGGGAAATTTATTTATGCTTGTAAAAAATATGTATGAAAGAAAGATTATTCTTTAAATGATCTAAAACAACGTCCGAGACAGTATATGTCTATCTTGCGACCAATCTTTTATCTTCGTGGGCAACAGATTTAGTCTATGGAGTTGCATAACAAAAATTGACACCCCAAATAATTGTTCTACGCGTACAAAGTCGCTGACTCAGCTAGTATTATATAAAAATAGTAAAAAAAATATACAGAATAGTAAATATGTACCATTATTTGTGTAATCTGTTGCTTCATGGAATAGAGAAGTATGAACTATCTATTGTTCTTATTATTACGTAATCCTGTAAAACTCCGTTTTAATTTCTACTTCATTTCATAGTATTTGTCACAGGTTACGTAAAATAATAATGGTTCATAATATTGTCTTTCTGGCGGTCAATTATTATCTATTAATTTTTAATTCTCATTTTAAAATTATTAATTAAGTTGATTAATAAATTCGCAATTCCCACATAGACGACATTATCATCTTGCCATCGGCCTCCTTCGAAACGGCTCGACCGTTTTTGATGAAACCATATGTATATATTTTGGTATTTCGATAATCGGTCGTAGGAATTTTTTTATACCCTAACCGAATTGTATTTGGATAGTGATTATTTAAGTACTGTCTGTAGTTTACGAGAGTAGTACACATATAAAAAAAACACTTTAACAGTTTAATTGATTACTGATACTTTAAGTGATTATTTGACAGTCTTGTCAGTGTAGAGTCAATTTGGTCGTAATATATAATTAAGTAACAAAAAAACTTGCTATCAGCTGCGTATTCTTTATCTTCCCTTTACGACGAATTTGTGTGTTAATAAATAAGTGGATACAAAAAGCACGATTGTCGATATAAAATTGATAAAGCGATAAGATAACATTACAAGACATAATTTATAGATTGTAAGTTATGGTTGGAGATTCATATAAACTTCAAATTCCAACCAGAAATGATATATTTTAAAACTTTGACACAGAAAGGACTTATTAGTATTAAAAATGTATGTTTTGTTTTGCCGGTACCTCCTTATAATTACTTTAATCTAGTGTACGTAGCGTAGTAAATAATATCGGCGACCTTCACTGGACAACCGGTAATGAGTCAGGCTATACTCGTATGTATACACTGCCTGCTTCTTATCACTCTCCGTGATAACATACTATGTACTAAACCCTGTATATTTTTATTTAAAGGTTAATGGGATTAGGAAATATTCTAATCCATCTTGCAAATATTAGTAATCATTTGATGCTTATTCACAATTTTTATTTAGCACCTTTTTGGGTCTTATACTTAAGTATCTGGCAAAATAAATATATTTATTGGAACTTGTACGCCAAATTGCTATTTATGTACCCAACTAAAGTTACCTAGAAATAAAATCTATCCTACCATATAAATATTTATTTTAATTTTTAAGTCATAGATACGTCTTGCGTCCGTTTGCTAACGTTTTTCAGACGAAATCGACGGAACTAGCTGTGAAAATTTGGAAATGACATTAGGGATGCCCTCCATCTTCCGTGTCCCCTTGGCCATGGCTGCTATTAAATTTCCAAAACGTCGGGACGAAGTTAAAAAAATAAGTTTGTTTAATTTACCCGTATACTACTAGCGTAAATTGGAAATTCAGAACTTTAAAACTAATTACGAAGTACAACAACTAATAGGAATATTTTTTACGCGCCAAATTATTTTTTACATTAACCAGCTTTTTATGTGCAAGCCAAATCGAAATTGTAACTAAACCTATGATAAGTTACCTCTTTGGTCGCCATGTTGTGCAGTAGACCAATCCATTTTTAACATTACACGACAAATATGATTTTACATGGTAATTTATTTGGCCGCTAAACATGACAGATATTAATTTTCATACAACTATTGCCAGTCACCGTTTGACCAGTATAGCAAGTTCTATTTTCCCAAATTAGGTTGTCAAAATAATGCTCGATTCCAAGTATGTTTGAGAGAATAATATTACTCACATTGTACCTGAACTCTAGGAATTCCAAAAATAAGCAGAAATGTAACCGAGCCATCTGTTCATGTCTTTATCGAAGTTGAGTAATGAGAGTTGAGCCTATGATGTGTGCGGTATACCTAGTTTAAATTATTAAACTAATCAATGGTTCATTCAACCTGTACGCTTGGCGCTTAATTGGTGGTAAAAGCAATGTAATAATGTAAAATATAGCTTAATTTTTCGTTAAACATATTGTATAAAGAACCAAAATCAAACTCTACTCTTTGGCTTTGTCGATGTATATTAAACATATGATATATTTACTTTGAATTTTTGAACTCATACTCAAGCCTATATTTAAAAATATGAAATCTTCTCTTATTAAGACATTTACAACTTTTCAAGTTCTCTTTAGCATCACGAGGAGTCAAAATTACTATCACTAAGCAAACTTGAGTCATAGATTCATACGTTTTTTTTTTGTGAGTTTTAAAATCATCCAACAGTCACGTTTTATTTGTTAATGTGATATTGTCGAAATAAGGTAAAAACCAACTTTTATTAAAGGAAAAACGTATTGTTTTAAGTCGCCTTATCCTCTAACTTCCACCTAAATCTATAGAAAATCTAAGATCAAGGTTAAATCGAAACCTTGTGCTTATCTGTGCAATTTAGCCTTACTTTTTGTAGGTATTGGGCATTATCAAAGTATATATAAAGGAATACCCAAAAAGTTTTAAATGAACACAAACCAGCAATAATTAGTAAGCATAACTGCAAAAATAAATGTCTATGACAGCAACAGAAAGAACTTTTAAAAGTTAGTAGACCAAACGTTGAGTTTCGTTCATTATTTTCATTCGAAAATAACATACGATTTTATTGAAGGTATTGTAGACATTTATTTCAAGTTACGAAAGTAAAATTATTAACTCCAGATGACAGCACATTAGAGTCGTCAAAAATCACGACACAAATCAACTTAGTAACGACAAATGTATGAATTTTGAATGACAAGGCGCATGATTCTGGCCACGGACAAAACACCAATGATATAAAAATATTAAAAAAAAGTACCGCCATCTGAGGACGAGACTGGCTGGAACCCTGACCACCTTCCTACACCAAAACAAAACACTTGTAGAAATCGATCTCTGATAATAATAAAATATTAATTAAGGAAAGAAAGACACTATTACGTTTTTTAGTCTATACAGATGTTACTAAATCATGCTTTTAAGTAAAGAGTTAAGCTAGAGCTATTTACAATGAAAATTATTAACGTGCAATATGCATTTTTACAGAATATTAATAGAGAACAGATAATCTTTTGTAGTATTAAAAGTGAATATAAAACTAAGTAGGTGACATCGAGTCGCTAGTGAGTTACCTTGAAACTCATAGTAGGAGTATCCTATGTTACCTGTAGTATCTACTGGGCCTCTGTGAGGTATGATGGAGTGGATGTATCTGGCCACGAAGTGTCCAAACACCGCCTTAAAAGCCGGGTTGTGCATCATATCCACGAACTCCGCGAACTCGAGGTAACCAGAATTGTCCCTGTCAGCCAGCGACATGATCTTCTCCACGACATTGTCCGGAAGGTCGTGGTCGTACTCCCGGGATTCGATTATATTCTTCAGCTCCACATACGAAATTCGACCGTCGTTGTCTTTGTCGTACTGGAACAGTAGTTCAAAAATGTTAGCTCATGCGTTTGAAAGAAAGAAAATAATATTCATTTGCCATCATACATTACATAACTCAAATAACTATTCAAGTTATAATAGTCTTAAAATTCTAATGCGAGCGGAGATCTAGATGACAAAAAGGGCCCCGTCATCAACAAAGTGGTGTTTTTTAAACGATACAACGGTTTTAAGCTCGCGAACTGGCGGTTGTATTTCGGCGATTGGTGGGTCGTTTTTAACAAAGTTTAACAGTAACTCAGATAGTAGATAGTATAACATACCCATTATACTTATTTTCCTAAGAAAACTCTTAAATAAAAAATTTGATTCTTTTTTTTCTTTTTGCATTGTTTTATTATTGAAATAAAATACTTTAACGGTTTAGAAAGCGAAATATATTAAACTTATTTGAAAATTATTTAAACTACGGTCCGATATTTCACATGCATTGCAGCAGCCGTGGTCACGGGGAGACACCCCGGGACCGTTTTAAACCGTTAAATTGTAGTATTTAAACGTGTACTACTTGCGTAAACTACGCGTTTGTTTTATTATTCTTAGTCTACGAGGGCATTTTTATTGAATAATTAAATATTTATGGATTTCAACTATTGATTGTACGTAAATGTTTTCACTCGATAGAAAATCACAAATCACAATGTATGCTCTCAGAGTAGACTACGACGCGAAAATTGTATTTTGGGATGTGTTTGCTTATTCGATACGATTAGCACGTATTACAGTTTAACTGATTTAACCCATATATTTTGTTTAGCTAAGATCTGTTTGCACTTTCAACTATAGTTCTTGCCTAAAGTTTAAAGTTTAGTCTGTTTATATGAAACAAAATATCTTAAATTACTCAGTATATAAATCGGGCGACCATATTTCTGTATACGTAAAAGGCAATATAACATGTGATAACATCAATTTTATCAATGGGTTTTGTAACAAGCGCCATTAAATACTGCAATTCGATATATTTCGATTGATTGTAAACTCTATTTGTAAAACTTCGGCCAGTGAAGAATTATGACATAATTTAACATAATTCTTCGAGCAATCGAGGAGTTAACATCTGATGATGCCGTCCACACGTGATGGCGAAACATTGGCCGAATAGCCCAAAAGACAATGATATGCTGAACGATGGCCGTGAAAAGCCTTACACAATTTATCAAAAATGCTTAGTTTAATTAAATGGCGAATAGGATTTGCGTCGATATATTATTTTTATATTCTAATAGTATTCAACGGGTTTTTCTTGTTTTCCTGTTAAACATTTTTTTGGAACTCTACAATACACAGACGTATCGCTTCAAATCGATGTCAAAGAAGGTAAGAATCCACATTATATGTATATTTGGACACCTTGAACCATACCAGATTGCGATTAGATATAGTAGTGTAGCATATAGCGCATTTGGTCTAATAATTTAGTAAGTCTTAGATTAGGTACGAATATATATTTAAATATAAATGACCTGTTATTAGTGCCGTCTTTAGTTTTAACCGAGAGAGTACTGGACACAGCTAAGACACCTGATGACCGAGGAAAGGAATTTAGGAGTTTTGGCTCTATAAATGGTCGAGGACGCCTTTAGCTCCAACATGAGGATGCGACCAAAAGGAGCGAAGAATTTAAAAAAGGGGGAAATTGAGAGGGTTTTCTTACTGCCAGTAACGGTTATATTAAAAAATTTGAAAGAAGACCATTGTACTTATATGATCTAAAAAATGGGCGCAACAATATATCTATTATCTTCACCTTCTTGGATTAACTCACAAGAACCGTTTTTGTGGTAGTCGAATTTCGTCAAAATACTTCGCAAAACAACGTTGGCCAGGTCAGCTAGTTGTGATAATAAGAGGGACCAACGGCTTAACGTGCTATTGAGTAAACATCGTCACTGTGAGGTTGGTGACATCTACTCTTAGCTACGCACTGGTAGATACTACCTTTCGTCTCTGAACAATTTGGGTAAATCGTAACATATAAGAATATTTTCTTATAACTTCGTGAATTTCACCTTATACAGCAAACGTTACAGCGTGATTTAACACTTGTGTTATATATACATATACGAAAGTGATTCACCACTTACATTGGCGGAAGAAATTAGAATTTCCGTGAGTCATAACAATATGTTGGGTGAATTTTAGCTTCCAAAGCCACAGGTGATTTAGAAATATTGTAATTCAAATCAATCTGGTCCTAGCATCTCTAGTAGGTCAAGTTTTATTTTGAAGCCAACAAATTTGGCATGAAGAACTCCAGCTTTACTTTCTTTTCTAGTTTATATTTGTACTTAAAATAAAAGTTTGCACAAAGCAATATGGATTGGATAAAATTACTAAATTTTGTCTGAATAATTTGTTTTGGAAACAAAATTAGACAGAAAAATTTATGTTTATGCATATTCAAAAATGACCATGTATTAATTCTTGACTTGCCAACTACCAGTCTGAACACTTTGAAAGAGTAGCATTTTCAGTTCCATGAGTAAATAGCATTCTACTCCGACTTTGTCATTATGTTATCTTAATACTAGTACAACCCAATTGGCAAAAATTCAAAAAGCAGGTCATTTCTTTAAATATGTTAATTTAGCACCGATTTAAAGAACAGAGAAATTATTGACCTCATTTGAAATTCAAACAAATGAAAGTTTGTGTACCTCATGGGAGCAAATTAGCTTTTCCTTAAGTTTAGTAGATGTTGAACTGTCCTGCTTTCAAACTTTTTGTGTGATTTAATATAGTAATTATAGAGACTAAAAATATTATTATATAATTAGATTAAACCAATAAACAGTTAATCAATAATGTGATTTTAATGGTAGACTTTCTCCAGTACCTTTTAAATTCAATTAAAATTGTATGTATTAACTGTGTAGTTAGAATAATACTTAAAATAAATGTGATTAATTTTCTATCTCAATCTACTTATACCCTATATTCATTTGCCATCAATACTGTAGTATTTATTTTGTACTGTATTAAGCACTCAATGTAATATCACACATAAGAACCCAATAAAAATAAACAGCATTGTTTGGATACATACATTAGCTAACCATCCTTATTTTTATTAATAGATATACATATATTTATTATTATTATTTGTATTAACTCTATAACGTTAGAATTCCAACATAATTTAAAATTAAACCACACATAACTTTGACTATAAAATAAATTATAATATTAAAAGGCACACCTTGTTAAAGATCCTTCTCCAATAGAGATCCGATCTCGTCGGTGTAAGGGGTATGGAAACAGCGGTTTCCCTCTGAGCGGCCTGCATTTTCACAATTTTTTTCGTAGCTAGTTATGTAAAACTATATTTGAAAATACACTTTCACAGACCGGGGACCATGATCGATTTATTGCAGCAGATAAGATTTCAGATACCGTTAAATATAATTCATCCGTGTTTATATTTTTGATAACGCTACCATTTAGGTGTGCCGTAGGTATGCCATACAAATATGTATTTTAGAAGTTATGTACGTTATTAAGCGTAAACATACACGTAACACGAGTCGCTACACATTAATACACACAAGCGTTCACTCTTCGTTAATAAAACCGACACGAAGAAAACTTCAAAACTTGAATTGGTGTTTCCGAAAACGGTACATTACCCTACCTACGCTTCAACAAAATTAAAATAATAACTCGGCAAAGCCAATAGCAAGTCCCTGTAACGTAAAAAGTGACATTGACAGAATCTGTCAGCTGTCTTATATTTCACAAGCATTTTCCTTACACTAAAATAAGACAGTCTATTTGTTATTCTTCGTTGCTATAGTAACGGCGAACCATAAAAAGAATATAAGCTCCAAAAAATATTAGCGCTCTAAAACAATAATGCCAATAGTCTGCAATATTTATGTATATGCACTATAACTTATAAGGTGGTCAATTTAGGTGTTTATCTGCGCAAAAACTATTGGTATTGTGGGCTTAAAAACGGGAAGAGCATTAGAAAAGCAATGAAGTAAATATAATACTAAATTATTAAAATAGTGGTACTTAGTCAGAACTATGTGTGACTACATAAAAAATAACAAGAGTTCACAAGTGTACTGGTTAAAAGAAAATTTAAATGCTCTGAATGTTAAGTAAGTGTTATAAACTAAACCCATACTTATCAACATAGGAAAAATAATATTGAATGAAATGCTTATGAGAAATTTTAATACGACCAATTAGAGTCATAATACTCGTAGATTTAATATGATTATTTTTTGTACATGTTACCTTCATCTTATACCATCACTATTAATTACATATTCCAGAATAACAATAAAGTCCCAAAGAAATATAGCATTGTTACCAAGTTTCGAACATTATGTTAACTTATTAGAGGGTGAAAATATACCAAATACTATTAACAATGAGGCTCAAGAATTTACTTTTAAATGGCAAGAGAAAGTTTTTAGTCAGCATGACTATCAAAAATACAGTAATATCCATAATTGTATCACAGAACTGGATACTAAGTTATACGAGATGATAGCAAACAATGATAAAACACCACAAAAAGTTTTTACTTATATACATGAAGAATTTGTACTACCATTACCAGTAGTAGATGTTTCTTTAAGTGAAGGACTGCTGAATATTAATTCATGTATGCAAAAAGTAAAATTAAATGATAAACTGGAGACTGTTGGTGGTAAAACTATTTCAAGACAAAATTTATTTAAGAGCAATGATACTCTTTCTAATGAAGAGGACTGCTGGGTTGCTATGCATATATTTTATGATAATTCTGAATATGATGAGTATGTATCATTTAATATAAGAAACATAGCAATTAACTTATAGAACGCTTTTTATGTTACATTTTTTTGATTGGTGCTTTAAGTAATGACACAAGGAGGTAAATTGCCTTAGTCAAATAATATGCATGTTTTGTGGTCTCTCCATTACCTTTCTAACTTGATATTCCATCCATTAAATTAATGTCCATGTTAGCATTTAATTTAACATGTTAAAAAATCAACTTCAGAATTTGGAGGATGAACCATGTGATCTCTAAATATTGACTTCTGTTTACTTCTTTTTTCAGGGAGGTGAATACAATTTACAGGGAAGAATGTCTCCTCTTATCCCTATTTTACCATCCTGGGTATAATTACCTGATGGTATCGCCAGATATCAATATTTTAGACTCCTATGTTGTAGAGGCATCTTCAAGAATGCTTGATTTGGAATATTTGGTGGATATAGACTTCGGTCTGACATGTTGTGGTGACGACCTGGTGGAATTTGTAAGATTTTGTTTGTCATAACATAAAATATTAAATTTATTATCTACCAAAATAACTTTGAATATCTTATGTTTATGATTTATACTTAATATGAAATCCATTACCCCTTTTTGTTACCACTAAGTTCTGAAATCTTTTGCAGCTTGCCCAATTGTACAAGAAATTAGAAGAGAAGAAGAAAGCAATAATTAATTTTGCTAAACCATCTCTTGGAATCAGGAAATGTTATGTGTTCTTCGAAATAGCGACGGCACAACATTTTGATATGGATAACATATACATTGAATACAATATTAAGGTATTATGTACTTTTATTTAAACTTTGCACATTCTCTCTATGGCCATATGCCATAGCTTGACTAATGTTGAAAAAAAACATTAGATTCCAGATAACATACAATGTAAAAGCGATCTTACGGGGAGGACCCATGTCTCAAGATCGCTTAGCGACGAAGACATACAAGTGTGGACATACGGACATAATATTGACTTAGAACTAGATGTGAATACAGGCATCGGTATGCGTAAATAAGTATTTATAATTTAAAATAATAATTATTATTGATGGGACAAACAGTTTTGTTGGACAATTTTATTTAATTCAACCCTCACATTTTAAACCCAAAACCTGGTCTTTATTTTCGATTATAGTTCTAAAAATATATTCTTATCCTTTCAGATCAACCACACATAAAGATATACTTCGAAGCAATATCGCAAGATCGTTGGGGCCGACAGAGGACTGAGGGCTATAGCTATCTCACTCTGTTGCTTCAGCCCGGGTACTATACCGACCATCTGTCTTGCTCTCGCCCAGAGGAACTGAATGAGATAGACGCTGAGAGCCGGCGATTCTTCGTCGGAGGTTGTAATCTCATTCACGATATGGAAGTGATTGAGAAACCACAGTTATATGTAAGTTATATAAGTATACTTATAAAAATAAGTACTATGCATTTCTTACTTAAGACGATAAAGTCAAAGTCAAAAATCATTTATTGATGTAGGTACCTATGCATACTTATGAACGTCACAAAGTTAAAGAATCTAACTTTACATTTACTACCAGTTCTGAAATCAAGGGCGTAGAACGAACAAGAAGAACTGGCAATAAACTCGCCGTCACTCCTTTTATCGCCAAGTTTCATTTTACATTCTTGATTTACTTTTACATATATGATATATACACTACTGCGGGTTAGACTACCGCAACTATTTATTTTCTCTGTTTTTTGTTTTCTTCTATAAAAAAGAGAAGGCCTAAACTTTAACAAATGTAATATTTTCAGGCAACCAACTTCAGATTCGTGTCTACTGGAGCAATAAAAGTTACTTGGACCACTATGATACAATCTCATTTCCCTGGCAGTCCGTCAACAGAAACCCTGTACCCTGGTGTTTCATTACTGCAGGGCGCTGACGATGTGTTAAAGCAGTATAAACGAGCTAAGGCTACACTGGATGCAGCCACTAGAAGTATTAGTGAATCTGACTCAGATTAAGAAGTATCAGAGTAAAGATTTCTGGGAGAATTGATCATTTCTTGATTATATTTTATAGATAGAATTAAGACCCAAATAAATACATACTGCTAATGTAATAAGGTATGTTTAATAAAATTATTCGTTACTATTTAGATTTAATTTTTATTTTTGAGGTAGGCTTTATTTTTAAGACTAAACTAACTATTAATTAACTGACTATACCGTAGTTGGAAATAAGTACACTATTTTTTATCTTCTTTTTTCTACTAAACTTAAGGTCACCTAGAACTGGTAGATTATCTGTCAACTACAAAATACCAAACAAATCAGAAGCCAGTACCGACAACAGACCAACTCGGCCTAACTTTCTATTTCTATAATCTGTGGTCAGCACTTTGAAATTTAGCTATTCTTCACCGCGTCTCGCATTAGCTCTGTGGCTGCAGCTATCTGTCTCGCTCTCGCACGCCGTTTGTCCATAGCGCGCGTCACTCGCACACCTCGTGCACGCTTCCGTGCGTGTTGCGCTGCGTATATGGTTCGACGGGCGACTTCTTCCGTTGCAAGTCCATGTCGTTGAAGTGCTGTCTCCCAACTTGTTAGGGCGTTGGTTATTGTTACACGCTGAAAGTATAGCCGTTAAGGAAATATAGCTCGTAAATAACGTTAGTATTAATACTAATATTATAAAGCTGAAGAGTTTTGTTTGAACGCGCTAATCTCAGGAACGACAAGTTCCAATTGAAACAATTTTTTTATATCGGTGGACCATTTACCAAGGATGGCTTTAAAACATCACGCTGCGATCAATAACCGCTCTTATTGATCGCAGCGTGATGTTTTAAAGCAGTGAGAAATGTGAAGAGGAAAAATAGAGAGAATTATCCATCTTTGAATGCTTCCGTTGCGTCAGCTGCCAAAATAGGGCTCAAGAAGGATGATTCCTCTTTAAATGATCTAAAAAAATGTCCGCAATGGTATGTGTCTATCTTTTAAGATTAATTCACGTCACTTAAGATTAAAGTTTTACAATTGGTGGTATATAGAGAATGAATCTTTAGTAAGGCTCTCAGATTGTGGGTACGATGCCTAAAAGTCCTGTTGCCTGCTGAGAAGTTAATTTTGAGTTTTCATACGCCCTTATAAAAACAGACTGCAATGGGCTTTTGTTTATATCTTTGACACTTTTTAGCGTCTCGATTTTTATTTATAATAGCCACAATAGATTTAATTAACCTTAGCTGTATCACGTAGTATATTATGACGCCTCTGTCTTGCGTCATCCTCCTTTTTCTGAGCATAGTAGAGTTCGGCACGTCGACGCAATGTTTCAGCCGTTTCGATGCGCGCGCGTCGTTCCACCGCGAGTTGTAAACGCGCTTCTTCTTCCATGGACCTGTCTATCATTTTCATGATCTGGCAAAGCAGATCAAACCCTGTTCATGACTAGTTTAAACAGTTTAAAACTATGTAAGCTGCTCCAACGCAACAATAATAAGCAGAAGAAAAAAGCAAAAGACAAAGAAGAGTAGAGACTTTTACAACAAAATCGGACCTGACATGGATGGCTATCAATTGATATGTTATTAACAATGAAACGAATCAGCGAACGTCATACCAAAATGACACTAACCTGCTTATCATTCTTCTGTGCTTTTAATAGAGCACTTTTCTGCTCTTTACGACTTATACAATCGAGCAATTTCCCTCTACGCGCCTGTTGTTCTGCTGCCTTTTCAGACGATCTGAACTCTTGCCACCTTCTCTCTTGACAACGTTTTTGATGTAAATATCGTTTATATTGTTCGGTTGTTTCAGCTTCTACCTAAGTTAACCAATGAGAAATTATATTTTAAAAATCGAAAATAAATTGAATTAATTGCTCTCAGAGCAACAGCACGGAACTGACGCTGACACTGAGCTGACGATGCCGGTTCAAGTCCTGCCCGAGTCGGATTTTTTTTTTTTATTTATTCTCGATTTTTTTAATTATATACTGCCTTTATGTGCAATAACATGTAAAAAGCAATAAAGTTTTCAAGAGAAATTATATTTTTATATTATAACCAATTTTTTACCATTCAAGGATATGTTATTAAAAACTTTAGTACAACATGGTAAAACTAGTAAAACTTATTAGTTCTAAGAATTTCGATCTCTTTCAATAGTTGTCTCTTTGGTAACTGAATTTCAATATATATTTATGGTCAGATAATTTAGCCTAGTAAACATTATATGAAAGTTACTATCTTATTATATACTTTATATATTAGTCTTTTAAGTCCGATAATAGTTTTTCTCGTCCTTATTATATTTATGGGATACAAAACTCACAATTTCTCGTTCTTCTTTTTCCTTTAGCCACATCTTCTGAAAGTGCTCTGCCAGTTTTTCCCTTTCCGCGCTCTCTTCTCTCTTTCGCGCTAACGCTTGGAGTAATTTAATGTCCTTTTCAGGAATCGAAGTCCAAATATCACTGCGATAGGTTTCATAGTCCAGGGTACCAATGAGATCGGAAACTGAACTCTGAACTGGAAAAATTGTTGTTGCTTCACGAATTAATAGGTAAGTATGCTTTTTATATTCCATAGTTTACAAAACAATATAGGGCAATTGTATAAATAAGCTAAATACGAAAATGTACGTATTTTTTTAGTATCAAAAGCAGATTATTCTTTAGGAACGTAGGCCAAAGTGCGTTAAGAAGTTTTCAGATCCTAAAGAACGTTTTCAGTTAGTGACGTATATATCCCTTAATTATTATATTATATTAACCCTTAGTAAGGTCCCTGTTTATGTTGTCATCTTATATCGTTCTACGAGCCTCCAAACCAAGCTAGTATTTAATTGAAATTTATAGTTGAACTTTAAAAACGCCTGTTAAAAATTTAGAGCAAAAATCTCTTCAATCGATCAATTTTACATTTCCCATGCTTTTAAGAGTGTGAGTTTTAATTGTAGTCAATAAAGGCCTTATTGTAACGAAAAAGTCTAAATAGTGGAATATTTCTCTTATAAATGATACTAATAGTAATTATCTCACCATTTGAAAAAGACCTCGGCGAAATCTTCTTGGGCGATGCACAACGCGATCGCCTCGGCGACTCTGTTATAATTTTGTAACAAAACACCATTATGCACACTTCCTCATTTACTTTTGTGTGGGAAAATACAGGTTATACTTTCAATATGAAGTAATTGTTTAGTTTATACTCTTATTTAATCACACATCAGAAAAAAACACTCTACAATAGTATATAACATGTGCTCCTGCAAGCTCACGTCAGCCGTGTTCATGGTTGCTATGATGATATTGATCAAGCTTTCCTTCATTGCATACATTACATTGCATTATATAGACGGCAAAGAAATGTAAAATGAAGCTTCACGTAATATGAATTTGGCACGAACTTGAACCCGTTAAAATGATTAATACTATTAAATTTGAAACAAGCGCGTTTAGCGTATTGTACGGGAAATAGGAAACTCTGTCGTTAATTAAATAAACGGTTAGCTTCTGCGTAACTTTTAAAAGGACTAACTTTCATATTATGCAAGTAATTTTAAATCTCCTTTAAGTATATTCACCATCGCGTTGCCTTTTAAACAGTGTTAATATCCGCCTTAGTTATTCTTCTTATGTAACTTGTAGAAGTGAAAATTGTTGCATGTTATACCTATCTATCGATATTAATAACTACTTTCAAACGATAATTCTGTCAAAATGATACAACATTTATGAGAGCACCATATCAGCGTTTATCAGTTAAGAGATATCACGAATGCGATATGTCAGTTTAAAATCCGCTGCTAGACAGTGATGACGCATCTAAAATGGAAGACAAAAAGACTTTTGTCAAGAGACCCGATGTTCTGAGGAAGCTCAACGCTGAGAACCTTCATCTTATCGAGAGAGGACTGCTCGGTGACCTGCCAGATAGATTTAAAACGCCAGTGATACCTGTGCGAGGCGACTGTAAGGATTTAGTGGTTTCCAAACCTCAAGGATTCCTATCTTCATGTCTCCCGGTACCGGTCCTCGACTCGCCGTGTTCAGAGAAAGCTAGCTATTCAGACGAAGAACGCTTCGCTCCACTAAAGAAGACGTTCAGTTTCCGAGAACGAATCACCAAAATGAACTTCTTTTCCAAAGACAGAAGCCCAGAGAAGCCGAAATGGAAAACAATAATAGAAGAACACAAAACGCACGCAAATTTTAAATCGGACATTACAAAAGCGTTGAAGTATGAGAAATTCGAACACGATTGTAAGTCACATAAACGCTTTTGGTTCTTTAGAAATAAAGAATTGGTCGAAAAGAGAGCGAAATCGGGCAGACCCTCTTACAAGCGCAGTAAGAGTTTCGAGTTTTTGCCCAGGGCCGCAGAGGATTCGGAGGACGAAATAGAGGGGAAAAAGAAACTATCAAAGATCCAATCCTACGCATTCGGGAGTAGCGATACTATAATAGATTCGTGGTGCTCCAACGAGAGTCTGGATCAGCTAGCTAATGTTTACTACGACAAAATCGATACAGTACACTTGACGAGTATAAGGGAGATACCGCAGGATTCAGACCAGTTCTCCAGTACCTCAGCCACGTCCTCCAGTGGTTTAGTTGTGAATATTATGAAATCCGACTCGGTCCAGGACCTTTTGGACGAGTTCGATAAAACCGTGGATATGTTTAGTGAGAATTACCTGAGTGATTGTGAGCCGTATACGAAATCGTCAAATGCTCTGTCGGTGAAGGAGAGGCGTAAGAGCTCCTCTTTCAGCACCTTGCCATCGCCGAAAATTGTTCAAATGACGAAAATCAATAAAGTAGATGACGGGTTCAAATCTGAACTGGCTAAAATGCTATTGGAAAGACAAGTGTCTAGTGTCAGTGATAGGTCGGTTAGGCGGGGTTCGGTGACCGATTGGTTTGTTTTGGAAGAGAATAAGCCAACACAGGAGCTAGCAGAAGCGCCGGTCGAGTCCGATAAGTACAAAAGGGCGCAAAAGAAGCCGATGCAACGTGTTAGAAGAATAAGTTCAACGAAATATGTAAGTGCTTAATATCTCTTTGTTGCTAAGCCGCACAGTCACGTATGAGGCAATGGTTTTGAGTAAATAAATAATGCTCGTCTCCGCGTATTTGATACTATGTATTAGTTACTTTGATACGATGGTCTTTAATCGGTCAGAGGATAATACATTTTATACTCAAATTTATTGCATCTATAACGTAAAAATTCATTACATACAAGGATTACATAAAATTATGGTGCACGCCATATAACAAATCTCTATAATAATACAAATATTATTATTAATACAATTAACAAAACCATCCCATTTGTTAAAACCCGATTTAATTGTTATTTAGAGCTCTACGTAATTGACTAAAGAAATATTTTAACATTGATTAAGAGAACAAAAAAATGTCGCATCCTTAGAGAAATAGTCTATCCACTGTACTATTATAGAAGAGGTGAAATTTTAGGGTACGCGAGGGTCTTGTTTACGCGAGATACTTATAATAAGTCAACTAGTATTCGCGCTTTAAACCCTTAAAAGTGTTTTATTTAGATGTTCAAATGTAGATAAGTGCGGCAGATACCTGTATGTACATGGCTGGGTCCCATTCTGTTTATTGATAATACAGTTATCTCTTGATAAGTTTCTTGGTATAAAGCACGTATTGTTAATGTATACACAAATCTTAAGGATATCTTTAATGTTATTTTAAAATGTCTTATCTGCCGATCTGTGTGGCACAGTGGGCTTTGGCCTGGTCACATTACCTCAAACGTTCTACCTGGGATAAGTGCCACCCAAAACTGGCCTATAAACTTCCGATGTCTCCCCGTGACCACGGCTTATGCTTAGGAACATCCGAAACGTCGGGCCGTTCTTAGAATATTTTTTAAATAATTTTAACTAATATTCGCATTTTAAACCATTATAATGTCCTGTTTAACGACTTAGACTTGAAGATGTCTTTACGAGCAGAAATCTATTGACCATGTTTTGACCCAAAACCTCAACGGCTGAAAATTGAGTGGCTTTAGGCAAATCTCGCTCATTTGGTCAGAGCTAGTATATTGACGTAGCCACATTGCGACGGGTTTGAGTCGTATTTAAAAATAACACAATCACACATCATGATAAAATTACACCGTCTTGTTACATTGTCAATCCAGATGTTGTTTTGATTGATGAAATTTTGTATATATAGAAATAAATTCTGACTCTCTTTACTTATCTGAGGAAATCTTGTGTTGCAGACACTTTTAACCAGTTTTTCAAAAGAAGGTTCTGAAGTAGATATTTTGTATAGTTTTGTTTGTACTCAGTCAAAAGTTGTTCGAATTATTAAAATGTATTTTTTATATGTACATATCTATTGTATGTGGTATATGTATATAATAATTGAGTAGTAAACTTCTTCTATTAAAGTTTTAACGATTAAATTGAGATATAGATTTTTTTATAAGTCCTTATTATTATCAACTAGTCACCGATGAAATGTAATATTTAAATAAAAAACTTTAATCGGTTTAAAACACGAAATTATTCTTAACTACGATTCAACGTTTCAATGTACTTTGCAGCAGCGACCTAAAGTGTTTTATGTAATATAGCGTTCGGGAGTTTTAATTAATAAATCATTTGACAAAACTTCATTTTTCAAACCATTTATCATTATATTACCCGTCATACATCTGAACCTCAGTAATGGACCTTCGAGACCGACCTAAACAAACAGCCACACCTTCCTCATAACATTATAAATACTGGAATCGGGTTGAACTCAAAATGGCGCGTTGGCTAATCACGGCTAGAAGTGAAATGCCAAATCGTTTGACCTTTTCAGCTAACGTATTTACAATTGGAGCAATTTAGCTTTAATGGGACTGATAAATGACTGTTTCACAAGAGCTAAAGTTACTTATTAGGACTATTGTGCTTTTATTAGATATGTACAACTATTTAATTATGATATTCGCCCTCGTCAGCCAACCTCGACAGATAGGCCAACGTACTCTTAAGACAGTTTTTCTTTTAGTGAGCCGGGTTTTTTTTACTTATCGAGTAGACATAGTCAAACAAAAGACCTACAATCTTAGCCATTCCAAAAGAGTTTGAAATGGTATTTTAATAATTCATATTATTTTCTATTTGCGACCACATTATCTTATAATTATTTCACCAATTCTTAGTGTGCTCCTTCCGGTTCCCTTGCCATTATTTTTCCATTTGTAATTCTTTGATATTATGTTCTGTTAATTAGTCAGAACCCATGTGTGTGTGCCTTAAATTTTAAGTATATATAACGTACGTAGATAGAGATCAGTGAGCTATATAATTTAACCGACACATGTAACCGATTTCTTTGTTGTTGCCATCAGCACGTAAAACAAACGAGCTCTTCAGTTCTGTAATATAAGTAGACATTTTAGTAGAATTACTAGATGATTTGTTTAAATAAGTATAAACACAAACACCCGTGAAAAGCGTTAGCTAGTTATATAAACCTCTTGCCGTAACGATGCTCACTCCAGATTGAACCTACCAGGAACGAAATTGTCTTGTAAAAGCGAAACCGACACAATCAGAGCGGAATGCGGCCTTTCTCTGCGCATACGCAGGGCGGAACATGTAAACATTTGATCTCGTCCTACATCGGATATCTTGGCTGTAAATTATACAGTACTTTCATGTATTCAAATGCGCAAGGCCCTTTTACAGTAGAACCCGTAATCCAACGTCATGGTGCTTTTTAGCAGCTATGGACATCTATATTTATTATTATAGACCCTACAAAAAACGTAACAATTGTTACTATAATAACGTTATGAAGAAAAACGAATAATAGTGTATCTATAAATTGGTAACAATTTACAAAACCGAGGCACGCACACTTGATAGTTCAGATAGGTTGTGAAATACAACTAGCCATATAACATGGAATTAAGATGTGTCTATGTGATGTCAACCTATTTTGGCTTTGAGTATTCAAAAATCCACGGACTAAAACGAGGATTATATAAATATGTTGATTTATTAATTATTATAAACCTGTGGGACCCGGTGGGAGTCGATCCCTCTACCGGTTGATTACATTCAACGTCAACGAGGCCATTCAAATTTTCATTACCTACTAAGTACATGCTAATTTTTGTACTCTTCACATGTTATTCTACACGATGGCACTGTATACATTTTAAAATCGATGTTTACTTTATAAACATGCTAGTCACTTTTCCGCGCAAGCAAAGTCCCGACAAGGCATTCTGGCTAAAAGAACTTTGAACTAAATTGGTATTTTAATAACTTCTTAAGGAACTATTGACAAAAAGACACACGTGCGCCAAGAAAACCGGATGCACGTGTGCAGTGTGCACTAAGCTTTTTAACTAAAGAGGAAGTCAAACACAACCGCGATTTATTAGAAAGTATAGCTGAAGCTAGCCTCCTAGAAATATCATAACATTGACTAATCCTCATCGTTTTCGATTTAGCCGTTTCTAGGAAGTCAAATTTTAAACATCAACATAATCACGGGGACGTTATACAGATTATGTTATCTCTTAAGATAACTTTAATCTTCTTAAAAATGGGTCTAACCAAATTCTAATAATTAATATTGATTTTATTTTTACAACAACATTTATTATACCAGAAAACTATTGATGACTGTTTTGTTCGAAAAATCGTTTTGATTAAAAACAACATGTCCAGGAGCTCAATGGTGTAATGAGAGCAATGTATGGCTAATAATCAAGGGGATTTAGGTTTGAGCCCTACCGAGTCCAACATATTTCTGATCAATTTTTTTTTACGCGTTGGACATTTGGAAATATGGATATATATAGAAGTACTGGTAGCAGGTGGAAAATTGCGTCCGAGTCACAAACCGCTGTTTACAAAAGAAAAGACCGTGAAGTGTAATTGCGTTTCGGCAATTTGACAGCGCACCCTGTTGAGATGTTATATGGGTGGGGTACTTCACCCCCAAAAAAGTACCCCTGCATGTTCCTCCTCATAAAAATTAGAAGAGAACAATTAAGAAGAATTGGCAAGGGTCTTCATCAAATTGTTGGCTATGCTCCAGTTACTGGATTGTCTGAATTGTTACGTATTGGAAGTTAGGTAATTGTATGTATGTCTGTGCGAACCGCATAACGCACTGTGGAGTAGTGAAAGTGCCAAACAATGGTCGTGAGAAAAATGTCCCGACTGGGGAATCGAAATCACGATTGTCTTTTGTTAAAGGCTCGTGTTACGAGCCGAGAGCGGGGTAAACGACACTTCTATGAATTGGTTAGCGTTTGTTAACCAAAGCTCTAGGGGGCAATTTCCCAAGAAATTATTAAAAAATTTTACTTTTATAATCGCCTTTTTTTCCCTACTTTCATAAGTTAACAAAATTCACGACCCACATTAGCATATCATGCTCGACATTTTGTTGAAAAATGAAAATTACATCAACAACCACGGTACATGCAACTCTCACACAATTTAATATTTCTAATAATTTGATGCAAGCTTATTTAAATGTGTTATAGAAGGACATAACTGTATACGTTGAAATTTCGGAAGCCTAATAACATTATTCGCTTTTACACCACTAATACGGAATGTTTAAAAATTTTAAAAATGCCACTATTTCCACCACATTTGTAAATCGCAAATTTCGTTTCTTCTTTTTCCAAAAATGAAAATATTTCATCTTAATTATGTTATCGGCGCATGTAAACAATCCAATAAAGGATGATGAATGTAATGTGGTACAATAAAGTTAAGTTTTTAGCAAAGATTAATGCTACAACGCAGTGAATGTGAGCGGATTAGACAACCTTGACATAAAAACTAGAAAAATAATTAAAAAGTATAATGAGCGAAGTCAATAAACCGATAACGCGTTATAATAGTCTATTGAATAATGCAAATTTAAACGCACTTAACGGTTATTGTATGGTAATGGCCTCGAGGACAGCTTTGCTCGTGTACATTTAAAGTTTCTTTCATACGAGGAATAGTCCACATAAAAATGTATTGCAACCATTACACTAATGATACCTATCGTCAAAGATAACGCAGCAATATAACGCAACAACAGCATCTTCACGTCACGGCTGATCTGCAAGCGTGCAGAATTCTTGAGATGGATTGTTAATAGTTTGCGCCATTATTTATGGCCCAAGAGCCCACGACGGCCAGACCTTCGTTATTTTATAAAAGTTGAAATTTTCTCTGTATATGTCTCCTATACAGGTAAGAACGACCAGCGACTATAGAGTTTGGGTTGTGGTTACTTGGGCAGGTAACAGGTAGTAAAGGTGTATAAAATAGTACTTAAAATTTGTTAGAGCATAATGCTCAATTTTTTTATATTTTTTTTCGGGATAACTATAGAAATCTCGTCATCCATTGCCGGACACTTATGACAGTTGCTACCCCTTGCCAGACACCCCTAAACTTTGATAAATTACAATTATACTTTCATTATAGTATAAAAGCTCAATTTTATATATGTTACTTGGGGACCTATAAAAAGATGTTACCTCAATAGCCGGACAGTTTTTGTGGTTTTTACATCTTGCCAGACACATTGAAAGTCCACTGTGCGAGCGCGAGGTAACAACTATTCAAGCGGGTGCGAGTGAGATAAAGCACTTAGTCAAGTGCGTTCTTTTACTGCGCACAATCTGTTATTTAGTGATGTATTGAAGTGTTATGTGTAGATACAACCAACGTTTTATAATTATTGATATTTGTGCAGTTTTTTGTAAATATAAAAGCATAATTTTAGTAAAAAGTGTTATCATGGGAGATACATTAATTTGTTTCGTTGGTAATAAAAGTGATGGTAAAATAATATTGTGCTCTTCAGAAAAGGAAAATTAAGACCATACAAGATATTAAAAAAAGATCCAGAGTACCAGGAAGCTTTCAAGAACTTCGGCAACAACGAATTAATTGAAAATTTAAATTATCAACAAAACATCTTTAATATTATTCAGAGATTTATATGTAATGTCTACAATGTCCCTAATGTAATTGATGTTGATGGCGCTAGACTTCAAATATTCATCGACTCGTACACAGTCTCCGATGTAAACGAAGCTTTTGACCGAAAGAAGTTGCGAAATTTTGACGCTAGCAACCTACCGCCTTGCAAAAGCGAGCTACTGCAGCAATTTCTGCGAGCAAACTATGTATGTACCATTTGGAATAATGCTCATTTGAAAAATCCAACCACATATCAACCAGACAATAACGGCTGGGTATTAAAAGATGACAAATACCAGTTCAAATGGTTTGAAGGGGATCAACTACCGAGTTATGTTAGTGATTCGCTCAAAACTCAATCAGGTATATAATTATTATGACAAATTATGATACATAATTTTTTAATTATTCATAATTGTATAAACTTGCTTATTTTTCTTTCAGAAACTGACGAAGAAGGTGATGTTGAGGACGATCATGCCATCGATTGGAGTAGTAGTGATGAAGAAAATGAAAACATCGACGACAATGCTTAAATTAATAAACAAGTTTAAATATTTTTTTTACCTGTAATCACACTTTTTATTATATTTTTATGATATTAAACTAATATTTTTTACTTTATACAACATGGCTATGAACGCAATAAAATTATTTTTTATTAAATATCTTAAAAAATATTAATCGACTAAGTATTCGCTCTCGCACCTACAGTGGACTTTCAATGTGTCTGGCAAGATGTAAAAACCACAAAAACTGTCCGGCTATTGAGGTAACATCTTTTTATAGGTCCCCAAGTAACATATATAAAATTGAGCTTTTATACTATAATGAAAGTATAATTGTAATTTATCAAAGTTTAGGGGTGTCTGGCAAGGGGTAGCAACTGTCATAAGTGTCCGGCAATGGATGACGAGATTTCTATAGTTATCCCGAAAAAAATATAAAAAAATTGAGCATTATGCTCTAACAAATTTTAAGTACTATTTTATACACCTTTACTACCTGTTACCTGCCCAAGTAACCACAACCCAAACTCTATAGTCGCTGGTCGTTCTTACCTGTATAGGAGACATATACAGAGAAAATTTCAACTTTTATAAAATAACGAAGGTCTGGCCGTCGTGGGCTCTTGATCTATTAATAAAGGAAGTAAGATCTGAATTATACATTTAAGCCGCGTACGCACGAATTTTGTGTCGACTATTCACATCTTTTGTATAAACAGTTCAACCCTGCTTAGGACCGATAATTTTCATCGGAAAATTCTCAAAACCTAAACGAAAAAAAAATAATTGAAGTGGAAACAATGACGCTCTAAACGTAATTTTCTGGTATTAAAAACTGGCTTTAACGTCTGTTAACAAAAAATAACATTAAAGTGACATTATATTAGTTAATACCACTACCGGAAATTTGACAGGAAATTTATACTTTTGACAAGAAGCGTAATAATACAAAAAGAAAAAAATAATAATTCAGACATTGAATCTAATTTTACAAGATTTCCTTATTATATTATTGCTAAAAGGCCAAGCAATCTGTGAAGTAAAGAATTGCAACCGAGAACTGTGTTTAGCCTTTGCACGTTGTTGTGTGGGGGAAATCCTGCTAACCCTCTGTGGGACGTGGACTTTGGGGCGTCCTACAAATCGTATGGTTTTTCCGTCATATATAATAAATACGATTCACGTGTGACGTGTAGGACACGGTAGCTCAATTGGTTTGAGCAACAGCACTGAACGCTTCAAGTCCTAGTTCAAGTCCTGCCCGTGTCATATATTTTTTTCAATTTATAATACAGTAGCTGTGTCAGCAACTTCGTCCGCGTAGAATAGTTATTTTGTTTTTTTTTAGTTAATTTAAAGATAAATCATTCTTTCGGTCATATTTTTGGGTATTTTGAACCGTTTTCGCAGCGTAGGCATCGGAGATGAATAATTTCCCCCGTTTTCTTTCTTTATATTGATTAATGCGAATGACAAGAATCAGTATTTAACATTGCATTGAATTGAGTTTTATTTTACATTTATATATTCGCAAAGACCTCTTGACACGTCGTGTTCTAGCCTAGTTGTCATTCGTCACGCTATTGTCGTCACTAATTACGGTGAAGCTGTTAACTTCGTTAACTCTGTGCTCGACGACATCGCTCCTAAACTGCCGTGAAGTGTCTGATTTGAAACGCCATACGAGAAGAATCCACCGCAGGTTCGAATGCTGCAGAATATTCTCTTTGTAACAGAGAAAGATAAGCAGAGTTCATTAAATGGACAGTCATTTACCGTAGCCATATAACATCTGTAACCGAACCGTATTTTTACCGGTACACATAGACTAGACTTTGCCGCCAATGTCTAAAAGAACCCAATGGAAATGGAACCGGCCCGTTGAATATAATTCTTCATACATTACTAACGATGGACCGATGATTGTTTCTGAATACGAGAAACAAGGAGCCCGCGTTAATCGTAAAGAACAACGTTACACCGTGTCACGAAAATGTATCAACGTCATGCCTATAAACATGGGAGATTTCACGCTGCTAAGTAAGAATGATATAATCCCGATATTTCACGCGGTATTTCTCCCTCTAAAAGATTTAAAGTAGATTAATAGGACGAATTGTTCAGTTGTTATACGGTATCTCGGATTAGTACTCGTTATGGACAAGTTTAAGGTCATGTCGGGTTTATTTACAATTGCTAGGGTTTCATTAATTTATTTTGAATTCACGTGGTTTCGTAACATCACGAAGGATTTTCCCTTAACAATACAGTGAAAATTTCAACCTATCATGTCAAATAATTTCTTTACTATATACCACAATTACCGAAATAGGAACTGCTAGAGAATCAAAAAATCTATAGTTAGGGAACAATGGTAATGTTTCGTTTGTTTATATAATTTACTAGCTGTGCCAGCGACTTCGTCGGCGAGAATCGTTATCTTCTGCATCCAAATTTGTTTTTGCAAACCCCTTCATCTTTATAAACTTAAGCTGCTATCACGACTTCTGTCGCGTCCCTTCCCGGCGTTCTTGCTGGAGGTTAATCTTTAAAGATAGACTTTGATCGTGGTGGCCTTTTTTTACATCATTTAAAGAGGAATCATTCTTTCATACATATTGTTAGGATATCTTGAACCGTCTTAGCAGCGTAACCCTCGCAAGCCCATCATGATGCATAATTTTCCCAATTTTTTTCACATTTCTCGGTGTATCTTCGCTTGTATCAGCGACAGGGCGATGATTTATAGCCCATAGCCTTCCTCGAAAAATGCTCTAACCAACACAGAGTTTTACAATTCGAACCCCTAGTTCCTAAGATGAGTGCGTTCAAACATACAAACAAACTCTTCAGTTTTATATATTAGTATAGATATAGATAGATAAACTAAAATATTATTGTGACCGGCTCGGTAGTCTAATGTATAGCTTATAATCAACTGGTCAAGGGTCCCAACACCACCGTGTCTAAAATGTTTTCTAATCAATTTATAATTTGTCTGTGGATTTGAAAAACTGATTTTAGTTTGTCTGTGGATTTCCGAATACCGAAGCCAATGACGGTCAATAGCGCATCTTGTCTAGATGTTATATGCCTGGAGTAGTTCACCTACTCTTAAGAGCTTGCTGCTTGTAAAAACCGAGTGTACATATAGTGTCTCTCTTTTGCGTAAATGTGAAGGTAATGTTTACGTGTTTTTACAACTAGTCTACATTCAGTATCTTTTGAAATAAAATTGGTAAAATATAATTCACTTAATCAATCATCAAAGAATATATAAAAGTACAGGTATATGGCAAAAACATGTACTTATTAGTGATTTTATTTTATCCAAATTTACTGAATGAAAGGTATAAATCGAATAAAAGGCTGTCGTGTGAGTACATCGTGGGTTGAAGTCCGATTTGCAACACTATAAACGGATAATAATTTATAGGCGTCCTAGGAGAAAAACTTGTCGCGCAAAGATTAATCAAAATACAGTAGATACAGCATCAGCTCAAAGTAATATTGCAAATAATTTATGATATAGGCATCGAAAGCGAACGAATCAGGCGAGTTAAAAATATGATTTTAAAGACTATAATAATATGTACTGTGTATTTAAGATTCTAGTATACTATATTTATAAAATTATACAGTTTAATACTTAATTAAAAAAAATATATTGTTTTGCATTAATTCTTAAATTATAGTTAATCTTTGATAGTTTTTACACGCATTTAACCGTTAGGAGATGAGCTGAACTGCCGCTTAAGCGTGATTTGCTCGTAGAAAGTTGCTAAACCTGACCTTTCGAGGTTCAATAAGGAAATTGGGTTACTGTACTACATACGCTTCATATCTATCGTATCTAGAGAGAGATAAATGTTTACAATGTAAAGTTTTTCTGCCACGATGGCTTATAGTATGTTTACTAAAGATACCTTGATAGTCTTACTTAATTAAGACAGCTATAATAGGCGGGACTCGATTTAGCGAACGTTACGCGTATTGTCTGCAACATTTGGCATTTGACCAGTGGTTAGCAAGTGATTTAAACGTCGAAATATTTAGCAGAGCCGAGAGTCAAAGACGCAGCCCTCGTTTGTTTTTTCGCCGTTCTTGGCAGATAACGGCTGACCACACCACCCCATCGGGATAGTGCCTTGTATTTGCTCGGTGGGAACGGTGTAAAACGATGCCTTGGGAGTGATCGTGTAACTCGATCGTTGACGTAAAGCATCCGCACCTTTTATCTACGCTTGTGGTTTCGAAAATCAACACTCTAAATATATATATTAATCAATCTAACAATATTTTGACTTTGGTCCGTTCTACTTAAAGTTTTCGCTGGCACCGAAGTCCGATTAGTATGAATTTACAAATATTATAAACCTTTTTTTGGTGAAATTTGTATTTTTCGTCTTCGTTCGATAATTCTTTATCCAAAACCAATTAAGGTATATTAGCGTTCTTGCATTACTAATAGTTTAAATAAATTTTACCCATTTTCACGTTAAAGCCTTAAAACTGTATGAATAACGCAAGTCTGAGAAGTGGACAGAGGTAGACCGTGGTAATTGCATTACCTGTCACTCTAGACGCACCTAATCCAATAAGCAATTCTTAAGAATGGTAAAACGAATATGACTTTTATAATAATAGTAGGAACATTTTACTTAAAAATATTTATTATTGTAGTAACACTAGTTATTACCTGGTCATTTAAAAGCCGCAACACAGCCTTTGAAACGTCGGGTAGTGGAAAATAAATAGGTATTCAACAGTGATAAACTTTAAAAATCGAAAATAAATTGAAAAATTTTTCGACAACATAACAACATAAATTTTCAAAGTAATAAAATTGTTTTTTTTTAAACCGTTAAGTGTTTCTATTATTGTAAGTCGTTTCGCGTTTAAAGGACTACAGTATTTTGTAAAATAAGGGACTTCTATAAATACAAATAACATTATGTATTCAATGTGGTAATGCTATAAGTGGATGAAGCGTGTATGGAGAGGAAGCCATACCGAGGTAGTTATTTTATGACATATTCTTGAATAATACGACTTACAGAAATCATTATGGACTAATGAATTATCCTGGCTTCATTATTATATCATTGTTATTGGTTATGGATAGCGCTTACAGAAGTTATGATCTAAATAATAAGGTATTTCGTCCCAAGACCTATTTTTTATTTCTAGTGCAAGGGACTCTAGTTTAAGGAATGAGTTGTAATTAAACTATAAGTTGGAAATTGAAGCACACTTCTATTCAAAGCATTCTCGACAGGACGTCACGACAAACCTTTAAAATATAATTATTCCATTAAAGTCGATTTAAAATACTTCAATCATACCGTCTGTAGTTAATGGAAATAGGTTTACATTAAACGGTTTAAAACGCAAAACTTATTTTTAATATACATATTTTTCCGACGTCCCCCCGTGACTACAAATCATCTGAAACATGTAGCACTAGTTAACTCATATATTTCGGGTTTTATCGCTACGAGCGCTCTATTTAAATACTTCAATAATATTTTTTACTCGACCGTGTTAACATTAAAATCCACAAATCCATTACATAACATCCTGTTGATGAACGGGCAACGATCCAAGGTTGAAATAAAATAATAATCCAAATATTATACGCAACTAACCGCAGAAACTATTACGCAAGTATCATCCTATAACATGGGCACTAGATTGCGCAACACATTAGCCCTGTTATGTAATCCCACTGCTGGGAAATAGAGCTCGGTTTGTATACGCCGATCGAGAATGTTAGTGGTAGGTGGATAATACTGGATGTACTCAACAAAAAGCGTAAGCGAACCTCAAACCTGTGGCGGTATATTTAAGTTTTAACTAAGCGACGACGCATGTTGTATTTCGAATTGTTACGATGTATAAATGCTACTTTAGCCTTGAATCTCTTAAATGAGACAATTTTAAAATGCTTTTCAAAAATCTTCAATAAGTTGAAATTTAATTGGAATATTTCGTTGCCGCAAGACCAAACAATGGACCAGAATCTGGGTTACCCAAATTTTTAAGCATTATGTGCCGAAACGATAGAATAATTCTACATAATAGGTAATGCAATGATAGTTTATTTTGTACATCCACGTTTGGTACAAAGGAATGGCGAGCCATTCTGGCCTCGTGGAATTGAGATTTAGCATGTAAAAATGAATTGCGAGGAAATCGAAACATACGTGGGCAAATGCTATATTATATATAAATATAATTATTTAAATACAAAGCTTTTAACGGCTTAAAATATAAATTATATTACTTAGCTCAATTTAAACTATGTCACGACGTTTCGAATACTTTGTAGCAGCCGTGGTCACGGAATGATTACTTTCGCGTTTCAAACCGTTTATGTTTACTTACAATTAATGTGTTTCACTCGCGTAGACTATACTTAGTTGTTATACATTCTCAATAAATGCGGAAAAGCTTTCGCAAGAAATTATTGCGATAGAAAATGTAAAAAAAAGATTATGAAATATTTAGAGGTTTATCGTTTGTCAGTGCTGTAACACTATGTAATCATTTCGAATTTCGAACAATAAGTACAGTCGCGACAATAACTTAATGCATCATTGTATATTCCAGCCGACACACTTCCGGCGCTTTCACTGCGCCCGCGCAGACATAAAACGATTAATTACTAAATTATTATTACGTCAGACACGTGCGAACATTCTGCATTGATCACTTTTTAATTTTATTAACATCAATTGCGCAATCTATGTTCATAAGTGTACATCAATAAAAATGAGTTATATAATTATCTTTTCCACTCCTATGCCAAATTGAAAAGTTTATAATGAATAATGTAATGGATTCCAAGATGGTTAGTTTCGAGGGTTGGTTCCAAAACTTGAGAATTCCTAAATTATTGTTCTGGTCAGGCAGGCCACAACAAGTCTACCCGCAGCCTCATATAAATCCCGCCAGTGCAACGAACACATACAATTCCCGTTAGCGCACGGACATTTCCGTAATATTGTTAGTTGTTAGGGAGGTTGTTGATATCATCCAAAGAAGATTATTTTCGTTATTATCGGCGTCTACGTTTAGTCGCTTGGGTTTATCAATATTTTATATGAAAATTATTAAAATAAACATCTAAAACGCAACATATTCGCTTGTAACAATTTGGTGTAATCGTGGCCAAGGCTGCTGCAAAGCATCCGGAACGTCGAGCCGTAAGTAAAGTAAACTGTAAATAAGTTAAACGATATTTATCGCGTTCTAACTACTAAACCGTTAAAAGTGTTGTATTAAAATGTGTACTTCTTGCGGAAACCACAGACAATACTTAGATGAAGACAGTGAAGCGGTCATTTTATAATGTCTCCAGAGACTATTACTGGTGTTACATGGTGTTCTACCGTCAATGCAATGCGCTTAACATTACATAATAACTGTAATAATCTGAGGAAAGTGGGCGATCACGAAGCCATCGGTAATTTCTCGTGTAAATCTCTCGATTGCGTGATCTTCGATACGTAACGATCCAAACTGTGATATTGCAAAGTTATTTTTAAAAAGCGCGAGCGCATTCACGTAGATGCAAATACTTGAAACATTCGATGATTTATTAACGGAGAGACGAATAAAGTGGTGTCGATAACTTGGGTAGTATATATATACCAGGCAATTGCGGGTCGGATCATCCCACAAAGGGTTCCGTACCATTGAGGCACACAAATTTTATATTGAAGGATTTATTTTGTTATTTCAAGTACCTGCCCTTTTGCCATTAAGTGATAACGAGCAAAAATATGTATGTATACTGTATTTCGTATTTGTTGTTACATAAATAGACAATTTGTTAAATCTTTATCTCTTCAGTTATCGGATTTATTTTTGAAAACTTTTCTTTGGCACATTTTTACACAGTTATTTTAGGTTTTTTACAATTCTTGACGCCATTTTGTTTAGATGAATGACGACAAAAATAAATATTCGGGACTTGTCACGGTACTTTCGGGTATTTTTTATGATGGTCGAGGACAGACAGCCAGGGGGTTCACTCGATAGAAGGTGACATACCCCAGTCATATCATATACTAAACATTTAAACAAGATGCGTTGTCGACTTCGTGACCCGGACGGAAAATTTGATTTTTCCAATAGAATCGAATAGGCAATGTATTAAAATCGAGTGGGTAGATTTCTTTCTTTCTGGACTTGCGCGAGCTCAGTGTGGCCGAATTAAATGGCGAACACATTTCACAAGTAAATAAATTAAAACAATTGGTTTTACTTAAATCGAACGTACATTTAATGTATTAAAATTCATCCGTCAGTATGAAAAAATTGCAGTAGGCCAAACGCGTTCGCCATATCAGAAGAAAAATGTAACAAAGGAAAAATACTTATCGTCTCTCAATATGTCAAATAAGATTGTCGTTCGCTCTCATTACATAAGCGGAGGAAACGCTGCGATTCTAACGAGAAATGGAACGTAGATGCGACAAAGATTACATTTTTAATTCCTTCGATAAGATAAAATTCTGCCCTAATTCCCAAATCTAGTCGCAATACCTTTTCAGTTGGGCAAACGCCCCAAATAGCTTAGGCTTTCGGATTAAGCTCTAATTCTATAGATACTCTCGCTTAAGTGTAGAATTTAGCTGTAAAAGAGCTTCGTGAAATTCTAAAAAGCTTAAATCTACAGTGACCAATCTGTTACGGATTCGAGTGTCGTCTCTATTTTACGCTGTTATATGAATTTTACATTTATTATCTTTATAATAATTCCGTTCTAACAATTGCTTTTTTTTAAATAGGTCTGTATTATTAAACAATTTAAAGTCTAAATACCTAGCTACAATTTAACAAGCATTGGCAGATGTTAAATAAGTTACCTGAGCATGAGTTGTCGATGTATAATCATCAAATCAATCGCTGAAATCCTTTTTTAAATTTAGTGAAAATCGCCGCAATAAATTCAACTTTTCATAAAATAACCTAGTTGGGACCTACTACGGTAACTATCACGTTTATTTTTAAATTACGTGTTTTTCAATGTTTATTGCCTATGTCAGGCTATGTGTTGGTAAAATTATTTGAAACAATTGTAATTATGAAATAGTGCCGTGTAACGCAATTCTGTAAAATACAATTAAGCTACCTATAATGTGTGTGTGTGTCAAAATGTGTCGAGATTACAATGAACATATGTTTGATACAAATAGGAGAGTGAGCTTATAAAGGCGTCGAAGATTTAATTTAATGAAATGCTTTGCTTCTACAGCTACGAAATCAAACACGATCCTTCGTAAATGCAAGTTCTAACTTGTTTAAAAGGTCGTAAGAATACCAAACCAATCAAGCAATATAGAGACTATGTTATGTTGATGAAGAATAATAAATTAGTTATACACTAGGTACTAAACAAAATTAAGAATTATTTCCATTTCCGTCAAATTAACACCGTCAATATGCAGTCTACGAGCCTTTTATTGAATAAAAACACCATTCGAATCGGCAAACGCCGATTTTGGAAACTAAACGTATTAATTTCACCGACTACATCTCATTTGACCTCGATTAGATTACTAATTAGACGATTTTTTCAACGCATCTATGCGCTTTAGTCTTTGGCCTCGCCTCGCGATTCGCGATTCGAGCGCCAGTGTGGCTCCAGCGATGGCTGAGCAGCGACGTGTTAGTGTTGTGTCGTGAACGAGTTGTGTGTTTGTGATGATGGCGAATTTAACGTTGAGATACCTGGATGAGTTGTCGTATGTGCTGAATAGTAGGAAGCACCTCGCCAACCAGGCGAAGGCATCCTCCGTGGGCGACCTCCTCAACGCCGAAGAAGAGAGATTCACTCCGGTATGTTATGCTACATGTACTAGTCTCACAGAAAATTTTGACATTGACACTGAATTTTTTCGATTGGCAAATGCCAGTTCTACATACAGCCTTTTGTGAAAGGCGAACGACAGCGTTGCAGTACATTATTGTTCTTTTATGTGCACTTTGAAACAATGATACACATTTTTATTGCTTTTTAATTTGTCTTTTAGCAATATTAGGGAATGTAATTATTAAATCTCTAAACGAAATAAGTTAAGCGTCTGGCTAGCGTAGGTGCAAAGTCAATTCCGATTTCTATCGCAAGGACGCAGCCTTGTCTTTTCACGGATACCAATTAGTGGTATTATTCACAAAGTAATTATTCAGGAAACGTAAAAAAAGTTTTTCTACAGATCTTTTGAAGCCGATAAAAACTTTGATGTAAAGCTGTGGAGTTTTGAATAGTTCAAAAGTACTTTCCGATTAGAGCGTTAATCACACAATACAATCCGATAACTTTCAACGCTTTTGTTAACTTTATAATAAAAAACTAACTAGCCGTTCTCCAGTCCTAGTACATATTTTCAACTGCTGCAAATATGTATGTATTCTGCTGATTATTAGATTGTTACTGATTCCAATACGTGTAGTTTTAACTAGTACATGTTTATCGTATATGATAACGTGCCATTATGCCTTGATTTTCGTTCTTGAAGTTAGAGTGCTCTCGTGATGGAGAATAAGAACCCACTTCGGGTTTGATAGGCTTGTGGCGGAGTAGTTAATTCGTTGATGTTATAACAATTGGGCCTCGAACAAGCGAAAACTTCGATAAGTTATTGGTGTACAAACGGTCACTGTTTATGGTTACTTTATCTTTTCCCACCTTCCTCAAAAATGGTAAAATGTTGGACATGCAATTACAAGTACAACTAACAATAATATATCTGGAATCTGTAGTTTAAACGAGTAGTACCTACACAGTAAAATAAAACTAATTTAAACGAGTTGAAACACAGTTGTGTTTGTATTAAATATAGATTCTTATCTTATATTAAACAACTACGACTAGACATTTCGCCTTAATTACATTTATTTGCAACAACATTCTAATCGTTTTTCTTTTTAATTATAACACAATACTTAATTTGTTTCACAGATGGCGTTTTTACAAATCTTTCATTTTCAACTCGAACAAGCGCATTCCCACACTATAATATTCACTCGCATACAACGGATTAGCTAATAAGAAAATATTAGATTCCCACGTTTCTACGTAATCTTGTATAGTGTATATGTATCGATTTTCTATGTCAATGCACTGTAGTTTGAGCGTTCAAAAGTTATCGTCTTAGAATTAACTCTACAACACATGCTTACGACCCCTACATAGTGCGGTAGAGATCACGGTCAACACAACCTTATATTTTCTGAAACGCATCCATACTAAATATTATTAACACTAAAGTATGTTTGTTTATTTTTCTGTCAAAAGAGACGGTTAAACTATAAGGTCTAAATTCTTGCTCCAGTTTCATTTCCATACCCAGACCACCACAATCGTTTTTTCAATAACGTATCGGGCTTCATGCAAGTACCTTCAATAAAGTATCAGTTGGCGAGAGGTGAACCGGAAAGACGCGGTCCACTGCCTCTCTGTAGCGGATATTTTAATTTTATTTTAGTTTTTATCTGCGACGTCTGTTGCGGTACCGTAGCTTATAGGAAAATTGCACGCGTTTTATACCGTTTATTGCACCAATAAACTTTTTTTACGTAACTTTACATTTGGATACAGAAAAACCATCGAAACATCAACATTTATTAATAGAAAGGATTTCTAGCCAGTGGTTCATGTATTATTAAATAAGTCCCATTTTGTAGGGTAGCTGGAGGTAGACGAATTTTCTAGTCTTTTCCACCCTTAACCTCACAACGCACTGCTTGAAACCCTTTTTCATTCGGGATTTCTTTTTAACGGAGTTGTTATAATTAAATATACAATTAAGGAATAATTATGTTCATCATTTAGGATAACTTGAAAGAAGAAATGGGTGGAATGGTCAACAGACGATGTGGACTGATCACCCGGATCATTGGTATCCCTGAAAGAAAATACTATTAAGATACCTTTTCCTTACTTAAATTTAATATCTATTTGAAATTTTAATAATTAACGACACGGGCGTAACAGACATCTACAGCGAAACATCTAATCAACGGAACTAAGCTACCGTGTCTTGTCATCATCGAATTTCTTCAACCCATTGATACATGACCTCCTTGAGTTGAAAAAATCTCCCCCGTATAGAAGATGCTGCATTTTTGTAACAATAGAGCAGATACACGTCTTTCTCTTGTACGTAACAGTTTGCCAGCTGAGTCACAAAAGTCGGTAAAACGAAGGAGACGGGCAGATAACAGCTGGCCAAATAAACAAACCGCTTGAAGATTGTTAACGAGTTAATTGTTTTTATTGACACAACCAGCACACTTTTAACACTGATACACTGATAACACAAGGTCGTTTGACACTCCCACTTCTAATCTATTAGTTTTTCCCGAGACTTTGCTGGCGTAATAATTTCTTGTCGCATTTCTCTACGTATAAAAAAAAATATTAGAGCAAATGTGTCTCACTTCTTGCGACTAACACAATGCCGTACAAATCAAGTTTGTTTGCTTAGAAAGATAAATAATTTCATTAAAAATATTGCCTATCGAGCCGGACTAGCTGACTTGGCGAATAAAAACTAATTATCGTGCTTCGGATGCTTGAAATTCACTTTTTATCCATCCTTTATTCTGATAACTATTGCGAGACACTATACTTAATTATCTCTATACTCTATGCTCACGTTTTACACTCGGCCGAGATCAGAACCTGTCACTACTAAACGTCGTCGTCGATCGAATCGGTTCATTAGCTGAGGCAAAAACTGAACAGGAAACGAGTAACGCCGCGTGACATAACTCGCGTCCGATTGGAAAGCGGAGTAATTAAAGCATTAATTAATGCAGGTATGTGATGCGACAGACATTCCTTCACGTCCGAAGTCTGCTTTTGCGCCGTGATGCTGCTGAACACTTCTATTCGAGAAACATGAACGATATTCTGGTAGAGTCAGATTGGAACAATTACATGGACCTAAAGAAAATTTTATCTTCATATGAAAGCATAAAGCTTCATAGGAAAACATAAAGAAATAAAATATTTTTCTGAAATAAATACACTATACAATAATACAAATAAAGACAGAAATAGATAAAATCAAAAATTAACCGAACTCCAAACAGTAAATTAAACATAATAACATAAACATACTTTGGCAGAGTAATATGACGTATTTTAATTTAGATAAAAAGAAATTATTACTTTCTTAGTAATTACTTATTATTTTTAATGAAATTCACACAATATTCAAAATATGTTGGAATATTGTATAGTATACTTTCCATCAAAAAAGGAATTTATCCGGAAACAAACATAAAACAGCATACACATATCTACAAATCGACTTCAGAACCTTCTTTTTTTAAGTCGGTAAAAAGACACATTTTATTGGCATTTTCTTTATTCCAACTTCAGTTTTTAAGTTTCTAAAATTTCTTACTCAAACAACTAACGAGTTTTAATATAAAATGTCTCTGTATGTAATTGTAAAAGACGATAGTGCGTAAATTCAAGAACGTGTAAAGGTATAATATAATTCGTTATTATTTCGAAGATAAATTTTGCTACAATCGCAAAATGCATGAAAAGAACTTGTAGCGTTAAGTAAATACATATTTATTTATTTTTTTCCGGATTTAATACAGTCGTGCTCATAGTCTAAAGATAAAAACCACCGACAACGGTCATAAATAAAGAATTAAATTAAATCACCATTTATCATCAGCATCAGTTATTTCTATAGCAGCGTCGGGCGCGTCCTTAAAATAAACTCTATCGCCCACACCTTAAAGGTCACCCGCAAAGTGTGGGGTGCGTACAGGAAGCGTGCATGACAGGAAAGCACCAATTGTCTGATCGCCCTTGCCAGGGATTATCCTGTCTTTTGTTTACGTTGCAAAGACTCCTTGACTTCCTAAAAACTGTTGTTTGATCGTCTAGATCTCATAAAAAAGGCTAGTTGCAATAAAAGATAGAAACACAGATTTATTTTTTTTGATGGTTTTTTATGCCTGTAATTAAAAATCGATTATAATTTGAAAAAAAAAATGACGACACAGACAGGACTTAAACCGACATCCATAGCGTCCCGTGCTGATGCCGTGCCCGTGTAGTAATTTTTATTTATTTATATCGTGACATTATGTACAAGTGAAAAATACATTCTTCCAATAGCATACTTTTTGTCTATAACGCAAAAGCGATAAACATTAGGAGAACGAGTGCAGTACGTATATCGTCGGACTCTGACGGTCGTTTAATATTCATAATCTTTTTTTTTTTAATGAAGTTATTTCAAAAACCTAATCCACTATTTCACTAATCTCATTATACATAGCTAGAACAATCTCTTTCGAAAATTACCTCGTTACATTTCATAACGCATTTACTGTTTTCGTTTCATAACGGAGGTATCATAGTTATATGTTGTAACTCATATACTTACCATATGTGTAATCTGAGATACATATTGTAAGGCTATGGTTTCCTATAAACAGATTTTAACTACATAAGGATCATTTTCTAACTCGATGTTTACTGTACCATTATTGAAATAACTGCGACGCAAATGCTCAATTCGACCTACGCCGTTTATAGCACACTGCAGCCCAAGTAAGTACCCCTACTGGACTGAAATTGTAAAAAAAATATAAGTATCCGTTTATAGTCTGTGGTTAGGAACAGAATCATAAATTTTCACATTTAAGTCGTGGGGGTTTTCTGACAGTTATGTTAAGAAAACTTTGATATATTTCACATGTTATTATAGATAATGGCACTATATAAATTAAAAATTGATTACAAATTAAATTTTTTAAATATTGCTGTCGTGTCTTTCTGTAATTATTTTAAACAATTTTTTTACATATTTTAAGTTTGAGTTACATATGTTAGTAATTGTCCTAAAATGTCGACAGTTCTTATCTAATAAATAAAATGACGGCACTACATAAATTAAAAA